TGGCCCGGCCCCCCCAGGGGGTCATTGATTTTCCCTATATGCATATAGTAAAAACTTAAAAAATCTTCTTTTAAAGAACTCAAAGAGCTATGGCTAAGATATTTGGCATGAAACATCTTCTAGTGAGTGTCTACCAATTTGTTCAAATAAAAAGCCCTGGGGTCAAAATTGGCCCCCGGCCCGGGGGGTCATGATTTTCCCATATATGCATATAGTAAAAAACTTAAAAAATCTTCTTTTAAAGAACTGTAAAAGCTAGAGCTTAGATATTTGGCATGAAACATTCTTCTAGTGAATGTCTACCAAAGTTTGTTCAAAAAAAGCCCTGGGGTCAAAATTGGCCCCCCCAGGGGGTCATTGATTTTCCCTATATGCATATAGTAAAAACTTAAAAAATCTTCTTTTAAAAGAACCCAAAGGTGCTAGAGCTAAGATATTTAGCATGAAACATCTTCTAATGAGTGTCTACCAAGTTTGTTCAAATAAAAGCCCTGGGGTCAAAATTGGCCCCGCCCCAGGGGTCATTGATTTTCCTATATGCATATAGGTAAAAACTTAAAAATCTTCTTTTAAAGAACTAAAGAGCTAGAGCTAAAGATATTTAGCATGAAACATGTTCTAATGGGTGTCTACCAAGTATGTTCAAATAAAAGCCCTGGAGTCAAAAATGGCCCGCCCCGGGGGTCATTGATTTTCCTTATATGTGGTAATAGCAAAAACCTTAAAAATCTTCTTTGTGAAAAAACCCAAATAGTTGAGTTTTAGATATTATACATTGAAACATTTTAAGTAAAAAATCTACAAAGTTTGTTCACAACCAAAAGCCTGGGGGTCAAAACTGGTCCTGCCCCAAAGGTGTCATTGTTTTTAACTATATGGGTATAGTAAAAACTTAAAAAAAATTTCTTTTTTTTTTAAAAAACCCAATGAGCTAGAACTTAGATGGTTTTAGCATGTAACATCTTCTTAGGGTGGTCTAACCAAAGGTATGTTCAAATAAAAAGCCCTTGGGTAAAAATTGGCCCGGGGGGGGGGGGGGGGGGGGGGGGGGCTATATACAGGTGAGCGACCTCAAGGGCCAATCATGGCCCTCTTGTTTTTTATTAAATGCCCTCAAAGACAGGTTCATATTTTTTTCCAGCCATTTTGATATATTTGCTTCGAGTGATATAGTGTGTTGGGGTGATGTTTTTCTACAGAAATAAGTATTTTGAGTTATGAGGATTTCAGTATTAAAATAGTATTAAAGTATGAAAACGAGGTGCCAACAGTGTAGACCCTAGTAAGATTGCACAAATTGTTACAACCACATCTTCAAAGAGTTTATACTGCTTATTGAATCAGTACACTTCTTAATACTTCTAAATTTAATTTGGGACTATTTTGTATAATATAGTCAATCAGAATTATCAAATCAGAAGTAAAATTCAAATTTCCATATATTATCTTTACAGTTTTGTCATTTACTAGTCAGAAGTAAGATTTGAATTTTGATTTGTGATATACATAGTTAGTACTAACTAGTCAAAGGTATACATGCATATTGAATTTTGATTTATTATCTACATACAATAATTGTCAGTATTTTCTAGTTAGATGTAAAAAAAGTATTGATTGTTATATAAATCTACATGTTAGTCAGTATTAATGTGGATGTGGACAATCACAGAAGTAAAATTTGAAGTTTGATTTGTAAATCTACATAAATATTGTCAGTGTTCACCAGTCAGCAATAAAATTTGATTTGTAAATCTACACCAATTATTATCCGTTTTCACTAGTCAGCAGTAAAATTTTGATTTGTAAATCTACACAAATATTGTCAGTGTTCACCAGCCAACAATATGGTTTGAATTTTATTGTGTTTACGTTCTAAGGTCAGTATTATCTACTCAGAAGAATAATTGTAATTGTTATATACACAGTGTGATTAGTATAAATAATTAAGATTGTTGTTATTTACATATTCACTAGTCAGGATAAGATTTAAGTTGTTTTTTCTCATATAGTCAGTATTATCTACTATTATCTAGTCTAAAGTATATGATCTACATACTTTATTTAGTAATACCTAGTCATATTAAATGCTCAATATGCTACAAAGTAAACAGTAAATCTATTTCCTGTTACTCAACTCATTCATAGATTGTTTTCATTTTAAACTGTCAGCTATAGTGCTAAAATTATGATTTATGATTTTGATGTATAAAATTAATAAAAATTGTTAAAAGAAAACTAAGTGCCTTTTCGTTTTTGAATCCACGACTTAAATGAATCATTTGCTGTATTATATTACACACATTTATTTTATACTGAGTGTATTATTAGCTTGTCTGTCTCAAAGAAAAAGTTGTGATATTTTGATCGCTGTGTCATCATTGCCGTGTACACTAATGTAGCCCATTTGTTGAACAATATTAAAGATATCAATATGAAACTTGGAACTTATCATGACAAGAGGCAGGTGTATGATGAGTGACAATTTTTCTGAAGGCTTTATGTTTTGAATTATGCCCCCTTTTTTAAACCCCCCCCCGAGGAATCGGGAGGGGGGAAAATTTTGTTTTTCGTTGTTTCCCTCCTCCGTTTCCCTCCGAATTTTGGGTTTTTCACTACGTTCTCTGCAACTACTGGCTGGAATTTCTAACAAAACTTTTATGGGAATCATCAAAAATCAAAGAAAGGCGAATGCGCATATCGTCGGCTTGTTCCCCGGTTTCCGAACCCTTTAACATCAGAGTTTATGGCCCTTGATTAGTTAATTGTAGTATGCATATATGGAAGTAAAAATCGTTTCCGGAGTAGTTCTCTGCCCAATTACTGGCTGGGGAATTCAACGAAACTTTTTGGGAATTCATCCCAATTATCAAAGAGGATGCGTCATATCGTCCCCGGCTTGTTCCTTGGCCAGACACTTTAAACTCAGAGTTTATGGCCATGATTAGTTATGCAGTATGCATATGGAGTAAAAAATCGTTTTCCGCACTACTTCTCTGCAACTACTGGCTGGAATTCAACGAAACTTTATGGGAACCTTCAATACACAAGAGGAGATGCGCATCCCCGCCTATGGAATTGGGGGGGGGGGAATATAGTTTTGGCGTTGTCCGTCCGTCCATCCGAATTTCGTTTCCGGAGTAGTTCTCTGCAACTACTGGCTGGAATTCAACGAAAACTTTAGGGAATCATCAATATCAAGAGGCGATGCGCATATCGTCGGCTTGTTCCGGTCCGGAGTGAGGCCCTTTAACTAGAGTTATGGCCCTTGATTAGTTATGTAGTATGCATATAGAGTAAAAATCGTTTCCGGAGTAGTTCTCTGCAACTACTGCTGCTGGAATTCAACGAAAACTTTATGGGAATCATCAATATCAAGAGGAATCGCATATCGTCCAGGGTTGTTTCCGGTCAGACACTTTAACTCAGAGTTATGGCCCTTGATTAGTTATGTAGTATGCATATAACAGTAAAAATCGTTTCCTGCCACTAACTTCTCTGAAACTACTGCTGGAATTCAACGAAACTTTATGGGAATTCAACAATACCAAAGAGGAGATGGCATATCGTCGGCTTTGTTCCGGGGTCAGACACTTTAAACTCAGAGGTTATGGCCCTTGATTAGTTATGCAGTATGCATATGGAGTAAAAAATTGTTTCCCCCGCTACTTCTCTGCAACTACTGGCTGGAATTCAACGAAACTTTATGGGAACCTTCAATAACCAAGAGGAGATGCGCATATCGTCGGCTTGTTCTGGTCAGACACTTAACTCAGAGTTATGGCCCTTGATTAGTTATGCAATATGCATATGGAGTAAAAAAATCGTTTCCCGGAGTAGTTCTCTGCAACTACTGGGCTGGGGAATTCAACGAAACTTTATGGGAACCTTCATACCAAGAGGAGATGCGCATAATCGTCGGCTTGTGTTCCAGTCAGACACTTTAACTCAGAGTTATGGCCTTGATTAGTTATGCAGATATCCATATAGAAAAATATTTGTTTCATCGCTACTTTTCTCGCTACTACTGCTGGAATTCAATGAAACTTTATGGGATACTAAGAGGAGATGTGCATTATAGTCGCCTGTTCCTGCTCAGATACTTATAACTCAGATTTATGGATCTTGATTAGTTATGTGGTATGCATACATCTCATTGGCATTTCCAGATTTTACTATTTAACACAAAGTTATGGCTCTGTTATTGCCCTGAATATTTATCAAGTTCAAAGAATATTACTGTTTATGCCATGATTAATATATAAATAAAGCCTTATGTCTTCAGTTGTTGTGTTAATAATAACCAGTACTCGGCGGGGGATATAAATTCAACGAATTTGCTTGTTTCAAAATTCTTTATTAAGTTGAATGATTTCAAAACTAAGGTCTATATTTTGAAGATTGTAGCCAAATCTGCAGAAATATTTGTCTTAAAATTGCCATTAATATGTGCATCTGTAGTAATGACCCTGTGGACTGTTTATTAAAAAATTCATAAGCGAAATCATGGTTGACTTAATTTTGCCAAAAAAGAGGTAACAATTATAAACATATGAAATACTTTCCAATATCCGGGTGAAAAATACCGCCATTAAAGATCAGGGAACATTGTTGGACTGAGATAAATCCAAAATACATTTTTCTATTAAACTAAAGCTATAAATGACTGATTTATTTACTACCATTTAATTTAATTTTTATTTGAAACACATCTTTTATGAGAATGCATGTACAATTTAACTTTATAGATGTGGTTGGTTAAATAAGTATTCACTGCTTATAGTCGCCAGTCTACTTGATTTTTATATATCTACACACTAATAAAGAGGACCCCAGTCTGGTCAACATTTCATTGTGTGTTGTCTTATCTTAATTGAACCAAGTAACTTAATTAGCATAATTATATGAGTGAATTATGATACTTGATTGAAATTACTGCAGCGATACCTGATACACAATGGTACTGTACTAGTACACTGTAGATAACATTTTATACTATTTAATTGCTGAATAATACAAAGACCTGAGGTGAAAGTCCTGCTGGAGGAATATTTTAGTGAAATTTCGTATAAAAAAAGCAAAACTTTCTTTTTAAAGAAATTGTTATCTTAAAATTTTATGTTTTAGGGGAAATTAATAATGAGGTTACTAATTTTCGTATTTGCAATAGCTTGTGGTAAGTTATAATCTTTCTTATATTTCATCAATTTTATCAAAATTTATTTTAAAATCAGTTATTCTTTGTTTTCATTGTTAAATATTTTGTGTCATGTAACTGATGTAAGGGGATTAAAAGATAGATAAGCACTGTAACATATTAATTAGAACTTTAATGTAGAAGTATGCTTGTTTTTTTTTTTTTGGGGGGGGGGGGGGGGGGTGCCATTTTTTTTTTTGTTAATATCTTTTTTTATCATCATAGTTATAAGTTTCTGTGTTTGTAAAAGATACAACAATTATGACCAATTCATTTACAACAAACATGAAATCAACTTCTACTATTACAGTTTCTGGCAGTGTTGGTCAGTTTACAAAATGGTTGAGAAACACCGACTTAAACAACCCGTATAACTGGGATAGAGGTAACCTACCATGTGGTAATGACCGGATGATCCTGCCGGACGATGGTCCAGTTGTCTTTATGCAGCTTAACACTACAATACAAGAACTGGTAAGTCGACGGTTCCTCTCCTCCGAATCGGTGGAATAAATTAACTATTCAGAATGTGAAATACATCTAAATTATATATGATTCTATCTATGGAATATATCAACTTTTTTTCAGTTACAAAATGTTTATATGAATTATATTATAACTATGGTGTTGTGTAGAACGGATTTTTTTTGAGAATAATATGATAACAATTGCTGAATTTCCAATCAATAGATAACAAACTTTGTGAAATAGATAGTAATTTCTTGATTGTTTCCAGAGTGGTTTCTAAAATGAATTTTCATTTTCACTTTTTAGTTTATTAGCTTCACTGAGAATAGTTTTAGCTATGTTTTATTTTGTCAGATGATTTTTATGTAAAAATTGCCATATGCAAGATTTATTTCCATATTGTATTGATTTTTAAAGCTAATTTCCTGACAATGACAAAACATTTGAATTTTAAAAATTTTCTTGTTACTTTGCTCTATAATTTTCTGATATAAAATGAATGTATAACACAGGTTCTACCAAGAGATGGGGAGCTTGTGTTTGGTAGTTATGCTACACTGGCCTTCACTAACAACCCAGATCATAGTGCTGCTTGCCTTGACTCTGGCACAGGTATAATATATTAACTTCTTCATGATAAAATATAAGATTTTAAAAGCTCCCTTTGTACTGGACAATGCTTTTATTCTGAAGTTTGTAATTGAGTACCAGCTATCCTTATTTCTACTGTACTGTTCAAGAATAATTTCTTGACAAAAATCTGATATGAAATAAATCTACACAAAGTTACTATTTTTAAGACTAATTTTTTAGGGGCGACTGTGGCTGAGTGGTGACAGTGGTTGCCCTCAAGTCTCTTGTCCCTCACCACTCTGGGTTCGAAATTCTGCAAAGGACTTGGGAATAATTCATGTGAGAAAGCTATCCAACTACAATGTAGCTTATGGAACATCGGTGGTTTTACTCATGTACTCGAAAAAGTACAATTTTACTTTTAAAACAACTTCTTTTTACAAAAAAAAAATATATATATCTTTGTCATGTGTTTTGACATCAGCTTCAGCTCTTTATTTGCAGATATAACATTCAATGCAAGTCACCCAGCTAATTGGTTGGACCCTGATAACTGGTGCCCTACTGATTCTGAACAAGGGTCATGCCAGCCCATGGCTCTGCTTGACAGTGAAAGAATCCCCTGTCAGACTGACCATGTTATATTTCCTACAGGAAGTTCCTACTATGTGAACCTTGGTACCAATCTTAACATCAAAGTTAATACTTTGAAAGTATCAGGAAAAGTAAGTTTGCTATTTGTTACTTACATCATTTCTAGTACTAGATCAGGGTTTGGAATCCTAAGGTTATACATTTGTACACTATAGATAAATGAAGTCTCTGTGTTTGCTGCCAAGAAGTTGTGGCCATGGACTGTGAATGATTTGCCCCTCATTGTTGTGGTTTAAGCTGAGTCTATTGATAAGCTATTATTTTAGTAAACTTGCAGAAGATTATGCCCTGATGCTTACAGTATACAATTTATTTAATTTAAAAAAAATACCATTTGTTCTTAACAATGTCAACATGATTCAAATTATTTAAATATGAATAAACTAGTTGATAAAGTTACGTGTACTGAAAATAAAAAGAGACAATTTGATTGATATTGCTATGTGTCAATACAGTTGTACAATTATGTTTAGAAACAAACAAATTGTACTATGCATGTGTATAGTAAAAATGAAAATACATACCAAGATATGGCTGTTGTCTAATATATGATGATAAACCCCACCCCCACTTTCACAGGCATACAGCACAACATCATTCCGAGATTTCCTGGCAACTGAGAATGGCAGAAACATTTTCCCCGCCCCTCAACCAGGGCCTAGATCTACAGTCAACATCATGAGGCGGGCCTGTAAAGATGATACTGGGTGTGGTTGCGGAAACGATCAGGGACAGGTGTGTAATTTATAATATTTTTTATCTCTATAGCACTTCACATAACCTCTTTTATAGCATCTCTGAAAACTGAAATGTTTCCATGATAACTTCATTGAAGACAAAAATGGCGCAGCACTAATTCAGTTGTAAAATTGTTTAAGATGATATGTTCCCAGTATAATGATCAATGAATTTGTGAGGGGGGAGTGGATTTGGTGGATAAAATGTTAATTTTACAACCTAGCAGGTTGGTCTGAGGCCATATAAGGCCACAACCATGTTTAATTATATAATACCAGTAACCAGAACTGGTTGATTTTAGGTTATGCTTATGAGGTTTTAAGATAAGCTTCAAGCTTTTATCATGATTGAACTGAAAAAAATATGTTTGAACATTTTATTTCCAGATTTTATAGGGATTTATTAGTTGTAATTTTTGTATTTTTTCCAGATTTTGTCACAAGTATGTCAGATACAGAGATCCAGGTGTAGAAGAACTAGATGTACTAGAACTATAAAACCAGTCGGACATTGTTGTGATATATGTGGTATGTCATACATGTATAAATAATAATACATAAATTAAGAAGAAAAAAAGTACTTTTTGGTTGTCATGGTTGCAAGTGGAAAGAAAAACGAGAAGGCAATGGTAACACCACTAATTAAATAATTGCATATGCAGGTGCTTGAAGTGTGAACCATCAGTACTGATATAAAATTACTAGTCTTTTGAATTTAATCTTATTTCTAAACTTTTGAATTTAGCCTTACTTTGAACCCGGTCTGGTTAATAAGGGTTTCTTACAATTTTTAAATGTAAGAAGGTAGAACAAAAATATCTTTGTTTTGCTTTGGCTTTTAAAATTTATGGACCATTATTTTGCTGTAGAAATCATCCATAATTATATGTTCCTGATAGTGACTATAAATATATATATATATAAATACCATATAAGTTCTTATTTCTGTAGGCTTAATATTCTGCCATTTTTGTTAAAATAAGGGGTTTTAAATTTCTCTGTAAAAACAGACAACATTTCAAAATTTGTTGATGTTACATTACTTCTGGTTAAAAATGCTGATGACTTATAATGTGTTTCATCATAATGATCATGTATCTGTATATACATGTTATTAAACAAAAACAACAACAATGTTGCATGAGCATGTAATTATTTACATGTATATATATTTGGAAAATGCTGCATGTATTACAGGTGGGATGTTGAACATCAGTTATGGAGTGGGGTTCAACTTAAATACTTTGAAAAATGGTATACAAAGAAACTTCCTTGATGGCAAGGTAAATAGGCCCCTTAATCTTTCAAGTGATTACAATAATAAAAAGACATTTAAGTTTAAAGCCAGGCTAGCCTGTGCATCAATGCAGTCTGATCAAAATCTATACAGTTAGATGCTTGATGTTGAAATCCCTTAAATTTAGAATGGACTGTGCTAGAGATTAGTTCATTACACATTAGCATGGCCAAGGTAAATATCATTGATAAATTATCATTTTTTATTAGCTCGACTTTTTTTTTTTGAAAAAAAAAGTAGAGGTATTGTAAAAGTTGCGGCGGCGTTGACGTTGCCGTTTACGTTGCCGTCCGCAAACTTGTACCTGGATCATAACTTTTTTATTTCTTGGTGTATTGTCTTCATACTTGGCCACAACAACCCTTGGGACAATACCTTTCAGTAGACCACACTAACCTTGACCTTCATCCATAAATGACCTTGACCTTCAAGGTTAAATGTCCAAATTTTGCTTGTTCATGCTGTTATTGGCTGTAACTTTGTTATTTTTGAATGGTTTGTCTTCAAACTTGAACATAATAATCTTCAAGGATATCCCTTAAAAATAACCTGACAGACCTTGACCTTCACTCATAAATGACCTTGACTTTGAAGGTCAAATTATTGAAATTTTCATTTTTTTGGCTATTATTGGCTGTAACTTTGTTATTTTTGAATGGATTGTCTTCAAACTTGAACATAATAATCTTCAAGGATACCTCTAAAAAATAACGCGACAGACCTTGACCTTCACTCATTAATGACATTGTATTTGAAGGTCAAATTATTGAAATTTTCATTGTTTTGGCTGTAACTGACTGTAACTTTGCTATTATTGAAGGGATCAACTTCATATTATAACAGAACATACCTTGTTGTTAATCAAACCCAAATTTGCTTGGGCTCTTTAATGACCTTGACCTTGAAAGTTTAATTACTGAATTTTCTCAGATTTGTGCATTAAATGACCATAATTATATATTTATTGATGTGTGTGTGTGTGTATAAATATATACATATCTATCATCATCATCATCATCAACAACAACAACGTATATTGCGTGTTTCTATTTTTAGAATTGCTTGTTACTATTTATAGAATTGCGTGTTACTATTTATAGAATTACGTGTTACTATTTTTAGAATTGCGTGTTTCTATTTTTAGAACTGCGTGTTACTATTTATAGAATTACGTGTTTTTATTTTTAGAAATTGCGTGTTACTATTTTTAGAATTGCGTGCTACTATTTATAGAATTGCGTGTTACTATTTATAGAATTGCGTGTTACTATTTATAGAATTGCGTGTTTCTATTTTTAGAATTGCGTGTTTCTATGTTTAGAATTGCGTGTTACTATTTATAAAATTGCGTGTTGCTATTTATAGAATTGTGTGTAACTATTTATAGAATTGTGTGTTTCTATTTATAGAATTGCGTGTTTCTATTTTTAGAATTGCGTGTTTCTATTTATAGAATTGCGTGTTTCTATTTTTAGAATTGCGTGTTTCTATTTTTAGAATTGCGTGTTACTATTTATAGAATAACCAAGTTATGGGCCAGACACGATTTTGCTGCAAGCTAATGCTGTGACCTTGACCTTCAAGGTATTGACCAAAATGTTGCGCGCGCCATGTCGTCTCAATATGGTGATCATTTCTGTGAAATAGTTGTAAAATCCGACTTCAAATAACAAAGTTATGGGCCGGACACAATTTTGCTGCAAGGTCATGCTGTGACCTTGACCTTCAAGGTAGCGACCCAAATGTTGCGCGCGACACGTCGTCTCAATATGGTGATCATTTCTGTGAAAAAGTTGTAAAATCCAACTTCAAATAACAAAGTTATGGGCCAGACACGATTTTGCTGCAAGGTCATGCTGTGACCTTGACCTTCAAGGTAGCGACCCAAATGTTGCGCGCGACACGTCGTCTCAATATGGTGATCATTTCTGTGAAATAGTTGTAAAATCCGACTTCAAATAACAAAGTTATGGGCCGGACACGATTTTGCTGCAAGGTCATGCTGTGACCTTGACCTTCAAGGTAGCGACCCAAATGTTGCGCGCGACACGTCGTCTCAATATGGTGATCATTTCTGTGAAAAAGTTGTAAAATCCAACTTCAAATAACAAAGTTATGGGCCAGACACGATTTTGCTGCAAGGTCATGCTGTGACCTTGACCTTCAAGGTAGCGACCCAAATGTTGTGCGCGACACGTCGTCTCAATATGGTGATCATTTCTGAGAAATAGTTGTGAAATCTGACTTCAAATGTTTTTATGTTTGACTATGATACAAAAGAGAAAGAACATCAAAACACTCGGCAATCTGATTAATACTTGGGGCTACTCCCCCTCTTACAAATCAGATAGCCTTGTGTTTCGATGCTCTTTCTATTACTTAACAATTTTGATCCTTGTACATGTGGATAGCCAACTGTAAATTAAATTGAATACAGAATTTATTCAGTTGCATGGAAAGGTGCAGCTAACTTTAGCTAACTTCTGTAAGTTAATGATTGATGTTTTTATCTAGAATACTTCCCGTATGTAAGATGTGTCACTTTTTGTGTGTTATTTTTTAGGATGCTTATAAGAATGTGAAATATATAGTCTCCAAAAGAACTGATGGAAAAATACAAATGGTTCTCTTAGATGATGATGGTGTGCAGAGCTCTAAAGTTACTGCTGAAATCATGGCTGACCTTAACTCTGGTGAGTACATTAGGCTTAAAGGTTACTTCTGATATTATTGTTGCTGATTTTAATCATGCTGAGTACAGCTTATCGTATCTGGTGAGTAAAGAGCTCAAAGTTACTGCTGAAATCATGGCTGATTTTAAATCTGGTGAGTACAGAGCTCAAAAGTTACTGCAGAAATCATGGCTGATCTTTAATCTGGTGAGGAGCTCAAAAGTTACTGCAGAAATCAAGGCTGATCTTAAATCTGGTGAGTATAGTGCTAAAAGTTACTGCTGAAGTCATGGCTGATTTTAATTCTGCTAAGTACAGACCTCAAAAGTTACTTCTGAAATAATGGCCGATTTGAAGCCTGGGGAAAACAGTGTACTGCTGAAATCATAGCTTATCTTAAATCTTGTAAGTACAGAGCTCAAAGCTACTTCTGAAATTGTTTGTGATTTTAATTCTGCTGAGTACAGAGCTCAAAAGTTACATCTGAAATAATGGCTGATTTGAATTTGGTGAGTGCAGTGTTTAAAAGTTACTTCTGAAATTGTTGCTGATAAAAATTCTGCTGAGTACAGAGCTCAAAGAAACTGCAGAAATCATGGCTTATCGAGTACAGAGCTCAAAGTTACTTCTGAAATTATGTCTGATTTGAACTCTGTTGTGAACAGAGCTCAAAAGATACTGCTGAAATAATTTCTAATCTTAAATCTAGTCAGTACAGAGCTCAGAAGTTACTGCTAAAATAATTGCTTATATTAAATCTGGTTAGAAAGGAGCTCAAAAGTTTCAACATAAACTAAATAGATCAGACATTTAAGTAAAAATTTTAAAGCATTTTTAACTCTAATTAGCAGAAGACAAAAAAAAATGCTGCTCAAACATTGGCAGTGTTTACCTGTGTTGAGTGCAAAGATAAACCTTTACAGCAGAAAATTTACAATTTTGGTTAGAAAAAAGTTGTTTTAATACTTCCCACACCATTGCAATGATTGCATTTAAATACAATACATGTAATGTAGTTAATGAAAAATAAATATGATGTAATTATTAACATAAAACATGTAAAAATTATCTTACTTTTTTTACATATTAAGAAGTGCAGTATGAAATCAAATCAAAGTATGAATTTGTTAGTTACATGATAATTGATATAAATGGTTTATATTTTTCAGATTTATATTTTTCATTTTTCAGATATAAACAGTGGAGGTTTAAGATATGGGGTCACACAGGTCAGTTTGGCGTCGTCTGCTACAGGAGGGCCTTCAACTGGTAGTGGTGGAGGTAGCGCTAGTGCACATACAGGAACTGGTAATCAAGTCTTGTTAAATCAAATGAACTATATAAATAAACTTTATTTTTCACATAAACCATGGCGCAGGAGGATTACACTAGTGCAGTAACACTTTGACATGACATCATTTGCGTATTATACAAATATAGAGTTAAAGTGGGCTAATGTTAGCATTACACCATAGGGGCGTCCATGAAAAATGACGCCTTTTTTAACTGTAAACCATTCTTACTTTGGATATGTGATAAATAGAAGATTATATTTGTGTAGATTCAATACTAAATTTATTGAACTCGTTGAATACAAAAATATTATGCAATATACACTCATTCAGTATCCTCTATGTCATTATATGTTAACTTTTGTTGCTTTTTAAGTAAAACCAAACAGTCAAAAGAATTCTGATTGTAACTTAATTATTATAGAAAGCAATTGAATTTTTAAAACTAAGATTATTAGTACTGATTACAGTCTACTGAATCTTGTCCAAATTATATTACAGGAAGTAAGAAAGGGTCAATGAGTAAAGGATCTGTGGCAGGAATCACTATTGGTGTCATCATTGCTATTATAATAGGTCTGGCTGTAGGTTACTTTGTGTATCAAAATAAAAACAGGTAAGTTAATTAACATCTTTAGTGCGAGTGGTTTTAGTGGAAGCATACACTATCAGTATAGATATTTGCCAGCTGAATTTATTGATCAGTTTGGCCACTCTATACATTTGGTTGCTGGATATTGAGATAAAGGTAGTGAAATTATTTGAACTTACAACTATAAAACTTTTTGCAGACATCTGTCTCTAATCTCATGATTTCCATTGGTCAGTGCACATTCTTTACCAGTTTCTGACCAGTCAAAACACCTGAGCACTGACAATTTTTTTTTTATCATTGGATGGTAAACTATCAGTGAATTGAAGGTATAACACCCAATGTTGTCACCACTGAGCTCAGTCGTTTGTATCTTACTATAACTTTGTCTATTTTGTATCTTACTACAACTTTGTCTATTTATTTCTACACGATTTCATAAATTAGATTATTCGGACATTGTTAAAATATTGTGTACAAGTTTCTTGATTTGTCAATTTTTCAGACAACCAGATGAATCTGCTGGTTTCAGTGTAAGCGTATTCAGCAAATTTAACCGGTTTAACGCCAGTCAGAAGCGCAAGCCTCAGGTGTCAGTACCACCTTCAGTAGGGTTCAGCTGGGGCTCTAGAGATAGTGGGCTCAGCAGTATAAGTGGGGCAACATCACAAGGTTTTGATAATCCCATATATGGATCTGTCCCTATGGAGGTATTATATACTTTTATCTGATACATAACTTCAATTACATAGCTAAAAGATTAAAAGCTGGATAACTTCCATTCCATAAAGTCAGCATAGTCTAAAAATTCGTTATCATGACTGCATGTTGTTGTTTTTTTCATCAATCAAAAGCCATATATAAATAGTGCAGAACCTTAAGTTGCCCAAATAGTTTGGACTTATTGTCAGTAAGAACCAGTAATTACTTAATGAAATTTATTTTTCAAAAGTCAAAATGTGCATAAATTGAATGTCTGATCATCTTTAAATGAAAGATACTGCCAATTAATACATAATCAGACAGGCAGTTTATGAATTGACAATCAATGTTACATCATGATATTGTATATACAATAGACTAGTTTGAATAACATATGGTGGAGTAGAACACAAACATCACAATTCGGTATAAGCATTGAGATTCAGTAAGATTATACAAGACAAACAAATTATTAAAAATCCCTAAAAATATTTTTCATATTACAATGTAATGAAATTTCTTTCATTCAGACAATTAGAACATTTTCAGAGCGAGGCTTTATAGTAAACATCATATGAATAAAAGAATTTATGTTTACTGTAGAATATGAAGCAGATGGATTTAGAGATGACACCAGGTGATTTTAGTACTATGTCAGATACCCAGCCAGATAAAGGTTTTGACAATCCACTGTATGACACAGTCCATCAGGTATTCTTTAAAATAATCTTAATTCCCCTTTACCTCTCTTTATCTAACAAAGTGATGCAGCCCTACTTACCGCTAATGTGCAAAAATATTTTAGTTTGATTGTGTTGGAAGCTAAATGGAATCTGTTTCCTAGTAACCTGCTAATTTGCCAAAGTATGTTTGGTTTTACTAACTTTGAAGTGATGATACTGATTTATAAAAGAAGTAATTAGATGTGTTTGTAGATTAGTGCCTGTCAAATTCAGTGCTTCAATTTTCAAGTTGTCAATATGTAATATTTTGGCAAAAAGATTTTTCTGCAAATGCATTGAAGAAACACGAGAGTGAAACAGAATCTATTGTTGTGGTGCTTTTGGTTTAGTTTTCACTAGGAAATCACAGCAGTGGGCCATTTTGGGATTCCCAGAGCACTGTTCGTCCCCACATTTTTCCTGGGGAAAGGCTGTCTAAAGTTTTTTTTAGAAACCTAGTTGCCTTCACTTTTGGGAAGGAACTTTAAAATGAAAAGCGGGGGGTACAGTGAAAATGATAAAAAAGGGGGAATTTCAACAGGGTCACCCGATTCACAGCCCAATGCATCCTACTGGCAAACCCAAAAATGATGTACTAAACTTATTTTAAAAAACCATTAAAAGGATAAAATCATTCTTTTGTTTTTAAATCAAAAAAGAAAAATGTTTTTAAATCATGGGGAATCATAAATTTTTTTTAAAAATTTTTAAATTAACCCCCTGTTCTTTTTTCCCCGGAAAATCTTTAAATTATGTTTCCCAAAGGAGAATCCCCAACTGCCCACTGTGATGACACTAGGTCCCAGTGACCATGCTGATACTGATGCATGATGGGAGAAAAACATGGAAACCAATTTTAAAATAATATTCATCATCAATGCCAGATAAACAGATATTACAATAATTATGTCCTTTTATGTTCTTAATAATCATGTTCTTAATATTAATAATTTTAAGTATTTAAGATTATTTAAGACATTATCTTGAAGTGTTGCTATAATGCTACCATTGTGTTATGCTAGACAAGTGTGTTATACAAGCATAGCATTATTATACTACAATGTTATTATGCCAGCATAGTGTTATAATATGTTATGCCAGTACAGTGTTATTATGATGTTAAATTGCTAGCATAATGTTATACCATCATGTCAGCATAGTATTATAGTATCATGATTATATGCCAGCACAGTGTTATTATGATAGCACAATGTTGAAATGCTAGCATAATGTTATTATACAATCATAAATCTATGATATAGTGTTTTGCCAGCAGTGTTAAAATGCTAGGATAATATACCATCATGCTTACATAGTGCTATGCTGGCACAGTATCATTATGCTAGCAAAATGTTATACTTCTAGACCGCTATTATAATACCAGTTATTATGCTCATGCAATATTTATGATGGGACACTGTTCCCAATGTAGAAAATATGTTGCCAATTAAAATCTATAAACATTAAGTCTATAAAGTTTTCTATATTCAGTCCTCGAAAAGATTTGTAGTGTTCCTTTGTGCCTCAAATGTTACATTAAATTTTGTCCTCTTGTGCCAAAAATGTTACATTAAATTTCAAGGACTAAACAAAAACACCATTTCCAAACTACTTCACCAACCATGACTTATATAAATGAAGAAGGAAAGAAAAAAGATAGAAAATTACAGAAAATATAAGTTTATTTGTGTGCTTTGTGTTTCAGGTAAAAATACAAATTATGTTTTATCATATAAAGTGATAAATGTGGTAATGAAACCTAATGGTAACATAAAACAATTTCATATGACATATATTTACAAATGGATCAATATTAAAACATTATAAAATCAACACAAATAATCAATATTTACACAATAATATAAATTTACACAAAAATATTGCACATTTTATACATAACAAAATATTGCACATTTTAAACATAACAAAATATCGCACATTATATACACAAGATACTACGAAGTCGGTAATATATTTATCTGTAATAAACAGGGAATGTTAAAATATTTCGTTGCAGGAAGATGATCATGCATGTTTTTTAACACATATATGACTAACATCTTGTATAAATAACTTGTTTTGTAATCAAATGTAATTTCTGTACATGCAAGATAACATTTCAGCATAAATTACATTTTAACTACTAAATTTTTTTCTTTGTCTCCATACCTTTGATTCTCCATTAATCTATTTGTTTCTCTTTATTAACACACACTCTTCACAGAATATACATTTACATGTAGGTATATCATTGATATTTCATATAACCACTAACACAAGACTGTGTTTCTGTCAAAGTGTGAATGTACATGTATTTCTATTAGACTGTGTTTCTGTTAGAATGTGTTTTTAATACATAAGTTTTCTGTTAGAATACATAGACTTATCTTAGACAATGTTTCTGTTAAGACTTTTTCTGTTGGCCTGTATTTCTGTTATACTAAGTTTCTGTTACATTGTTTTTCTGTAGCCTGTATTTCTGTAAATATTGTTGTCTTTTGGTCTGTGTTTCTCTGCTATAATGTTTCTGTGTGTTTGTACTATAAATGTGTATCTGTAAAAACTGTCTGTTCCTTGGTAATACTGTAACTAGGAGCTTCTATACTGTCACTGTCATACTAGAAATATAATAAGAAAAAATTGGTGAATATTTCTTAGTGGCATAACCAAACAATACACTGGTTTTCATCAAAGGCATCAGTTTTAAGAAGCAGAAGGACATATAGTACATTAACCAGTTTGATATGAAAATTTTCACTTATTTTGATATAGAAATATTAAGAATCTTTGTATTTGGTCAAATTATTCAATGAAAATTGACATTACAGTACAAAATTAAAATCATTAATTAATCCTTACCATGCTAAATATCTTAAATAGACTTGCCAATCGTTCAATCTGGATGACACCATTTATCATTATAAGGGAAATTTTTCAAAATATTGTACTGACTAAATAGCTAACAGTGAGTGCAGACCATGGTCAGACAGCATATGAGCCGCGTCATGACAAAACCAACATAGTGCGTTTGCGACCAGCATGGATCCAGATCAGCCTGCGCATCCGTGCAGTCTGATCAGGATACATGCTATTCGCTATCAGTTTCTCTACATATTATAGGGTTTGTAAGCAAACAGCATGGATCCTGACCAGACTGCGCGGTTACGCGCGCTGATCTGGATCCATGCTGGTCGCAAACACACTATGTTAGTTTTGTCATGACGCGGGTCATATATGTACTGGCTGATCTTTGTCTCCCCTGGTCGCATGGGCAGAATCAGTTACTGCTAGCAGGCTTTGAGTTAATAATTATAAAATTTACAAACTTACACTACTGACAAGCCCACTGTCAGGATTTCTCTCCCAATAATAATCTTCATCATCCTCTTCTGTTACATCATCTCCAAACATCGAGTCCGAGCCTCTATCTAGACTCATCTGCTTCTTGTTGCCATGGAGATGGATATACGAGGGATTGGTGACACCGTTAACAACTGCACCTGAATAGTAACCCGACTTGTCCCTGTTCCCAGGTGTTTCTTCCTAAAAATGAGGAAATTTTCAAATTATATGAAAAAAGTAAACAAAAGGGAACAATATATTTTTATTTATAACTTATTAGTAGCAAAGAAATTTTGTCTGTAATCAAGTGAGATTCTTCGGCCCTGTACCAAGCTGCCAACTGCCATTAAAATTGTTTCACTCAAAGTATGTTCTATAACCTATACAAATGAATAATTAGGAGGTGACGGCATAAAGTCTAGTACAGATCAAATTCATTGTTGAAGTGTCATTTAAAATCTGTTCTGAATTTGTTTGAAAATGCTAAAAAGTATAACAATATAACAGCCAAAAATGACAGCAATGGTATGATTCTTTGCCTCTCTTTATGAATATCCAAATGTCAGATAACAACATATATTATTTTATAAAGAGAATAGTTACCATAGCAAACAAGCTGCGATCATTATTAGTATTAGTCATAAAGCTAAAAGTTACCATAGCAAACAAGCTGCGATCATTATTAGTATTAGTCATAAAGCTAAAAGTTACCATAGCAAACAAGCTGCGATCATTAGTATCCGTAATAAAGCTAAGTGGTTGTTTCTGTTGTTGACCTTGTAACGGAAGCCTCTCTCTGATGTAGGGGTTTGATTTACCACAGTTGCGTATACAACATGCTAGCAGTATCAGGAGTAGTAATACGCCCAGTACAACCATTAATGCTATAAACCACACCTCCTCAAAAAACATGGGACCGCCCACTGAACTGTCTGTTGACCCTTCTGTTGGTGGGGTGGTACCTTTAAGTAATGGTAGAGAAAATAGTTTATTTAATTACACCATCAACTTTCAACAGCTGATCGCATGAGCTGATTAAAAAAAAACTTATTTAATGCCTAAAAAGTCTTCTTTTTTAAAATAAAATACAAGCATTTAAGCATTAATCACAGTAAAAGAGAAGAGCATTCTTTCAGATAGTTTTCCCTAATCATCAAAGTCTACTACTGAATGGTCTGAACAAGCAAATCCATTACCAACAAGAGTAGCAATAATAACCTACCAAATGTCACCAGTGTTTGTATGTTAACAATGTCTTACTAGTCCCTATATTGTCGGCTGTTTAAGTTTCATTATTTTGATATAGTAATACCTTTACAAAAAATTAAAACTTCCATTCTAGAAAATAAAGTGATAAGGTGCCTTTAGGTTTAACTGTAACAAATGGAAGAAAAATCTCTCAATTAGCCTTTACACTAATGGAATTGAAAGCACCAGTATAGAGCAACATCAGATTGCATCACCATGTAGTCTGACCAGACTCAATATGGTTGGCTTACCAACTTAAAACTTTCATCTTGATATCCCCAAAATTTATGATAGACAGTTCTTATAAAGAAGAGATGGACAAGTCCATTTAAGAAATTCAACAGAATATGGGTTAACACACAATTACTTCACTTACCAACATTGTTTGCAGATCTAGGATCAAACACTAATTTTGGTGACTCAATCATTCCACTCTCAGTTACACATCTTATCTTGAATATCAAATCTGAAAATAAATGTAGTCGCACTTTATTATGTGATAAGCAGAACTTAATAATTCTAAAATGTTCCTTTACAAGAATATCTGTTATTACCTGGTATTGGTTAAACAAAGGTAACAATGATGAAAGACCGTGACCCATTTGGTCTTGAAATCCCATACAAGAGTAAATTCATTGCCACGAAGCACCATTATACATCAATATCTATCAGTCAAGTAATGAAGGTGCTAAGTAGAAAGGACAGATCTTACTACCAACCAACAATTTTTCATGCACATGGTTTTGCATGGTTTATACAGAATTTATTTTAGTTTAAATATGTAAGAAGCTGAAAGTTTTAATGGGCACTTTCCGATCCCTTTCCCCGGGGAAAACCCAAATACTGAGCAATGAGGGGTAAAATTTAGTTTTTTTCCAGCTAAATTAAACAGCAACTTGCCCCCGAGGCCGGGGGGGTTTTTGAGCCCTTTTGGGGGTTTTTTCTCCCAAGTATAAACCATTTTCCCAAATACTGCCCCTCACACCTTAACTACGTACATGTGTGTAATTCTCAATAATATACAAATCACCTTAAAATCTAAATGTAGCACCGAGGACACCCGTTTAACTTTGGGCAATTCCTACAGCATGTAAATGTTCTTGTGTAAAAAATTAAGTAACCAATACAAAAAAAGCATGCTTACTATCTTGAGGGGTTGGTCTTTCAAGACCATGTATACTGGCCACTCCCCTGTAGACTGTGTTTCCATCCTCCATTATAATCAAATACTCTAGCAGACGACCATTTAATATGAAGGAACCAGTCCAATCTACCATAGCTTGTGAACCATTTTTTTCTAAAATTGGGTATCGCTGATATCTTGGAACTAAAAGATATTGATTTTTATATGAGAGTTTTTAAACAGTGAAATATGTAACAAGTCATACTGACAAAAGAAAACACAAATAATTGACTTGCTGGCATATCATTAAATATGTCTGGTCAAAGCTATAACATGTACATTTGTTTATATTTTGTCAAACAAAGGATCCTTATCAAGTTATAAATGCATAATAAATGTTCCAAGTTTTTTGTGTTTTTATGCATTGTGGCATTGTATTTTACATAGCACCAACATTGTAAAGGTCATATGGCTACTTTCCAGCTTTATTGGTGAAGAAATATCTCAGATGCCCCTCCTTGCATTATTTTAAGAACCTAGCTGGGACATTTTTTGTCCCAGCACCTGAGTAGAACCACAAACGTTCTGCAAGCTAGCTGGATAGCTCCCAAAAAGTCCCTACTGAGATTCAAACCCTGAGCGGTGAGCGGCAAATTGTAATAGTCAACAACCTTTACTACTCAGCCACAGACCTCCAGGTATCTGCATTATATTCTTCTTTTAGGACAACTGCTTTTTTTCTCACCCATTTTTAATACAGATTTCATCTGTTGGGCTTATTTTAAAATGAAGTTTTAAGCAAATAAAATGTATTTACAATAAACAAGCTTACTAATATCTAAAATTAGAGAAATTATAATAATACATCCATTTTTATATCATTGTAATATCATTATATAATGCAATCAAATATACACATCATACACAGATTATATCAAAAGTAATTGCTTAACAACTAAGAACAAGAAACTGGTTCATTCAGGACATACGTTCTGATATTGTTTCTATCCTAACCCAGACTGGAAAATCTAGAGGTCCGGCATCATTTACTGGTATAACCTGGAACTCATATGCACTGTATGGAGTCAAACTGGCTATCACTTTCTCTATAAACATTCCTTCATATACCAGCTGCGGGTCACCATTGTTACACGACTGTCTGAACGGCTGAGCCATTGGTGGACAAGCTCTACGTTGATACAACATAAACCTGAAAGAAACACAAACAAATCATTTTTGATAATATGTCACAGTTAACTTTTACTTTTTTTTTTAAATATTTATCTATTTACCATCTATAATGATTACAGATTTTGATTTGTACTATGGTAAATGCTTTAGAATTTAAGCCAGTTAAGGTCAAACTTGCATAATTGTCCCATTCCTTCATTCTGTTCATGCTTTATCACATAAGTAATGTGCTTATGAGTTTGTTTAGTTTTATGTGCAAAAACGCATATTAGATTTGGATATTTGCTGTGTTGTGTTGTCGAACAAAGGTTAAAATAAAAAAAATAAAATAAAAATAATTGATTACGAAATGGAACTTGAAAACGGTCTTACTTTCTGAGCACACCATTTGGGTTAGTAGGATGGTCCCATGCTAGTTTTACTGCTGAACTATTAACACTGAGCATTCTGACTGGTTCCTGGCCCACAGGTTTAGCAGATCCAGTCTGCACAACAACTTTTGGACTGGTTCCACATCCACCGGAGGTACAGGCCTGGACTGTGACAGCATAATATCGGAATGGTAATAGAGGTACAGTCTCACCAACTGTCTGTTCTAAGGCTTTGCCTGTACTATACTGTTATCAAAAATACAAGAGAAATATTGTTTAAAAACAATACAAGAAAACATTATTTTAAATTCATTCAAACTTTATTTTAAACTGCCACTGAATCATCAACACCTCATTCTTTCAACTATTCATGCTAGCTATGTCAATCAAAACAATGACATATTTAGAACCAGATCAGCCTGCAAATCTGCTCTCATTTTAAAAATATTTATTCAAGTAAAGGACAACTTCTCATACAAATAAGCTTAAAATATATGGGTCTTTGTAATTCTGAGAATGTAAAATGATTCTTGGAATGATTTGTTTGCAGTATTCTACTTTGTTTAACATTCTCTAAGAAATGGAAGTTCAAGTAATATATTAAAGGAACTCTACTGAGGTATTAAGACCTAAGAATATAAAATTTTGAAAAAAATTCAACATCAAAAATTTTAAAAGGGTTAAAAAATTAAAAAATTAAAAGAAAAACGATTTTTTTGGCCCAATTTTTAGGGTGGGTTTGGGGTGAAAAATTTTTCAAGGGGTGTCATTTGTTTGGTCATTTTGCCCAAAAAATAATTATGGAAAAAATTTGTGTGAAGGAATGAAACTGGGAATTTGCACACTAGTTATTTGGTTTCCAACCTTCATATTTGGTTACACCAGTATCTAGAAAAATATTTTCCCGTCATGTCAAAAAACTCAGTGGAGGATCCCCTTTAAAACAATCTTATATTGATAATAAAACAGGAAATACAAACCAGAGTTTTAATGACCACACATTATAAATTGACAAACCATTTTGCTTCTGTGGGTGGGGTTTAATCTTTTACTGTAATTGTTGTTGGAGTTATTTTCTTGGGAAAAAAAAAGTTTATGTTAACTTAGAAAAAGATGATAACAAGCTTCTTATATATATCTTATATCTTACTAATATGTTAACTGGTTTTAAACCTGGAATATCAGTAATGGAGGATAATTTGTTGAAGGTACTCACTGTTTAACTGAAAACAAAACAATTTTACCATTTTTTTAAAACTGTCTACATATAATAAAACCGCTAATCATAATAGACATATGTCATCATTATCAAGCCAGGATTGTACATTCCTGTAGTCTGACAAGACTCTGAACTGTCTACTACTCAAATGTAGTATTTTCATGCTGAAACTCTTAAAATAATTAACGGACAATTCAAAATTCCTTGTAGAGCAAGTTCATTATATAGATTTAGCAGTGACTTTAATTCAAATAATACTTTTGTTTGAATAGACTTATTACCATGACAGCTAGAGTTGTGGCCCCTTTTCCCTTTATAGATTTCCACAGGCACAGTTCAATACAACTCCAGTTCAATATATCAATTTTGTGGTGACATTTAACTTTTTGGTCATTACATTTTTCAAAATAAATTAATTACCATGATGATTGGTGCTGGCACAGTGAGAGGTGCAGCCTCTTTTGTCATTATAGATTTCCACAGACTGTTCACCTTGCCCACAGTGTTCACAGCTGTCACCATATACTCATATTTGGTGTATGGTAACAGGTCCGAGCTTCTGTCTGTATATGACTGCTGGCTACCATTGTACACAAGTTTTGTCAATCCATACGAAATACCTATAATATTTATTCCAAACATAAATTATGAAATACAGTGCAGACATTTTATATAGTTACTCTTAAAATACTTTAGAAAAAAATATTACCATAAGGTAAAATTTTAATTTTCATTTTATTATAAATAAAAATGTTGATAAGCATTTGCAAAATATTGTACTTGAGAAATATAGTATTTAAATAAAAGATACCAAATGCTTAGCTAACATCAAATCCATGATAGAGACAATCTCAAAATAATCAGAAACAGAAAAACCTTCCACTAAAGGCCATTATTATAGGCATTTTTCATAAAACTGGAATTGATAAACAGTTCTGACAGTTGTCATAAAATCATTAAAATTCAGTATGGAACTAAAGGATAATACTTATCATTAATCAAAAATTAAATGCACTGTACCTGTAGGTAATTCAATAACTTGTCGACAGTAAACTTCATATCTTTGTATAATTCCGTTTGGTTTCAGGGGAGGATCCCATTCTACAAGTACCCCAGCATGGGCTCCATCCTGATTGGCTAAAGCCAGCAATGAGGGCGGAGTTTGTTCTCAGGTCGTGCTGAAAGTGTGGGTCCCACTAGCCAACTTGTTACTTAGACTGTGAACAACACCCGTACTCTCTGGAGTGCAAGCCCTTAACCCTTTTTTTATAATTCCGTCCAAAATTTTTAAAGGCCTTGGGACCAAATAAGTTTCCCCTCTTGTCGGTTCCCCCCGAAAAATACGATCTTTGGCCATTCCATTTCCCCGGAAGTTTTTAATCACCTTTCCCTTTTGGCTCGCTTTGGGATTGTCCAGCTTACCTGGATTGTTTGCTGAAACCTTTCCACCAAAATTTGGAGGGTCAAAGGGCCCCTTGGAGAAGATGCCCAAAGTTCCCTCCAAAAGGGCTGAGCACTTTTAACAAATTTCCCTTTTCGGTTCCTTTTCCAAGGGCAACATTAAGGGAAAACTCCCACCCCCCGGTTCCCGGTTATAGTCTGTGTTTTGTTGTTTTTCAGGGAAACCCGAAACACTTTTCACCTCTGTATTTAAAAAGTCCCCTCATTTTTGGGCTTTAAAAATCATAAAATGTTGATTACACCATTAGGATATTCTGGTTCTTGCCATGAGATTTCTATGGATGACGAACTCATGACTCTAAGAATTGGTGGCGACAAATTTCGTGGAACGTCATCATCTGGCTTGCCCGTGACTTCCCCACTATCAGTACATCCTCCAGTGGTACAAGCTGTCAGTTTAAAGGTGTAGTCAGTAAATGGAACGAGGTTAGTGGCAACATATTGTAAATCCATACCCTCGTAGATAACTCTGTCATTCATATGTAGCTGGTAAGCACTTATCTCCCCTGTTGTAATCTGAGGCCTCTGCCAAGTAATTCTCAAGGACGTGGAATTCACAGCAAACAAGGTGGGTGGGGTAACTTTTAATGGTGCAGATTCTTTTGTTCTGGCAATAGTTGGTTCACTTGTAGTGCAACCACCACCGGAGCAGACTGTTATTGTATATTTATAGTAGGTAAATGCTATCAAATCTGTGTCTACATATTTCTTTTCTTCAATAGCAGTGAAACTAAGCGGAACAGAATTATTCCTTTGCAGTTGGTAGCTTTGAATAATACCATTTGGCCTGTCGGGTGTCTGCCAAGTTATCTGTAAAGCATCAACTTGATCAGGAATCAGACTAACTACAGGTGGCTGCACACCCTCTGGTGGTGCCTGGCTTGTAAATGCAGACTGCCATGGACTAACTATACTACCCTTAGAGTTACTGGCCTTGATGCTATATTGGTACTCGGTATATGGCTGAAGATTTGTATCAGTATAAGAAAATGACTCAGCATCTGTAGAAGTGGTTCTATACACAACAATAGCATCACCGACTGATCTTTTCTGGATTCTAGTGTTGGTACGTCTAAACACCTCATATAAGTTTATCTTACCATTTGCATTAGATGGTGGAGACCAATTTATAGTGACAGAATTATGTGTCATTTCTCCCATCACTGGAGCAGCCTGACCATCAGGCATTGTCTCTGCCGTAAAGAAAGACTGGCTAAAACTTCTTGTGCAGCCTGCCGAGGTGCAAGCCTCTAACTGCACTGAATATTCCATGTACGGTTCAAGTCGTCTCAATTCAAACTCTCGGTTTAAACCTTGAAATACAGCAACAGACGATCCTTCTTCATAAATTCTATATGTTGTGACAATTCCATTAGGACTAACAGGTGGTCCCCAGCGCAGTATCGCCGCCAAACCAGACTGAAGTCTTTCAATATCAAACAATCCAAGTCCTGATGGTGATGATTCACCAGTTCTAAAAGTTGTCCAACTACTGGCTATGTTTCCTGCTGAGTTAAAAGCCGTAATTCTCAGCTTATATTCTGAGTAAGGTTGAAGACCACTAATAGATGTCTTAGTTACTGCACCATCTACTTCAATTGTTTCAGTTTTGTCAGGTACAGTTGGATCATTGATAATCATCTCATAAGTTATGATATACATATGGATGATACCATTTGGTTTTCCTGGATGTACCCCTTTTTTGGTTTGATGGAAAAATGCGCCCCTCACGTCAAAAAAAGGTTTTGGGCCCAAAATTCAGGAAGGGTGCTGCTTTAGTAGGGGACAAAGGGCCCCCGGGTTGATACCCTTCCCCCGAGTTTCCACACTCCCTTTTTGCCTTTATATTTTTGTAAAAAGCTGTAAGTTTAGAACCTGCATGACCGATATGGAATGGTCATTATCCCAACCCCCGTTTATTAAAAAGGGTTTTCTGTTTTTTCCAGCCTTTTTTTTAATTAAAATCAAGTACTTTGGGTTTAAAAATTTCCCTTTTGGGAAAAATCTGGAGGTTTCCCCAAACAAAATCTATAATAAATTTTTGGTTTGATTAAACAAAGTTACAGGCGCTTTTAAGTGATTTGGTTTCAAAATTCAAAATTTTTTCCCCCCTTCGCCAGGCCCAGTTCCCCAAACCATTTGGGACTTCCCTTTTAGCCCAAACCTGTATTCTTCCCCCAAATCAGTATTAAAGGAATTAGACCCAGTAAAGCTGACTTCCAGTGTCCAAAAAAAAAAAACCTCTGTCCACTGCTGGTTGACGTCCTGCATTCAACAGGACTCGATACTGATCAATGACTCCATCAGCTGGGGGAATAGCAGCCCATTGCACATATATTTCCCTTGCAGACACTACTGTAACATTTTCAGGCTGTGGAATGTTGGCTGGAGTATTGTCCGGCATGGTTATAGCACTTACTAAACTACTAGTGTTTCCGGCTTTAGTTCCGGTCGTTACAAAATACATGTATGTTTTACCAGGAAACAGACTGACGTCAGTAACATGAAAGTTCTCACCGAGAAAAACACGAATTTGATTGTTTACATCTGACCTTAACAGGGCATAAAACACGATAATTCCATTTGGTTTAGAGGGTGGGGACCAGTAAACATCCACAGAGGTTGAGCTTCTTACTATCACCTGTGGGGGATACACTCCTGAAATGATAATTTGAATACATGTATTAAAATTATTAGTTATTCAGTTTGTTTTTCTAACCTGCAAAAGAAATATAGGGAGTTTGTAGGATTGATAGCTTTTGTATTCTAGAATATATTAACAATTTTCAGTCCTGCATGCCTCATGGTGATTACACAAGTATTCTATGGCTAAAAAAAATGAAAAAAAAAAATCTGCCTTAGTTTGTATATAAAATCATTTTAGATAATTTGCTAATGAGTACTTTTTTTTATTTATTGTTCTATCTGTATGGTAATTGTTTTACCATGACATTTGCTGATTCTTTATCAAATTCTATTTCAAGTGACTCACAAAAGCCATTTAAGGTATGAGCCCCATAATGGGCACTATAAGGAACTATAAAATTGACAACATAGGTCAGTTATATACCTTAAAAGACACAAGAATGCAAAATTTAAACAAAGTTTACCGTATGGTTTACAAGTTATGGAGATTTTTCTAAAGTAAAACTTGGCTATTAGAAGGGCTCTTTTTCAGAAATGGGTAACTCTAATTATTCTATTATATAATCATTATGAACTAATGTTTTCTTATAGAATTTTTTTAAGAAACAAATAATAGCATTCAGCTAACAAATGACCCAGCAAAATATTGTTTCTACTCAAAATGTTTGAAATATGTATATAAATGTTACCCTACCCCACCTATTTTAAGAAGTTGTTTGTTCATTTTTCTACTTGGAGGGCCATATTCAAAATATCCCTAAAATTTACTCAAATCAGGGGCTGTTTTCAAAGTTTGCATAAATTTTCTTAAAGGTTTATTGATTGCGCTTGTCAAATATAAAATACTTTTACCGTCTAGTTTTTATTTTATTAGACTTTGAAAATACAAGGTACCATATTTGATAATAAATTTGACACAATTTAGCCAATAAATACCAATAATAATTTAATAATTAGAATGGAACACTTTTTTTCTTATCAAGAGTGATCTGAGAGACACAAATAATGTTCAAAGAAAAAAAAAGAAAGAAAAAAAAGTTGCCTCTTCCGGGGCTTGAACCCGCGCCCCTCAGTTTCAATGCAGTTAACAGTAGTTCTAGCCTATTTGAGTACTCTTCAAAGTGGAGGTAATGCATTAGGTGGGTCATACCTTAACTACAAGTATTTGGATTTAAATAAAGGCTGATATATAAAGCAATTTAACAATACATGAAAATATGACAAGAGATTATTATCTTCTTAAATCCTAGCAGTAATGATGATTTGCCCATGCCATAGTTATGATGCAAGGCAAGTCTCAGTTTAGACGGCATATTTGTAAAGTTTGACTAGACCGCAGTAAGCATTCTGAAATAAAAATCCCTTAAGCTAACAATGGAAATGTCCGCATTCAAAGCAAGGCAAATCCAATATGAAATTTAAGTATATTACGACTTCAGATATTTAGTGATTATACAAACCTTCTGGTGCAGCTTCTGGCATGAGGATGGTGACAATGGTGCTGTTAGTACAGGCAACTTCTGTACATGCTGATAATGTACCATTGTATTCCGTAAAGGGAAGTAATTCTGTAATATAAATTAATGTGTACATTCTTAATTACATTAAATTGTCTGTAACTGTCTCAAGTGTTTGTTGTATCATGAAACCAGTTAAATCTGCACAGTTTGAAGTTAAAATAGACAACAAGACCATAAAATTCTTTCATAAATGGAAATAATTAAGCAGCTACTGTGTAAAAGCTTAGTGGTTCTATGCAAATATGATTTTGCGACTTAAAACAGAGTTCATGGTCTATATTTAGACATCATTAAACATCACTAAGAATTTAAAAACTATTAAAAATAATGTTATCATTTTCTCACCTGCTATGACTAATGAAAGTGCTTTAGTATTATAAACATGGTGATGCTCCCCTCCTATAAAATGTATCCTGTACTCTACTATAATTCCATTAGGAACATCAGGACTTGACCAGGTAAATAACAATGCCGTGGAGTTAACAACCTCGAATTTAGGGGCATGAACCCCTTCTGGTGCTGCTTGGGCTGTTGCTACAGTAATCTGAAAAAAAAAATGTTTGAAACTTAAATAATTTGATCGGAACAAATATGTCTGTTACAATGATTTTTAATTTTTATACAATAAAACCTTGCAAATAATGTTTCTCTAAATATCACCAATAAATGAATAATAACGATCTCAGCTACCTCAAAGGGTAACCTTTACCCTTAACCTACACAATTTCTTAAATGGACTTGTCCAGCTTCAATTTTTGGAACTGTCCATATCACTTTTAGATATATCTGTATGAAAATTTGAAGTAGGTCAACCAACAGTGCAGAAACCTTTCTAAGTAATGTTCTTTGAATAAACACAAGTTTTATATAAAAATATGTCAGTAAAATTCAATCTTTAATGTATTAAATAACCTTAGGTGGCGGCATGACCAAGTGGTTAACGTATCATTAGTAATTTAAGGATTGCGTGGGTTCAAACCCCGTTAGTGGCAAGTAGAGCAAAATACTTTACACTCATTGCTTAGTACTAGTTGGTTCTAGGAACAAATTCGAGACTGTTTCAATAAGCTTATAGCTTCCAATACAATCATACTAAAATAAATTCATATCAACAAAATGATCTTACAGAAGAACTGGTAACACATCCAGCTACGGTACAAGCTGTCAGTATATAAGTATAGGATCTATATGGTAAAATGGTTGTATCATCTGTGTAAGCCAGGTCCAATCCTCGGTACAGCTCTATCCCATCTCGTACCAGGATAAATCTCAGTATCTCACCTATAAAATAAATCAGTAATATCTATTTTTAGCATTTCTCTTAAACAGTTATTATCTAGAATAAACTTTTATAGAAGCTATATAAGATACCATTTTCTTGGAAATAGTTGGGAACATCTCAGAGGTCAAAATTTTACTCTCTCAAAAATTGCTCCTCAGTTTAATACTCTATTTTTCAGTGCTAAAAAGCGATATTTAGTTTTTATAAAGTTTGTTTGGATAATATTAAACTTTGATTTTCAAGAGCTAAAAAAATTTCATTATACGTTCAATTTAAAAAAAAATGTTTATGATTATATTATATATATTCTATAGATCTAAATCCAGTTACTATCTCATTCAAACTTGCCATTTGGTTTTATTGGTGGACTCCAAGTTAGGAATATCATGTATAGCTGTTTGGGATCAAGGGTGGCATTTGGGGCCATTAGGCCCTCTGGCTCTGCCTGTAGCGTCTTTATCAATGTATAGTCACTCTGAGTGGACCCGGCACTATTCACTACCACTACAGAATACTCATACAGGGAGAAGGGCTCCAACCCATCATCTGTAAATACAAATTTCTTTAATGAAAACATTGTTATTTTTTCATTATGATTAAAGTCTCATTTCATTACAAACAATTTAATTAAGTCATGTAGATTATGCATTTAAATATAAACATTAGAAATGATGACAATCTCTCAAAATCATGATTTTCCCACAAAATCATGATCATCTCACAAAATTATGATCACCCTACAAAATCATGGTCATCCTACAAAGTTGTAATCATCTCTCAATATTGTTACCATCATGTAACAGTTCTTCTTGTTAATAAGCCTTAGAGCAGATACATAAGCACAATTTCATGCTTTTAAAGTAAGGCTTAACACTTTCAATTTTTAGATGCTTTCAAATGCTGCGTAGAATTAAAACTACAGAACAACGGCAGTAATGTTGAATTTTCAAAGTTATTACTAAATATATATAGAAGCTGAATAGTTTTCCTGTCCATGCTGGCTGGCAGGACTACTGGAAGCATATTCATTTATCAAATTTAATACTGACAGGACAAGTTATAGAAATATAGCATGACAGAAATACATGTATCTAAATATGGGATGGACAAAGATTAATAAACTGTACCTAAGTAATTTGTATATAGTCCAGTGTAGATCTTTTCTTCACTGACCACACAATCATCTGAAGGGCTTGGTGGGGCAGGTGTTGGGGTCTCACTAATATATCCCCGTACTGAACCACACATGTACGTATACTGGTCAAAGTCACACTGGTCACAGAATGCTGAATCTTTCAACAGTCTAGGACAGACTCTTCCTGATCCACATCCTACAAATAAATAATAATAATAAAATACATTTTTTTTGCATTTAAAGTAAAAACTCTTTTAAGTATGAAGATTCCATTTCTAGATACTTTTAAATTAGGTCAAAAATACATTCTTCTTAAGTTTATCAACATTTGAAAGAATATGGACCTACATGTATCTGAAATAATGCATTATTTATAAACCTGCATTCTATTTTTGAACAAGGTTATTTTTCAACTTCATTTGAAACAACAGACTTTAGTGCAGTTTGATAATTTATTAACAAATTGGTTTTGATAAGATTATGGTATGAAAATATGTACATACATGCATGTGTATAGTATAAACATATTTATTTAAGCTCGATTGTGAAACAAGTTCTTGCCACTTATATCAATCAGTTTCGAGTCCTCCTCCTGGAACCAACCAGTACTGGTGTCATATAAAGAAAAATGGTCGTGACACCAACCAGTACTGGTGTCATATAAAGAAAAACGGTCGTGACACCAACCAGTACTGGTGTCATATAAAGAAAAACGGTCGTGACCCAAGTAGGGCTCGAACCCATGATCTCTGGGTTGAGAGGCAGAAACCTTAACCGTTATGCCACCATCATAGGTATTTTGGGTGTCTGATTACATATATTTACAGTAATGTCGTGTTATATACCTGACTGCTGATGTGAAATATCTGCACAGAACTGGGATACTGGATTATACCCAACAAAGTTACAACAGCTTAGCCCATTGGATATTGTCTCCATGCCACAACACTTCTCATTGGCTGCTTTTTTCTCCTCAGCACTCCCGTATTCATGAACCTACAATAAGAGTTATTGAAATGTACCATCCAGTTAGCTCAATAGGTACAGCACTGGATTACAAATCGGGTAATCCAGGTTCGATTCTGTACAGTACAGGTCACTTTCATTGTGATTGATCATGAAATCATTTCTACAGTCATTCCCAATGTACCTCTGCTCTGACATGTATCAGTTCCTTGCAAAAGTTAAGGCAACTATCATTGGTAAACTGCTTGACAGCCTGCCCAGGAACAATGCGGTAGTTGAAGTGTGCTCTGGTAAATTCAATATGGCTTATAGCCATGATCCGGAGTGAAAACTACCATCCCCACCACTGTTATTGATAATTATGTAATTTGTACCAAATTAAAAACCTTTAAAAAATGACAAAGATATAGACAGGACATCAGATGGTATTACTTTTGACCTCTATGTTACCTTGACCTTCGTGATAAGGACCTGAGTCTTGGGCCTGACACATGGTGATATGCTGGTGAACATTGTTGTCAAATAATATTTTAATTCATCAAACAATATCATAATAAAGTTATGGGATTGTATTTGTTTATCAAAATTTGGCACCTAGAAAGCTGATTTACAACTGGTATACAATATATAATGCAACAGTAATTAAACACATTAAATACCTTTATATGGCCAGTGTCACTGGTACAACACAGTGTGGTGTTATGAGTAATGTACTGTGAACCACAGCATGACATTCCTGCCCTCTCAGCATAAGCATGACCACTAACATCACCTCCACAACACATCATAGTATCAGCAACAACTTCTCCTCCACAACATTGCTTCTCATGTCTCTCATAAAGCTTTCCTAAAGTAGAATCGTTCAATTGTGAATAAACTTCTCTAAATTCAAGATATAGTTACAGAACACAAGTGATTATCATTTTTAAAAACATTAATCATTATAATCAATGAAAACTATTATAAAGCTAAGGTGCATTTGTATTCAGCAATAATGAAATGACCTACCTGCACAACAGATTTGTGAACCACTAATGGTGTAGGGTATAGTACCGCAGCAACTGTCACCTTTACCAATAGCTACACGGTCTTCATTGTTGTCTGGGCAACAAATCTCACCTTCCATCACCATTTCATACCTATAAATACATGTTGTATCAATGTTTGACACATACAATCACATAACTACAATGTACACAAAGAAGATAATTTAGTGGCAAAGAAAACAGGGACTTTTAGATCCAAATGGCAAAAAAATGGACTTCAAGATTCTTGTTTCAAAGAAAACTGGGACTTTTATATCCTAGCAGCTTTTGACAACAGGGACTTCTAAATCTTAGTCGCAAAGAAAACAGGGACTTCTAAATCTTAGTGGCAAAGAAAACAGGGTCTTCTAAATCTTAGTCGCAAAGAAAAGAGGGACTTCTAAATCTTAGTGGCAAAGCTGCTGATACCTAAACACATCACTTTGTTTAATTTCATGATAACAGTATTAATCTAGCACATAAGAAGGCCCCTTCTTCTAGGTTTTTGTCTAAAATAATCAACAGAGTGGGACTGGGGTAATAGATACTGGGATCATTCTCTATCATTAAAATAATATATAATCAATAAGGTAATAATATTGCTATATGTAACAAACCTTCCATTACAGCATTTGTAATTCTCTTTGTGATGATGGAACTTTCCTTCGCAGCAGACGTCACTCTTGTCGGACATTTCAACATAATCTTTACCACAACATGCAAAATTCTCCTGACTTTCATGCAGAACACCATCACAACAAACCTATATAAACAAAAACATGAGGCTTTAATTTCTCACTGTTGTTATATATACATGACTGTACATATAATCGGTATTATAAACTGAATAAAAGTCTAAAATCCAAGCAACATAATGAAATTTACATTTTTCAAGATTACAACTCAAAATCACAAAACAACACTAGAATTTGTTAAGTACACAGGCAATTACTAAGACATTTACTTAGTCAAAGGCCATAACCCTGTAATAAATGAAAAATCACATACAAATCTAAATACTGTAGAGATGCAAAATTCAACACAAAGCATTTTATGCCTGATTGTTTAGTAAATATCATCTTAAACTTCATGTTTATTTTTATGTAATGGACAGAAAAAGGAGCATTGGCAATTCAGCATTTGTCATATTGTGGTAAGTAAGAAGAAATACTATAATTCATTAATATCTAAAATAAAATCTTACTTTGGCTCCAGAGTAGCATGTAGAGCCACACAGATTTTGTAAGACACCACATTGTATATAGGTACATTTCATCAATTCTGGACTTACTGTCACTACAGGACTGAAATAGACAACATAACCTCTCTAATTATGACAAGTATCATCATCACAATATGCTGTATTAGCCTGAGCCGTTCTAGCTATAAGTAAATCTAACTATCGGGGGGGGGGGGGCAGGGGAGGGGAGGGAGGGGGCACCAGTGGTGCAGACTTAGATCAGCCAAACATCAGGGCTGTCTGATCATGGTCTACACAGTTTGCTATTCAGTCAGCACTTGTTTGGGAAATTTCCTTTAAAAAGATAAATGGTTTTGTCCAAATTGAAAGATGGACAAGTTCATTTAAGATATTTGTATGAAGTATGTTTAAATGAACTCAAATGAGGTCAAAAAGCCTAAAACTATAAATTTTTTAATTTTACATTGATCAATTGAAGCACTAACAAAGCATTCCTAGATACTTCAAAAGATAAAACTCATCCATGTATTGATGGAAGAAATAATATTCATTTGTAAGGTGCAACACTACTGCATTACAGCCTATTTTAAAAGTAGTATTAACATTCAAGTTGACTGAACAAAGAACCCTAAAATCTGACTAAAATATCAAAAACCCTAGATTTTTATAAAACATTTACCACTTTATTACTATAATCAATAGAAAAACTTATGATAAAATGTTCTACTTACATTTCAGAACATTGTTTGATAGTCCTCCTGTAGAGGTCATATCTCTGTATAATACCATTAGACTGTTGTGGAGCTTTCCATACAATATCAATCTGATATGGACTTAGTGGGAGCACTCTTGGTGCAGCAAGACCCCGAGGCAGGGCCTCTAACGTGGAGCCAAGAACTGTATCACTCTTCACACAGTCAAACACTGTACAAACCTCTAACTGTAAAGAGAATATAAACTTAAAGGTAGTCTTTCTGTAATGCTTTCCCACAAAAATATTTCTAACATCAGCCAATACAATAGTAAATCAGTCATTTTCAAAACGTTATTTTTCACAATCTTTGGTATTCAATAATTTTTAACTGTTTATAACCGGAATTAAGAATATAGCGATAACGGATGAGTGATTGTAAATAATTTAATACCCAATATTTTGAAAAAATAATCTTCCGGAAATAACCAAATTGCTACGATATTGGCCGATGTTAGAAATTTTTGGCGGGAAAGTATTACAGTAAGACTACCTTAAGGTACAAATTGATGAAAAATTTCATGTTTAAATCTTTCTTTGTTCACTTGAAACTATTTTACTTTTAAAATACATCTTCAAAAATTTCATGAAAATTTACATGAATCTGGAGGCATACTGCTTTAATAACAGTACCTGAATTTCATAGACAGTGTAAGGCTGTAGTCCAGTAATAATATATGATCCTGGCAGTACGAGCCCCGTTTCTGTTTTCTCTTTGTTGACGTAGATATTGTACCCAGTGATGTCACCATTAGGGGTCTGAGGGGCCATCCATGATACCCGTATAGCAGTCTCACTTACAATACTCAGTGTTGGGGTGTCAACACCCTCAGGGGCTGAAATATAATTTAACATGTTCTACATGACTTGAAAGAATTTATTCAAATGTCTAACCAGTACATTTGTCCAAATCTGTATTCAAATCAATAGAAGTTTATTTTAAACTGGTATTTTTTTAAACTGGTATCACAGTTTTAAAAGCTATATAAAGATTAGTACCTTATACAATGCACTTTAACCTCTTAGGATACATGAAGTATGCTCAATTTAATTCATTTACAACTAAACATGTTTTTAACCCATTACTGCATGAGCATTGGTGAAAAATGGCTGTTTTCATTGAAAAGTCTCCCGTTACAAGTTCAAATTGTTATAAAACTATAAAAACTGCTTCAATACTAATCAAACTAGGCACAAATGTTGACTGGACCATTGCCTTTGTAACGACATGCTCAGTCTTAAATTTCCTGTTACCATGGCAACGAGGGGACATCTCAAAATTGCCAAAAATCACTATTTTGCATTGATTCTTTCCATCAAAATTGATTTCAAAGTGCTTCAACTTCTCAATGGATTGAGATAAAGTCAAAGGCTTTTCAGCATTGGTTACAAGTTACCTTATGATCGACCTGGGGTCATTTTTAGCTTCTCACAAGTAGACTGCCGCCCCCCTTCAACCCCCCAAAACAGGCAACCCTTGATGTATCTTTTGGATAGGAGGGTGGCGTCGAAAAAGTGGTCACTTTTTTAAACAACATTTCTCAAACAAAAACAAGTGTTGGGGGCCTAAATAAGGCATTTTTTCACCATTTGAGACAACAAATTGGGGGGGGGGGTGGTGAAAAAGGCATTAAAAGGCGTGTATATTAGGTAATGGGTTAATGTAAGACTTAGATCAATAAATCATCATATGCAGGTTGAAGTTGTGTCATTTTTAGGCGTATCATTCTAAAGCTTACAGAACCAGCTTTACTCCTCCCATTTTAAAAATTTTGATTATTGAACAGAAGAAGAACTACAGTCACTGAATAATAAACATGAAAAACATTATTAACTGAATTTATGTAAGAATTCTCACCTCCATCTAGTGTTGTGACATACACAGGATCACTGGTGATATATGCTCCTCCATGTATTGTTATGGTAACAGTCGTATAATATCGGGTGTTTGGGTTCAAGTCCCTAAAGGAAGTAGAGTTCACCTCTGGGCCAAACTCCTGGGTGTAGTTTTTCAAGCTGCTGTACAGTTTAACTGTGAATAACTTAACACTACCCTGGAGATCTACCTCATCTAAAATTGTACATGATAATAACTTTTTAAACAATTTTATTACACTATGAAAGAAAAAACGTCTGAATTTCATAAAAGCTTTCTATTTAACTTTACATAGATTTAGCATACCCCAATCAATTAGAAATGTCAAATACCAATTATATGACAAAGAATTTAAAGATAGAATCTACTGAAAATCTGACATTGTTTTTGTATTTCTTATTGTCTTTTTCCAATGAGTTGAAAACCTGACTTGCTGAAAAGGTGACATTCAATCGAGTCACTTAAAGAAAATGTTTTACCTGGAGTCTCCCACGACACCCCCACAATTATATGGCTTATGGCCATGGCTGTTACTTTAGCTGCCCTCCTTGGGAGACCTCCAAAGGTTGTGACCTCTGCTGAAGGGTTACTGGTTAACTGTCCTATGTCATTAAAGACTGTAACTCTGTATTGATATGTTGAATGCATGGGAAGGCCTCGGTCCTCGTAAAATGTTCCAGTCCCGGAGAAAATTCTTGTCCATACTTCATCACTGGCATCAACAGAAGCTGTCAAAGAATAAGTTTTAAGCTACATAATTATCATGATTAAGAAAATATGTAATAATTAACCTGTTTCTTCTCTGCTTAACACATATTCTTAATAGACTCTATCAATGCAAACAGTGCAGACCAAGATCAGCTGGCACATCTGCATGTCATCTGATCAGGTTCTGTACTGTTCGCTATTCAGTCTGTCTACATCAAATTTTCCCTAAAAATGATAAATGGTTCTGTCCAGATTGAAGATGGACAAGTCCATTTAAGATATTTAGCCTGGTAAAGGTTAATATTATTCTCTTATCTTCAGTAATCTAACCAATATACATGTACATGTTATGGGCCAGTTCAACTCAAATTGTCTGCGTTTTGCATAAAAAATTCTTTCATAAAGAGAAATTTCCCCACATGTTAACAACAAAAGAAGGGGAAAACTGGGCCCTTTTTGAAAACAAGTGGATGTTGAAAAAGTGTGAAAGCCCACTGACAAATTATCACAGCAGGTTTTGAAAATGTATGCTTACTGCTCTTGTTTATACCTTAGGACTTAAAAGGTTTACTTTATATACTTCTTTTCAATTTGCTTGTACCCCCCCTTTTTTTTTTTTACTTTTCTCCGTTAAAACACACTTGAAATAAACACATTTTTTTGTATAATAAAAGAAAATATTTTTCTTGAAAGTTTTGACAATTTGTTTCAAGAATACTACTTAATAAATATTGATAGATTCATTATTGATTAATAAGAAGTGCATGAATGTTTTTCTTAACTTACAATCAAGCGGCACCCTGAGGAGAAGTCTCGACAGCTCGTATCTAATGTTAGGTCCATTTGGTAACAATGGTCCCTGCCAGGTTATAGAGATCATAGTCTGAGAAACCGGAGTCACTTCTGGAGGAAGCTGGCCCTCTGGTACTGTGGCATGAGTTCGAACCTTCAAGGGATAGCTCTGAGTACAACCTCCGCCTAGGTATTGTAGAAATTATTTTTTACATTAACATTAACTATATAACGTTGTATCAATATGAAATGGATGTAAATATGAATTCTTATTATTGTTACTTATTGTATCTTATAACAATTATATAATATATATGTATGATTTTAAATTCTGTTTTGTACTACTATTGTATTTTTCTAAGTTTATGTAAGTGTCATAGTATATGTAAGTGTCATGGTCTACGTGAGTGTCATGATCTATGTGAGTGTCATGGTCTATGTGAGTGTCATGGTCTATGTGAGTGTCATGATCTATGTGAGTGTCAATGGTCTTATATCAGCTTATGGTTTCTAATATGTTTGTCACGGTTCTAATTATAAGTTCATTCTTTTTCGGGTAATAACTGTTTAATTATCGGAAATCAAAAATTTTTAAGGGTTTTGACAATAACAACCCTACTTGTACATGCAGGGACAGTGACTGTGTTACCTCTGTTAGGGGGTTTCCCAGAATCATCAAATTGTTACAGTTCTCACAGAAGATGTTGCGTAACCTCGATGTGTGGTTAAAGGAAGACGAAATTTTAAAAAAATTAAATTTTTAAACCATTAGGCTGAAAGGGGTGGATCCCAGTTTTACTGTCATTTAAACGGGTTTCCCTAAAATTACAATTTTTTGGTGGTGGGGATGCCCGCTGGCCCTTTGGGAAAAAAACAGAAATTCCCACTTGAAAATGAATTTTTACCTATGGCCCCTTATAAAAATTTTGCAAAAAATAAAAATTTTATTTGAAAAAATTAAAAAAAACTTTTTTTTATATAAATTTCAAGTCAAAAAATTTCCTCTTTTAAATTTTTTTTTCCCTTCCCAAAAATTTTTTTAAGAATTTTTTTTTAAAACCATAAAAAATTTTGTAACAAATGTTAAAAACGGGGAAAGGGGTATGAACAACATTGAGGGATTTTTGTTGTTACTTTTGGTCCATGGGACACCCCCGTCCACCGACCCCAATTGCTGACGGTCAGCCTATATTCATACTCCACGTAAGGAGTCAGACTACTATCATCATCTACATACTTCAATTCAGAATCTGCACTCAATGACACTACAACTGTAGTAACTACTTTGCCCACCAGGCGGCGCTCTATAGTATAAAGGGAGATCACTCCATTGGGATCACCAGGTGGTTCCCAGGTTAGTTCAACTGAAGCTGGTGTTAAGGATACTGCATTTGGTGCTCCAACATTCTCAGGATCTAAAATATGAAAAATATCCCTTTTTCAACAAATTTAAAGAGCTTTTATTTCTTGATTTACTTTTATTTGGTTAAATGTGATTTGATATTTTATACATATATACATTATTCCTGAAGGATAAAAAAACCATATCTATGTTCCTTATCATTTTTATTTTTTTACTTTTAAGTTTTTATTAACTGCATTTATCTTTCTATGAATCATAGATGGATTTCTATATCTAAACTCAACTAAGCAATCAAAAGTACAGTCAGACAGGACAGAAGCGCAGGCATGTCTGAGGTTATGCTTGTGGTGTATGTAAATTAATATCACCAGTAAGGTCAACTCAACCCCTCTGGGACAAAAAAATCCTCCCATAAAATTTTCAGGGAAAGACAAAAGTCCTACCATAAATTTGGCACCTTTATCCCAATGTTGAGAAAGTTAATAACTTACAGTCCTCCTTGGTCCTCTCTGGAGTTGTTTGTGAACTTCTAGTACAACCCCCTGCTGTACACACCTCCACTACAAATGCATAGAAGGTATATGGTCTTAGTTTGTCAGCTCGTAACAGTGTAACATTTCCTGCCGTCTGAAAAGCAAGAAAAAATACATGTGCAAGTTTTATACAAATCTTTTATTCTCACACAATATAATGTCTCATATTAAAGACAGTGTGCAAAGTCTTAAATATTATTTCAGTCTCATTATGAACCACTTGAAATACAGGCCAAGCTTGATGTCAGGTAATGAAATTTACAATGAATTTTACATCAAACACAGTATGGGAATGTAAAATTTCCATTTTTCTTTTTTGAGAATTTACCATAGCATTACTTAGAATTACATCAAATAACTTTCTTTTTGTTGTTGGGTTTTATGTCACACAAACACAGTATAGGTCATATAACGTGTATTATTTCAGACATGAATGGGTACCTGATTAAAACAATCAAGTTAGCTGGATAGCTTCCTCACATGAAAGAAAGAATCCCTATCAGGATTTGAACACAAAGCAAAAAGAGGCAAGTTGTTTGAAGTCAATGACCTTAACCACTTGGCCACATACATTTAACATAAATGGTTTCTACTGAATGGTTACTCAATAATTTTGCATTTAGCATTGAAAATTTAGCATTTTTGCAGATAAGTAAATAATTGTAATGTTAAAAAATATAAACTTACTGATGCCCTGTATTCACCATTCTGATAAACCTTGTACTCAGAAATAATACCATTAGCTGTAAGAGGTGGGGACCATACCAAATCTATGTATCGTGGTCCAATACCTACAATTCTTGCTGGACTGAATCCAACTGGACCTAGAAATATAACAGATAATATAGAAAACAAGTATTAGAAAATAAGAAGTGAACTTCATTGATACTACTTTGGGAGGATTTTGCCTCACATCACTTAAGCTGCTGAAATAACAGCAATAATAACAACAAATCCTTGTTAGTTGATACCTAATCATCAAAATAAAAACTAGAACTGCCACTATCATGGCGTGAATACCCCCGCATACCACTTTGTCAGAATCAACAATGGCCATTTAGAGCTCAAGGACAACCTCCCTGTCTGAGGTTACTAAGCCAGTGCATTGCTAAGTTATGTATTCTACATGCTTCAAATGTGAAAATGTCAAAATCAAATACATGGCGGACAGGACATTCTTTAGCAATTGAGAAGAAAAAAGCTTTTTTTGTCAAGGTCCCTGTGACCTTGACCTTTGACCGCAGTTGACCTCAAAATCAATAGGGCGTCACCTTATAGCATATATATATGCAAATAATGAAGACTGTGCGGTCAAAGGAATCTTTTAAGTTAATGGCTTTGTGAACAAACTTTGAAGTCAAGTCCATATGACCTTGACCTTTGATCCAGTGACCTCAAAATCAAAAGGGGTCATTCTACTAATTCATGATCAACATCCATGCCAAATATGAAGACTGTGGGTCAAAGGAATCTAAAGTTATTGGGCAGACAAACTTTCTCGAAGTCAAAATCCCTGTGACTTGACCTTTGACCTGGTGAACCTCAAACACAATAGGGTCAATCTACTAATCATGACTAACCTCCATTCCAAGTATGAAGACTGATGGGTCAAAAGGAATTATTAAAAGTTATTGGCGGACAATCTTTTTTGAAGTTCAAGGCCCCTGTGACCTTGACCTTTTGACCCAGTGACCTCAAAATCAATAGGGGTTCATCGTACTATCATGACTAACCTCCATGCCAAAATATGAAGACTGTGGGTCAAAGGAATGTTAAGTTATAGGGTGGAAAAGCTTTTTGAAGTCAAGGCCCCTGTGACCTTGACCTTTACCTGGTGACCTCAAAGTCAATAGGGGTCATCTACTAATCATGACTAACCTCCATGCCAAAAATATGAAGACTGTGGGCAAAGAATCTAAAGTCATTGGGGGGACAAGCTTTGTGAATCAAGGCCCCTGTGACCTTGACCTTTACCTTGTTGACCTCAAAGTCAATAGGGGTCATCTACTATCATGACTAACCTCCATGCCAAATATGAAGAGGACTGTGGGTCAAAGGAATCTTAAGTTATTTGGCGGACAAGCTTTTTGAAGTCAAGGCCCCTGTGACCTTGGACCTTTTTGACCTGGTGACATCAAAGTCAATCAGGGGTATCTACTAATCATGACTAACCTCAATGCCAATATGAAGACTACTGGCCAAAGGAATCTTAAGTTAATGGGGGACAAGCTTTTTGAAGGTTCAAGGCCCCTTGGACCTGACCTTTTGAACCTGGTTTGTACCTCAAAATCAATAGGGGTCATTACTTATCATGCTACTAACTCCATGCCAAATATGAAGACTGTAGGTGAAAGGAATCTTAAGTTATTCGGGCGGACAAGCTTTTTTTGGAAGTCAAGGCCCCTGTACCTTGACTTTGACCTAGTTGACCTCAAAATCAATAGGGGTCATCTACTAATCATGGCTAACTCCATCCAAATATGAAGACTTGTAGGTCAAAGGAAGCTTAAGTTATTGGGCGGACAAGCTTTTTAAAGTACAAGGCCCTCTGACCTTGACCTTTGGACCCAGTGACCTCAAAATCAAATAGGGGCTCATCTACTAATCATGACTAACCTCCATGCCAAATATGAAGACTAGGGTCAAAAGGAATCTTAAGTTATTTGGGGCGACAAGAAAAAACCGACGGACAGCCGGACGGACGGCCGGACAAGCTGATTCCAGTATACCCCCCTTACAACTTTGTTGTGCAGGGGTATAATAATGAATTAGATTAATTTTGTGACATCAACAAAATATTTTAAAATATTTACCAGTCTATGTGCTTCTAGTAAACAGAAGCTGAAAATTTAGATTCCTGTTCAACTTTAAAACCACCGTACTTGAAAATAACAATACAACAATTTTTGAAAGATAGTCCAACAAAAAACATTGTAACTGCACATTTATTTTGTATTTGTTAAGTTTTAAGTGACATGGATACTTTAAGAGGTCATTTTTGGGACTCTCCAGTTCTATTGGAGGGAGAAGATTTCAGATGCTGTCAAGATATGAGCCGCGTCACAACAAAACAAACATAATGCGTTTGCGACCAGCATGGATCCAGACCAGCACGCGTATCCGCGCTGTCTGATCAGGATCCATGCTGTTCGCTTACCAACCCTATTACAGGTAGAGAAACTGATAGCGAACAGCATGGATCCTGATCAGACTGCGAGGATGCGCAGGCTGGTCTGGATCCATGCTGGTCGAAAACGCACCATGTTGGTTTTGTCATGGTGCAGCTCATATTATTTTAGGCAGGTACCTCGGTAACTGTACTTCTGAATGGCATATATATTTATTCCAGCTAAAATACATTGCTAAACATTGAAAAATATTTCCTTTTTTTAAAACAGTACATCTTTGTAAAAAAAGAAAAAAAAAACAAAAAAACCCAAACAACTTACGATCTTGTCTAGTTGTGGCAGTGACCCAGTCTGATCTTGTTAATCCATTAGAATTTTCTGCAACCAGTCGAAACTCATACTCTTTGTAGGCAATAAGATTTTCTTTGGTATACGTAAATGAAGTTGTAGGTCCAAATATGCTGATGAATATAAACCATGTGAAAAAGTTAAGCTAACATACAGATATAAATTGAAAAATTACAGGTTATCTTACACCAGCTGCAGGTACAGACCGGAATATCTAGCACGAGGGTAATCGTTTACACTCTGCCAAGTTACTAGAGAGCTAGATTATAAGAATCTTACACCAGCTGCAGGTACAGACTGGAATATCTAACACGAGGGTAACTGTTTATGACGGTAACAAAGCTTGCCAAGTTTCCGATAAATAGTTACCTGAGAGCTAGATATTCCTGTTTATGACAACAGCCGGTGTTTGATTCTTTTTCTTGCATATTACAGATTAATGATATTCCAAAAAGAAATTACAATGACTGATATTTTCATTTAGTCCTTTTTGGTATAGCAGAGTATGAATTTACAACTCTATTCATAACAGCTTCTGACGTTACCCTAAGAACACCATTCATGTAAAACACATGCAAAGGTGTAAACAGTTGGTAATCCTGTCTGATATGGCAAAGAAAACTAATTTTTACACAAATGTTTATTTGAGCAAAATATCATATATCTTTAAACTCTATATTACTATTTTTACTCCAAGTTGTACCTCAAAACTAGTGCAAATTTTTACGAAGTTGTTCAAAATATAAACTTACTCTTCAACTAGAGCTCCTTCAATTTTCTCCCTGAACTGTAGGACATATTTGGCAGTATCTAGGGAATTCTCCCTTCCCACAGTGCTCCATGTTGCTGTAATTGTAGTAGGTGTCTGTGAGAGAAGATCAGGGGACTTAACTCCATCTGGAGCTGCAATGATAAAAATACATTTCGAAAATAGTTATGTCCCTTAAAGAGTTGAAAAATTTACATATATCAAAAAAAAAAATGCAATGCTCAAAAAAAAAAATTTTCATATTAACAACAAAGGCTAATGTTAGATAAGATATCTGTATATCAAACGATCTATCAAAAATCTTTTTTCCATACTGTAAAGAATGATGTTCTCATTACTTTATTAAAACTATTCCTTATTTTGTTGCAATGTCAAACTAAAGTTTCTGAAAACAGCTTTATTTTAAATGTTGAGCAAAAATTCAAAACTTCTTTTAAAATGTTTTTTTGATATTTTATTTTTAAATACCCAAACAAAAGTCAAGTCTCCTTTTTTAAAAAGTCAATTTTTACTTTCTAAATTCCCATATTTTAATGTTAAACATAAATATAATGTAAGAAAACTTACAGCCTGGTGGCATATCAGCAGTCATGACATTCCCAAGTTTTGGAACCCCATGTTTTTTAAAGCATTCCCCTTTGGCCCGTTTTTTGAAAATTGGGAAATCACTGGTGTAATTTTAAACCCAAATTCATCAAAAGTTTTGTGACCGATCAAATTTACGTCTGTTTTGCCCCAGTGCTGAAATCCCAAGCTTTCTAAAGAGAAAAAAAAATGGGCATGGTTTTAAAAAATTTTGGCATTTCCTCTAAAGGGAAAGTCTAAATTTTTGTTTTAAAAATTTAATGCTTTTAATGCTATTTGGGAAAAATGACCCATGATATTTCCTCTAAGATTCTGTACTTGTCCTTAGTGCCCAGCAAATAACTGCCGGCGACCACAAAAACATGTAAATCAATTCCATCTTCAGGAAAATCAAGAAGTTTTAGACATTATTTTAGTATAAATAAACTTCAAATTCAATATTCAAAAGTTCCAAATGTATATTAACCTAATTTTCTTCCTATTTGGTAAATGAATCAAAAATTAAATGAGCAAACAATACAATGTACCTTTATAAATAGAATATGCTAAACAGTTGCTATATTAAGAACTTGAAACCTTACCTTTTCTTCCATCTTGATATTTTTTACATAATTAATCTAAAATCTTTTATGAAATCTTTATTTAAATTCTATGTGACTGCAAATATAAGATATATGTATTTGCTATAACATAATTACCAATATCTGTATAAAACAATCCGTCAAAGTAAACATCAAAGAACATGTTTCCATGAGGTTTCTCCGGCACTGTCCACTTCACGCTGACCGTCCTGGCATCATCTACTCTCAAATCCATGGTAACGAAACCTTCTGGCTTGGACTCTTGAGTGTAAGCCTTGGTCTGTTTGCTTGAGCTACACCCAGCCTTGGTGCATGCTACCACTCTGAACACATGTTTACTATAGGGGGCAAGACCTCCCACATCGTAAAACATGTTTAGTCCCACGTACTTTGGTATCTCATTGTGAAACAGCTGGTACTGAGTTATCTGCCCTGATGGAAAATAAAAAGTAAATCAATAATTTCAAAGTTTGTAAAGACAAGAAGGTCGGGAAGTACAGTTGTTTCTGGTCTTGCCAAAAAAAATGTAAATCATCAGGACAACATCTTCAAAAGATATTTCAATTTAACAATATTGAGAAGGAAAGTATAGTAGAGTTATGTCACATGAAGAATTTTGTATGAGATATCAAATTATGTGTTTTCCACAAAACAGTGGCCTTATGGTAAAGTTGGTCTCTTAACCAAGAAATCATAAGTTTGAGCTCTGCTAAGATCATGGCGTTCCGTAAGGTAACTGGATATCTTTCTCACATGAAAGAATCCATTACAAAGTTTGTCAGGACTTGAAAACACACTAGTGTGGGGCAAGTGGTTTAAAGTCAACCACCTTAACCACTCCTCTGCCCTGGTTGCCCTTTGTAATGGTTAGTTTCAGGAAGAAATTTGAGAGATTTATATTAATTGTTAGAGCTTGTTATACAATCAAGCTTAAATACTTGTAGATATGAAGTAGGGGACACTGAAAATGTAATTAAACATGGTTACACATTGTCGGAAATTCCAAAAACACATGGAAAATTACATAATGTACTTTTAAAATAAAATTTACAAACAAAATTTTACCATTTGGTAAGCCTGGTTCATCCCACTCTACATGAAGCTGTGATGGACTAGGGGAGGTAACTGTAGGAGGCTGCATCAAGGACGGGGAACTTTCAGCAGTTGTTATAACTGACGCTTCACTCAGTGTACACCCTCCACCAGTACATGCCTATAAAATAAAAGAACAAATATGTCAATGCAATCTGACCAGGCTTTATACTGATATCTGACTAACTTCAAATTTTTATCTTGTTCTCCCTGAAATTGATAATGGACAGTTCTAAAAATGGAAGCTGGACGAGTCTATTTTAGAAAAATAGCAAGTAGAGGATTAATTATTTATATACAAACCGAGAGTGTGATATAGTAAGTACTGCCAGCAGTCAGGTCGGGTATCACATAGTCGAGGAATAAATCTGTATTGTTGTATATAACAGTTCCAAGCTCGCCTTCTACGGTAGACTTGTACAACAGGTAACGTTCTAGTACACCGTTCAACTGATCTGGTGTCTCCCAACGTGCCTCAACGCTTGACCTACCTGATGGAACAGATTAGATAAAGACATAATATGAGCCGCATCACAACAAAACCAACATAATGCATTCGCGCAGTCTGATCAGGATCCATGCTGTTCGCTTACAAGCCCTATAACAAGTAGAGAAACTGATAGCGAACAGCATGGATCCTGATCAGACTGCACGGACGCGTAGGCTGGTCTGGATCCATGCTGGTCGCAAACCCATTATGTTGGTTTTGTCATGATGCGGTCATATAAATCGAAATACTATTTAAACTGATATAAACAGACTTACCATACTTCATTTGACTTTATTAGCAGGTATATTTAAAGTCATACAAGGAGTTTTACATTGAGCAATATACATTTATTTATAGTTGCCAAAGGAAACTCATATGTGACTTACTCCAGAAGACTATTGGTATTTTTTTTTGTCATTGAAGATGGCAAAAATAACTTCATTCTAGAAGAATCAACTGGTTCCTTAAAGTGAAAGTATGCCCCATCAAAATGAAAATGGTAAGTATATGGGTAAAAATCAAAATAACTTTATATTTTTCCATGATTGTTTACATCTTTATATTCTTACTCACATAAATAAGCAGTAACTCATATGGCCCTTAGAAATTTCTATAAATAATTGTCTGATCATAAAATTTTTTTCTGGAATGAAATAAACAAACATGTAGCACAGACAACCACTTATCAAATACAATGAAAAGTAAAATGCTAATTTATGCATGACCTATGTATCATTCAAAACAATCAAACACAACAAAAACATCACCTTAAGCATTAATACCAACTTTTTAAACGTTAAATTAATTAATTTTTTTTAACGTTAAATTAATTTTTTTATCATTTTTTTTATTTATTAAATTAATCTATAACATGTACTGCATGAGCATTTTGTGAAAAATGACTGTTTTCATTGAAAAGTCTCCCGTAACAAATTCAAATTGCTATAAAACTATAAAATTGCTTCAATACTAATCAAACTTGGCACAAATGTTAACTGGACCATTACTTTTGCAACAACATGCTCAGTCTTACATTTCCTGTTACCTTGGCAATGAGGGGACATCTCAAAATTGCCAAAAATCACTACTTTGCATTGATTTTTTCCATCAAAATTGATTTCAAAGTGCTGCAACTTCTCAATGGATCAGCGTTGGTTACACGTTACCTTTAAATGTTCGACCTTGGGTCATTTTTAGCCTCTAATAAGTCCAAAATTTTCTTGGCCACGAGGGGCCTGCTGTCCCACTTCAAACCCCCAAACAGAAGGGGGCACTTCCCCCTTCTGGCAAACCCTTGATGTATCTTTTGGATAGGGGGTGCACCGAAAAAGTGGTCACTTTTTTAAACAACATTTCACAAACAAAAACAAGTGTTGGGGGCCTAAATAAGGCAGTTTTTACCATTTGGGACAACAAAAAGGGGAGGGGGTGAAAAAGGTGTGTATATTTGGTAATGGGTTAAAATGTTACTTTAGCTTGAGTAAAAAAGGAATCAAAATATTGACAATATTTTTTTTTTTTACAATCACAGCAAAATACGGTAACAAAGCACACACACAAAAGAAAGAGATAAAATTTCAGTATTTTTTAACGCAAATTACCTACTGTAACATTGACTGATTTTAGCAATGATTTTTTATTAAAACATTTCCTAAAGATTTTCACTTTTCTTAACATAAATATACATATTGATAAAGTTTTGTTTTTAAGTACATGTATTAAGCATGAAATAATTGAATATTTTTGTTTTTGTTTTTTATCATTCACATCATTTATTTACTATGCTGTAGAATCATGTCTTTAAAAAAGATTTACCAATAATTATAAAACATTAATAACATCTAAAAATGATTCATGCAAAATCTTAAAAAAGCAAACTTGTCACAGCAAACTCCCCTACCTTCAAATACACCTAAAGCATAATGAGTAATAAATCATTAATTGAATGATGACTAAAAAACTCTGTTTTAAAGTTGTGCTGACCCAACAGCCAAATTTAGAGGAAAGAAAACAAGTCATGTATTTTATATATCCGTCTGAACAATAATGTGCAAATTTTACCTGTATTAATAAAATGCCTTAGAATAAAGATCACTTCTTTCCTCACTGGTCTTTACAAGAAAACATTCGACTATATATAATACAAATTTATGTTTACATTGTTAAAGTATGACAAAGCTTTTAAAAGGACTCCACTGAGGTATTTTGACATGATGGGACTGAAAATATTTTTTCCAGATATAAATGTACCATTAGATGTAGGTTTAGACCACTAATCTTTGTGCAAAATTTCAGATCATTCGCGCACTTCGATTTTCCAGAATAATTATTCAAATTGTAAAAAAATGACCCAAAATGAAAAGCGTTTAAACGCTTTTCACTCAAATCTAGCTAAGAAAATCATTAAAATATGATTTTCAATTTATTTCATAGTATATTCTTAACTATCTTTGCATATATTTCTGTTTAAAGTGCCCCAGCGCATTTATGTAAGAAATTCAAATGTTATGTTTTTAGGCTTTTAAACCTCAGTGGAGTCCCTTTAACCAGCTGGAACCAAAACTTATTAGCCTTTGCCACCAATTTAGTGCCTGGCCTTTCTGCACATCCAAGCAGTCTGGCCAGGCTTTATAACAAACTTTAAATTTCCATCTTGATATCCCCAATATTGATAATGAACATTTCTTTAAATGGAAAATGGACAAGTCCTAAATAAAAATGGTTTGAATTTTATTGGGCTAAATGAATTGTCTTTTCTTTGTTTGTTTAATCTGGTTTTACTGGTGGAGGAAGACCTCAGGTGCCCTTCTGTGCATTTATCCAGGCACAACCGGGCACCTGAGTAGAATCACTGACATTCTGTAAACTAGCTTGATAGCTTCCTCACATGAAAAAATACAAATTCCCTATTGGGATTTGAACCCACAGCTGTGAGGGGAAAGTGGTTTGAAGTCAACTACCTTAACCACTCAGCCACGGATGCCTAAAATGACTTGTCTATGCTACCAGTGTACTGTAAGGCAAGCATTTACATCCATGCCATGTCGTCTTACCAGACATTATAACACATTACAGCTAATGTTATGTATTTTGATACTGAATTCCATTTTTATAAATAATGGGCAGTTCAAAACTCAAAACAAGACTTACCCATCATACAAATTACAAATGTGTCCCTACCAGGTTAAATATCTTATATAGACTTGTCCATCTTTTTATCTGGACAAGACCATTTATCATTTATAGGTGAAATTTTGAAATATGTACTGAATGAATAGCCAACACTGCAAAGCATGATCAGATGCCACAGATGTGCCCCATAATCAAGTGGCATGAATGTGCCTGTTGATCTTAGTCTGCAATGATAGCATGGGTGGATTTTGTAGCCGCAAGCAGGCTAGGGGTTAAGCTTGTAAAGGGTTCAATTTTAACAAATCATGGAGAGGAATATATTTTTTTTACACACATTTTTTTTGCAAGCACTTGGTTTTACAGAAGAACAAAAATATTCCAAAAATATATACCTAATGCAGTCAATATTGGAGCACCTACAAATTTAGGTCTTAGCTGAGCAGTGCTTAGAGTAGCCGATGGTCCCTGGGTACACCCGACCTTGGTACAAGCCTTTAGATAGAACACATATGAGGTGTACTCCTGTAACAAATAAAACACATAATCATATGGTGAAATCTTATATTAGTCATACATAGTTATGGTGTTGTTATAAATATTTATATACAAATTTTGGAATGGAAATTCTAATATAGAAGTATAAAGTAGTTCTATGTATTCATTTAATGTTTAAACTGGGGCTTTAAGAAATACTGACAATTTATATGTTGTTCTATATGCCTCTCTATGCATTAAAAGAAGTAAAAGTAGGCACCCAAGTAGAACCAACAAACCCCTGTAAGCCCCATGTAGCTTAGCTCTATACATCAGCAATCAATGCCATGTTTAGCATTCGTGTTGCCCAGTGATCAATATATAAATGATTAACTTAAGGTTATTCTAAGTCATGGTTTTTATCTTTAAGATCTACTTCTGAACAAATGATTATTATGATTGCATCTTGAAATCAAATAAACTGACCCTTGTCCTAGAAAGCATATACAACTTGAACAAGATATGTTTGTAAAACATGTATGCCCCCTATCAGCAGCCAATTATTCATGTGATAAGGTAATTATGCATGACTTCTGACCCAGTGATCAAACAATTGAATAAGGGTTATCAAGTATCTACTGGTCATGACCTTGACCTTTGACCCCTTGACCAAAACTCCAATAAGGGGTCATCTACTGATCATGACCAATCACCATATTCAAGTTTGAAGTCCCTAGGCCTAAGGGTCTTTCGTTATTGATCGGGGAACCATTTTTACCTACAAGGTCAATGTGACCTTGACCTTTGACCACTTAACCCCAAAATCAATAGGGGTCATCTGTTGGTCATAACCAATCACCATACCAAGTTTGAAGTTCCTAGGCCTAAGGGTTCTTTTGTTATTGATCGGAAACCGTTTTTACCCAAATGGTCAATGTGACCTTGACCTTTGACCCCTTGACCCCAAAATCGTTAGGGGTCATCTACTGATCATGGACCAATCACCATACCAAGTTTGAAGTTCCTAGGCCTAAGGGTTCTTTACTTATTGATCGGAAACCGTTTTTGCTTACAAGGTCAATGTGACCTTGACCTTTTGACCCCTTGACCCCAAAATCAAAAGGGGTCATCTACTGATCATGACAAATCACCATACCAAGTTTGAAGTTCCTAGGCCTTAAGGTTCTTTAGTTATTGATCGGAAACCGTTTTTACCTACAAGGTCAATGTGACCTTGACCTTTAACCCCTTAAAAATCCAAAATCAATAGGGGTCATCTACTGATCATGACCAATCACCATATTCAAGTTTGAAGTCCCTAGGCCTAAGGGTTCTTTCGTTATTGATCGGAAACCGTTTTTGCTTACAAGGTCAATGTGACCTTGACCTTTGACCCCTTGACCCAAAATCAATAGGGGTCATCTACTGATCATGACCAATCACCATATCAAGTTTGTAGTCCTAGGCCTAAGGGTTCTTTCGTTATTGATCGGAAAAACCGTTTTACCTACAAGGTCAATGTGACCTTGGACCTTTGACCACTTAACCCCAAAATCAATAGGGGTCATCTGCTGGTCATAACCATCACCATACCAAGTTGAAGTTCCTTAGGCCTAAGGGTTTCTTTTTGTTATTGATCGGAAACCGTTTTTACCCAAATGGTCAATTGACCTTGACCTTTGACCCCTTGACCCCAAAAATCGTTAGGGGTCATCTACTGATCATGACCAATCACCATACCAAGTTTGAAGTTCCTAGGCCTAAGGGTTCTTTACTTATTGATCGGAAACCGTTTTTGCTTACAAGGTCAATGTTGACCTTGACCTTTGACCCCTTGACCCCAAAAATCAATAGGGGTCATCTACTGATCATGACAAATCACCATACCAAAGTTTGAAGTTCCTAGGCCTTAAGGTTCTTTAGTTATTGATCGGAAACCCGTTTTTGCTTACAAGGTCAATGTGACCTTGACCTTTGACCCTTGACCCAAAATCAATAGGGGTCATCTACTGATCATGACAAATCACCATACCAAGTTTGAAGTTCCTAGGCCTTAAGGTTCTTTAGTTATTGATCGGAAACCGTTTTTGCTTAACAAGGTCAATGTGACCTTGACCTTTGACCCCTTGACCCCAAAATCAATAGGGGTCATCTACTGATCATGACAAATCACCATACCAAGTTTGAAGTTCCTAGGCCTTAAGGTTCTTTAGTTATTGATCGGAAACCGTTTTTGCTTACAAGGTCAATGTGACCTTGACCTTTGACCCCTTGACCCCAAAATCAATAGGGGTCATCTACTTGTCATGACCAATCACCATACCAAGTTTGAAGTTCCTAGGCCTAAGGGTTCTTTAGTTATCACTCGGAAACCATTTGGTCTACGGACCGACGGACCGACGGACCGACGGACCGACGGACCGACAAGTGCAAAGCAATATACCCCCTTTTTTTCAAAAGGGGGCATAATAACATATGGCAGTGATTCAACAAGGGTTTAGAAAAAAATTAAGTATAGAAAGCACATACCCTTAGTTCATCAGTAACATTGAAAGCAGTGGAAGCCCCTGTGTAGACCAATTTTCCATCCATATACAGGAAATATCCAGTCAGGAGACCATTAGGGGCTGCAGGAGGGTCCCAGGTCACGTAAATGTGTCTGGTCCCCGACTTACCACTCGGGGCAGGGACACGCTCTGGCACTATTTAAATACAGAAAAGTTTATCTAGTGTAAAGGAAACTATGAGTAAAGGAAATAATAGTAACAATTTGGTTGAAGATACAGTAATTGGCAAAAATGATTGTAGAAAAACCAATTACTACAGTACAAATCCTTGAAGACTCATTTGGCCACTTACTGTCAAAATGAATTAAGCACTGGAACAAAATAGGACTTTGCAAAAAATAAAATTCTAACACTCTTCACACCATATCACTATCAAACAGATAGGGCAATCAAGTGCGTTATTACACTATATATGCACAGCATTAAAAAGCAGGAACACTTATATTTAATATGATGTCATATATGATGATGTCAATAAACCAAATGATGTCAAGAAAATGTCTTCTATGCTACTTTTATCAATTCTCTTTCTTATTAGCATATTAGAATGGAAAATGATCTTAATTCTTCTTGCATTATATAGAGGATATTGAATGAGTGTAAGTTCAATACTGAATTTATTGCATGAGTTGAATAAAATTATATTATGCGAGCCTCTTGCAAGCATAATATTATTTAATTCAATGAGTGCAATAAATTCAGTAATGAACTTACATGAATTTAATATTCTATTTATCACATACCCAAAATAAAGACCCTTTAAAGTGAAATTAAAGTCATTTTTCATTGACGCGCCTTTAGTATAACGCTAACATTTAGCGCGTCTTTACACTATGTTTGTGTAACGCTAATGATGTCACATCAAAATATATGCACGGCCGTGCAATACCATATTTACGGAGTCGCAAAATCGGCACGGGTGTGTGATAAAGTATAATAATGCATGGTTTTTCGTTCAAATGCTTTGTAATTAATCACTCAGGCCTGTCAGCCTTCGTGATTATATTCCTAGAACCATGCATTATTCTGCCACAATGCACCCAAAATTGATATCTATTTCCTAAAAATCATTACATAAATTGCTTGATTTCAGTACATAAACATAAAAGATACATGAGATACACTATATGAAAATATTAATCTTTACCTTCCTCATTTGTTGTAATCGGCAAACCATCTGGACTAACAGAACATCCCCCTGATGTACAAGCCACCATCTTGACACTGTAACTTGTAAATGGAATAGTCCCTGTCATATTCCCTGCAAATATGATTTTTAAACAAATAAAGGGAAGAAATTGTACAGAAAACATTATACGGATTATCTCCCTTTTATACAAAGAAAATGAAAAGAAAAAATGAAAGCTTTGAGCTAAAATGACATGAAAGCACTGAAATCCAGTTCTCCTGTTTGTTTAAAATGTCTGAGTTTCAATTCACTTTTCCCTCAGAGAGCTGTCTTTTTAGAAGAAAGTTCTTTGTTACATTTTGACATTGTTGCCATTGATGTCATGTAATGCTGACATAAATTTTCTTGTTTATTATTTATTTATGTACCCCGATGAAGGCTTATCAGCCGCAACATTGGTATATAAAAGGGAGTTTTAAAAAAATTGTAGTTGACTACTTATTTTTCAATATTTAGAAGAGTTTGAAATGCCACCAGTATAAAGCCAGTTCAGCCTTTACATCAGTGAAGTATGGCAAAGCTCTATTATATGATTACCTTGTAAGAAAAATTCCGCATATTTAAAAATGACAATTCATTTTTCATGGCAAAACAAGTCTATAAATCACACAAATTTAGCTTGGTTAAAGTGTTAAAGGTATTGCTCTAGACTGTCATACAAAGGAAAATATGATATGAAGAATAATGAAATATATGCAAACCTTCTCTCTTTGAAGTATTCGTGAATACTGCTTCTACAGGGGGTATGGTCTCGTTGTTTAAGTTGAAGGCCTGGAGGACAAACCTGGTCATCAAACCTGATGTACTCACTGGTGCTAGCCACTTAAACTTGACCAGATAACCACTATAGTGATACACCTCATATGGTGCAGTCACGCCGACAGGTGCTGTAAAAACAATAAGTCAACATTAAACAAGAAATGAACCGCGTCCTGACAAAACCAACATAATGGGTGTGCGACCAGCATGGATCCAGACCAGCCTGCGCATCTGCGCAGTCTGATCAGGATCCATGCTGTTCGCTTACAAACCCTATAACAAGTAGGGAAACTGATAGCGAACAGCATGGATCCTGATCAGACTGTGCGGATGCGCAGGCTGGTCTGGATCCATGCTGGTCGCAAACCCATTATGTTGGTTTTGTCATGATGTGGCTCAAATGTGTCCACAGCTCCACATTCCAGTGTTTTTACCATTTACTGACGAACAACAAGACTGTGGGACATGTGGATAACTGATTTATATACCCCTTTAAGAGGGAGCATAAAGAGTATACATTATTATATCAATCATACATTTATGAACTTTTATCATATTTTGTCCTCGCTTTTTGTTTCTTCATTAAATGATTAAAATGACAAAAATTAAAGCTGCTTTTTGTGTCGTCTTTAATTTTTGTCATCTTACTGCTAACTAAATTAATATCAGATCATCAAAAAGAGAAATTGGATAAAATAAGATAGCATAGATAAATGAAATGCCTTCTGTTCATACAGATATCTATCATCCACATCAAGTAAATTTATGATTTATTTATCAAATACGTTTTAAAAACACACAACAATCTTCATAATACACAAAGATATATTTTTTTTAATCTGCTTACTAAGCTTTTTTCCTAGCCTCTGAAAAATAGTCACAGAAAGTAAACTGATAATATTGAACCACAGTTATAGACTTACATCCCTCTTTTGTTCGGCCATATCCCCAATTGCTTTTTCCTGAGCCTGCCTCATTAGTCGCCAGTACTCTGTATAAATAATCAGTGTACGAATGCAGGCCAACATCATAAGCCTCTAGGTCTGTACCATTGTACACATCTGTGATAAGATCATCTTTACATTGGTCAGCATGCATGTGATATGGCGTGCAACCATCCATGTTGACATTGGCGACCTCGATAATCTCAGAGAGAAAATTTGGTGTATAGTCGTCATCAGTCTTTGGTCCAAAATTATCGAATGTTAGGTCTTTAATACAGCCCCCAAATGCTGTATGAAAATATATAATATAAAATATATCAACATTTTAGAAGTTTAAACAAAAATAGTTTGGCATACTTGGGTGTTATCATATGTTTGTCCGAGAAGCATTATTTTAAATCCATCAAAAAGATGAGGTTCACCATAATAATCCTCAATTAAGATCACCATTTGGATTGAGTCGAATGGTGATAATTGATGGGTGGAATATTGTTATCTTATGCCTGCATATGCTATGATCATCGTACATTGTATTGTATTGTGTTCACATGTTCAGAAAGTATTTACACTTGTACAAACTAAAATAAGTATGATATTTAATGTAATGAAGTAACAACATGATTTCTCAATTCACCTTGTACATAAATAAACCAAATTGTTTGACATAATAAATAACATTTAAGGCACAATCACTGTAATTTTTGCAGATTAGGCAACATCAGACATCATAACAAATGTATAACAAGCTATCAGCCTGCTGTTTTTGTATAATGGACTTGTCCTTCTTTGGTTTTGGAACAGTCCATTGTTAGTAAGAGGGATTCCAATATCAAAGTAATAGAATTGAGCAGACAACAATACAGAACTTGATCAGGCTGCATGGGTATGACCTGTGACCTGGAATCTACAAGTCTAAGGCTTACTAAGTTTGTTATAAATGAAATACTAATGTAACTAACCTGCTACAGGTAAAGCAAGTTTATTATTCACAATATAGTGATGTGCTTCCGAGTCAACTGGTACGCCTCCCACATAAAACTCAGACGAGGTCAACACCGTCAGCTCCACGTTTGGATCTCCAGAAGACTCTGTCCCGATACCTTCCACAGTAATAACAGCCTGTTGCCCACGTTTCTCCAACGTGATTATGTACCATCGGCTGTCACAGAAATTCACCCCCTGTCTACTGAATGTGACTGACCCTGCAAGAAGTCTGTTTGCAAACTCAAAATGGACTGCTCCATTGATTATTGCACAGAAGTAGTAAATTCCAATTCCACCATATGAGAAGAAAATAATCCCAGTATGCATCTGGGTTCTAAATCCAAACATTATCCTCTTCTCGTCATTTAACTGTAGTTTATTGTTGGCAGGAAGTCTGGCATAGCCTGAAATTTAAGTGAAAACAGTACTATCTCATATGACAATAACAACAATCAAATCTCTGTCAACTATTAAAGTTACAATATATAGGATAGAAGACCAAACATCTTGATTGACCATAAGTTAGTTTTAAGTCATGTCAACACAGTTTTATACACTGTTAAAGTCATATGGAGACTTTCCCGATTCACTCAAGTCCCCCTCCGAGAATTATTCAGGCACCCCATTAGAACAATTGACCTTCAGTAAGATAGCTAGATAGCTTCCTCAGAACTAGGCAAACACTCAATTCAATAGAAATAACTATTATTCCACTTGTGAACTCAAGTTTAAATGTTGTTCATTTTGAAAATTGTGTACACATTATGCATATATCAAAATTTTACCTTGGCCCATGAAATGAATTCCTTTATCTAAGTTGATAGGGCAACCTTCCCAGTTGAGGAAAGCAAGCTCATTATGTATAGCATTGTTCCAGTCCAAAGTCTTCCAAATCTCCATTGGATACTTCTGCTGCATGATCTGTATATCTCTAATACATCCCTGGAAACTCTGCTCAATTATCTTAAAATGGGAAATAATTTCTATGTTAGTAAAAATATTGTTATATATATATATATATATATATAGTAGTACTCTCAGGGCCAAAAAACCCTTCTTTGTAGAGACTGAATATAGGCTGCTTCCCCAACCAAACTAGCCTCTTTTTTCCCCCAGTTTGGTCCTAAAAATTCCCCAGTCTTTGAAATTTCCCATAGAATTTAGAACAAAATTAAATGATGGTGTTGAATGAAGGTCTTTTACTGCCTTATCAGTATTTCCCAGTGCTTTTTGCTTTTCTATTTTGAAGAACTTGTTAAAAGTTTGTGTTAAATTTGAGACCCCTTTTCCCAAAGTATGCCAAAATCATGCATATTTTCCCCAAGAAAAAGGCCAAGGCCCCTTCCCCAAAAATGTTGTTTTAGCCCTTACTCTTGTTCACACTGATTCAATATATAGAGGATATTTGTTTGTTTTGCATGTAAGATAGAAATATAATTTCACTGAGTGAACACCAGATGCAATATTTTCACGAGTGGCGTAGCCACGAGTGAAAATATAATAGCTGGTGTTCACGTATGAAATATATTTCAATCTTATATATTATGTAAAACAAATAAATTTTCTTTTTATTTCATGCTTTTTAAGCGATTTAAAGTATTTTTTACTGATTTTGCCGCGTAACGTCGTGCATTCTCCTTTGTGACGTCATCACATCATGACGTCACATCATCAATTTTGAAATATAGTTCAGTTAAATTTCTCTAATTTTGTTACATTTTTAACATGATGTATGGTGTCATCGACTTTCTTTTCCTAAATAAGCAAAATTAACGCATGACGGCATCTATTTCTGCCTGTTATTCTATTTAGTTATGATATTCTTTTCATCTGCATTCTGATCTAGTCCGGCTACAGTGAAAATCATATTTTATAAATTTCACTAGTGGTTTATCAGAATATAATCATCTGATATATTACAATAAAACACTGGAAAGCATGAAATAAAATAATATATTCACTTCAAAACAAGCAATCCTTTGCCAAATTTATACTTTACCTTTAGCCTGGCAGCATTGGAATCTAACCATGCAATAAGTCACAGATATTTGGTCATTAAATATTTTGACATATTCCCTGAAATTCTAAAAGGTTTTGACGAGACCCAAAGACGGACAAGTGCATTTAAAATATTCAGCTTGGCAAGGGCTAAATATGCAATCCTAGACTTGTTATGAAGTTATGTACGTGACTCTTGGTCTAAATATATTCTTTTTTGTCATATATTAAAACAAGAACGTGTTTGTTAAACACAAATGCCACCGGCTCAGATTCTTGTCAGTAACAATATTTAAAATAAAGGCTGTATGGGCAAAAGTGTAAAAAATCTATTTTTAGCACTGGTGACCTTGACCCAACTGACCCCTAACTCCATCCAAAGGAAGGATATCATGCAACTTATTTTCCTACCAAATATGAAATAAATCTGTCAATATATAAAGGCTGTATGGGCAAAAGTGTAAAAATCTATTTTTAGCACTGTTGACCTTGACCCAACTGACCCCTAACTCCATCCAAAGGAAGAATACCATGTAAGTTATCTTCCTACCAATTATAATACAAATATGTCAATAAATAAAGGCTGTATGAGCAAAAGTGTGAAAATCTATTTTTAGCACTGGTGACCTTGACCCAGCTGACCCCTACCTCCATCAAAATGAGAATACATGTACCTCAATTTTATGTTCCTACAAAATATACAAGACATCTGTCGATAGAATAAGGTTAATACTGTATACACCTGTAAAAGTGTAAAAAATCTATTTTTGACATTGGTGACCTTGACCCAAATGACCCCTTATTAAAGGAAAAGGAAGAGGACCTCCCTTGGTATGACTATTATAAACATGAAAGACATTAACTTAAAAATAAAGGCAGTATGAGCAGAAATGTTTAGATTTATTTTTTTACATAAGCGACCTTGACCTTGACCTAGAGACGCATAACACCACAAAAAAATTAGAGGACCGTTAAAGGTATCCACCTACCAAATATGAAAGATATCATTAAATAAATTAAGTAATTAGGTGCAATTTTTTGATAAATCCAACTTGGCGGAATAGGTTAACCATACAAGGCCCTATTTTCAAAGTGATAAAAAGGGAAATTACTGGGAAAATGGATGGCACATTTATATAACTTGGCAATATCATGTACATTGTATTGATAAGTAAGTGTGAAAATTATTAAGCCATTAGTTCAGATAGAACATAAGATATTTCCAACTTGCCGGTTTAGGTTAACCATTTTTCATTTTCTAAGTGCTGAAAAGGGCCATAACTTGGTGCAAATGGAAGCCATAGTTATGTAACTTGCCCAGATCATAGACTTTGTATGGATTAGTAAGTGTGTAAATTATGAAGCCATTGGTACAGGTAGAACTTAAGAAAAATCCAACTTGCCGTTCTAGGTTAACCTCGTACGGACAGACGGACGTTCCAACATTTTGGGTTTAGGGGCTAATTTCTTTGTTATTTTCTTTGTTTTCTTAAGGGCTACTAGCCCATTAACCCTTTGATCATGGAATGAACCTATTGTTCTCTTTTGTTCTCTTTACTGTTATATAGCCCCTAAACCCAAAATGTTTGCTTGGATGGACGGACAGACGGACGCACGGTTCAATTACTATATGCCTGGGGGCATAAAAAACACTTCCTGGAAATAGACACAATACTCAAGCTACAAATGCATTTATAAAATATGAGAAAATATTGGGAAAGCATGGTTCAGAAGCAATATTGAAAGATTTATATCAAATTGTGAAAGGTTTTGCTTTGATAAGACAAGGGACAAAGGTTAACAAAGAAAATATCCACACTTCTTAGAAGAAAAAAAAATCAGCACATGGTCCAGTGGTAAAACTTGTGGTATTCATGCTAAAGAACATCTGGCTATGTGTGTACTTCTGGAATGGAGAATCTAAAATCATGTAATCTTGCACTATCATCCTATAAAACCATTTTTTTTTTGTTGTGTCAAAATTATCTACTTACTGTAAACAACTTTATAAGAATGATGTTTAAATGTAAAATAGAATTGGATAAAACAGGACATCAGCAATAGATTTAAAAGGGAAAGGCCTTAGCACTAAGAATATCCGCATGAAAACATTTATCAAAAAAGAATAATTTTTAACAGGATTTAAGTTTGACGTGAAATTTTATTTTAGGGAAAGGCTTTAGCATAAGGAATGAAATTATATCTTGGGAAAGGCTTTCCTATCAATTTTTTTAAGGAATAGCACTGCCATGAATTTACATATTGGGAAAGGCTTCAGTATAAAAAAGTAGAAGTGCCATTATAATGTAAGCTGGGAAGACTTTGGCATCAAGTATGTTTTAAGCGAAGACAATTGTGCCATGAATTTACATACTTTGGCTATTGGAACATATTTGTCATGAAATTGTTAATTGGAGAAAAGTTTTGGCATAAAGATTCAAAAGCAAAAATGGCATGCAAAAACTCAATGGCTTTCATATCAAAACTATTTAAATGGAATAGACTTGAAAGAAATTAATTATAGAGAGAGGTCTTTGCATAAAGAAAGGGAAACAATATCAAGAAAGTTTGGCAGAAAAAGATTTAGTACTGACAATGTGTCATGAGAAGCTACAATGGAAAAACACCATTAAGGCTTTTGGAATTATGATGATTTATGAAGCAAAGTTATAATTTATTGAAATCAGTTTGGCATTCATGCTATTGAATGGGCAATAACTTAAGCATCCAAACTATTTATGTGATTGATCAATCATAACAAAAACACAAAGAGGCTGCTTTTGAAGAGAATCATGGTCTTACTGGTCTTCATCATGTAAATTAGAGCCCCTGTTTTACACTTGAACTGTCTTGGAGGAGAGTAAAAATACAGTGAAAGTTGAGAAAACCGGACGGCTTTCGGACTGAGGGTTTTGTCCGGTTTTCTCAGCGGTCCGGTATTCTCAATGTCCCCTTCAGCTGTTCAGGATCTTGTATTATAACCGAGCAATGACTTACAAAGGAATGATAAAAGTACAAGAAAATATATTTTAATTGTTTTAGTCCAATTATTGCATATAAATACAATTAAAGTTTGGATTTAAATTAACAGAAGTTACCTCATAACGATCAAGTCCGAGTACATCCGCATATGTTTACATTTGGGTAATGATTTAACAAACATAGTTTACTTTATTTGTTTATAATAATAACATATTGGTCAGATTTTTAAAGTAGGTCTCGGCAAAGTTTCACTGTCTTTAATTAATTTAACTTTGTCACTTGTAGACAGCTCTCGTCCAATTCTTTTCGGCCATGGAATAGAACTTAGCGCCAAAAAATATCGTTTCCGTTGCGTTGTCATTTTAGGAAATTAATATACAAAAAGCAACACACAGTAGGAAAATACTCTATTTTTTATTCATACTGATTTTAACTGTTCAATTCCTCGTGCATTTTGGCATTTATATAAAACGGTAACATCTATACCTTACAATAAATCAAACTGTGAAAAGAGACATAAGAAACAAATCAGACAATCATTGTTCCGTTGCCGCTCAATTAATGTATTAGCCAATTGATAAGTACACAAGGTTATTCACACATTCGGCGTCCGGTATTGTCAGGGTAATTGTCTATATAATTGACTCTGTAGTCCCCTTTCAACCGTCCGATATTCGGTTTTTACAGATTCCGGTATTTTCAATGTTTAATACAATAGTTTAAAGAAGGGAAAATTTGGGACTGAATTATTCGTCCGGTATTTCGAGTTCCGATTTTCTCAGCGTCCGGTTTTCTCAAATTTCACTGTAATATGCATACATTTTTATTTACAATGCAATTAAACAATAATAAGTCATAATAATTTTGGAAATAAACAGTATAATTGGTTCCTTAGCTTTTGTTACAATATCATTATTTTATTTCAAGTCAAAATTTGAAAATCTAATCTCAACTGACTTCATCTTTGATAAACTTTACAAAATCAGTTCATTATCCATGTTTACCTAATCAAATCATTTATTTTTTTTTAGAAAATTTTCTTTAATAAATTTGATTTTTTTTCAAAACTGAGTAAATGACAACACTTAACAGAAGCTGATATAGAAATATTTGAGCATTTACAAATTGAACTGTGTAAAACAATACTTACTGTGTACACATTTTGCAGGTATATATTGTTTGGCAGTATTGACCTGAGACTCATTAATTTTCAGAAGCTTTTTTGTTAACAGTTTCTGTAATTTATTACAATTTACCAAACAATTTTTAATGATGAAAGTTCTCAATACTTCATTTTATACTCACATCCTAAATGTAAGTATGATAGCATAACAATCACGAAGTTGCAACAATTTTTTTTTAAAGATTTCTTTAATTATCTTTTTTAAATTATGCAGCATCAGTGCATGAATCATTTCTTCAATTTCTTGTGTCTTTTCTTTAAAAATCATAACTTTGATATATAGATGTGTATCATTGAGGCTAGACAGGCAAGTAGTGTGTCGGTAACTTTAATTGATACATAAACCATGTATACCGTTATGACATACTTTAAAATCTGCATGATTTACTTTGGAATCTGATGATTACCTACAAAAGGTCAGTGGGTTTGCAGATGACTCAGGTCAATATTGCCAATTAATATTTTGACATATAAAAGTTTAATTAAAAATCATGCTCCAAAGGTACAATAATAAACATTAAACATAAATCAAATACGGTAATAACTAAGGTTATCTAGGGGAATTTTGATTTTAAGGTTATCAAGATGTTGTTTTTTCTAGTTATCTATTGCTGCACAATATATGGAATGGTCAATCAGATTCTGCATAATAAGCTACATGCAAGTTCCAAAATAAGATACAATTCATCCTTTTATTATATTCATTGTTGTAACGTGTTATTATATGAGCCGCGTCACAACAAAACCAACACAATGGGTGTGCGACCAGCATGGATCCAGACCAGCCTGCGCATCTGCACAGTCTGATCAGGATCCATGCTGTTCGCTTACCAACCCTTTTACAAGTAGAGAAACTGATAGCGAACAGCATGGATCCTGATCAGACTGCACAGATGCACAGGCTGGTCTGGATCCATGCTGGTCGCAAACCCTCTATGTGGTTTTGTCATGGCGCGGCTCAATTTTGTTCATGCAGTATAGACGATATATATGGTAAGATATGAACTGGTATATAATATGTATCTATAACATACAAAGCACATATAAAGCAGTTTATTATTGTCATAAAAACAGACAAAATAAACAAACAGTACTTCAAACTATTAAAAATTCTGAGATAAATTTCACACATCATAAAGTTCTACTGTAACTTAACCTTTACAGTGCTGGAACAAAAAGTTTTAAGACTTTGCCACCAGTAGAACTAGACTATACTCTACATTAAATTTGTTCAAAATGACCAAACTCTAAAATGTTGGTAGCTTCATATCAAAATCCCTCAAAGTTCAAATTCAAATTCAAAGCTGGTTAAGCCCATTATACAATTTCAGGGTTAAAACAAATGAATTATGATATTTTTGTCCAGTGTGGCTCTACTGGCATTAGTCACAACAAGCATTCATGACTTGTTACTTAACCTTCTGGAATTAAAAATAAATAACCTTTGACAGCAGGATAAAACAAAGCTGGGCTCCTTACTGTTGGATGATGATTTTTTTTATCTTGATATCCCAAACATTTATAATGTTTGGGTCCAAAAATTAATACCAAACACAAAATTTAATATCATTTCAAAGATGTTGGTTCAGTTTTTTTTAGTTCTGAAGAAATGATGATGAATTCTTAAATATACAAAAGAAGGAAACACATAGTCCAGATTACCTGCCCCTGACACTACCTATAACTTAATCATATTAAGCTGGAAACCAGCCAAGTAAATACCAACACAGAACTTACAGACATTGAACTTAACATTATATTTCCATGTAACATAACATCATAACATGAAAAGCAGAAAGTTAAAAATTTGATATATTTCAAGCCGAAACATGTGACTAGCTTTATAATAACAATACATTTATGATAGATATATAAAATAACATTTATGTTACCCTGAGCCTAGGGTCCTTATTACCAAGTTGATTATTTCTGCGGATCTCAAATTCGCTAGGCAAGCCCCCGAAATAGACCCCCGTATTAGGACCAATTATGGTACGATCATTACACGAACTGGTTTTATCACCTATAACAAATGTCAAGATACATTAATAAATCATTGTAGAAATTGTAGAATATTTTACACTCACCTTGAGTCTTTGATCTCTGTTTGTCCGTCGTATTTCAAAATCTGCAGGCAGCCCTCCAATGTACACTCCAGTATTTGGACCTATGATTGTGCCTTTGGCACATCTGCTTGTCCGAGAACCTTTAACATTATATACAAGTAATTTTTTCATACATTTATCAAAACCTTGCAGGCAACAAAAAAAAATATGCGTGCTTGTAAAATTATAATCTTTATTTTTTGAATTATAAAAGAAAGTTAACACAATTATAATATTAAAGTTTTGTTGCAAAAAGTTTGAAAATGAAACTATAACGATTTTTCTGAGCTTGAAATAGGATACAATGTACAGGCTGAATTTTTGTCTGTAATCTATCATAAATATTAAAATCCAACTTTACATACATTTTAAAACATGCAGTTTGCAATTGCATTATAATAATGCAGACATCTCTAGTTTTTCATGTATTTTTTTTACAGAAAACAGTTTTCTGCTTAGATGGTAAGTGGTTATAAACATAATAAATTTTTCCACTTTGCAAAAATTAAAATTAATATAAAAGTTGTCCTCATGTAACTTATTCATTTCTGCTTCAAAAACTAAAACATTTATAATTCATAAAAAAGCTGTAAAAAATTATCTGAATTCTTAAAATATTAAGAGGAAGATTTTTAAAGCACATCAAATCATAGCAAAATGTTTAATTGCACAATGAAGTCATGCAGATAAATAGAACAAAGACGAAGAAAATATATTGCTGAAACCACCTGCAAAGAAATTCCTACAAAATGAAAAAAATTAAAACATGTGACAAATGTTTGTGGTAACGTGTCAATATATTAGACACAGAATGATTTAGAATGATAAACCCATTATAGGTACATTATTTTGTATTTGATAATTACCTTTTTCAGCATTAATTTATGAACATTATATAATATTTTTCAATATATAATCTTGAAAATTTCTTTTGTTTAAAAATAATCAGAAACCAAATTAATATCCTCTTTAAAACAAGAGCATCCAAGTGGTGTCTGTTAAAGGTAACAACAATTAATAACCAATTTTTGTAAATATTCTCAGTTTAAAGGGGCTTTACTCTTAAAAATATTGCTTTCAGTATAATGGCCCTTGTATTACAACTTTGCCTTCTCATGATGTTCAAGTATTCCATGTTTCATGTTGATATCTCATTGTTTTGAAATCGTTCTGCTTAATAAACAATTTTAACAAAAAATTCTTAAATAAAAAGGGGCATAACTCCAAAAAAATAAAGAATTCAGAATAATGCCCCTTGAATTACAACTGCAGCTTGTCATGATAAGCAAGTATTCAAAAAGTAAATTAATTCAGATGATATCAAAATCATGACAGTGTCAATGATGGAGGAATCATAATAGCTTGGCTTTTTCTTCGAATCAAACAAGTTAAACATTAAAAATTGACATTTATGATTTAATAAATTTTTTGTTGTTGTTGGGTTTTACATCGCACCAATATGAGCTGTGCCATGACAAAATCAACACAATGGGTTTGCGACCAGCATGGATCCAGACCAGCCTGCGCGTCCGCACAGTCTGATCAGGATCCATGCTGTTCGCTTACAAACTGTATAACATGTAGAGAAACTGATAGCGAACAGCATGGATCCTGATCAGACTGCGCTGATGCGCAGGCTGGTCTGGATCCATGCTGGTCGCAAACCCATTATGTTGGTTTTGTCATGGCGCGGCTCATATAATCATATGGTGACACTCTGTACATCATTTCAGGCACAAACGGGCTCCTGTGTTATGAACTACAACTGTTTCTTAAGCCAGCCTGGATAGCTTTCTTACATGTAAAGTCTGAATACACTTGCGTGGCTCAAACCTACAGCAGCGGGAGGCAAGCAGTTTGAAGTCAATGACTTTAACCATTTAGCCAAAGATGCTCCCATTTTAATGAAATATATTTAGAAAGCTTTACAATCAAAATAAAGAAAGATCATGATAGTTTTAATAAACTTTCAAATACTGACATTTGTTTTTATAATCTTTCAATATAAACTTTACTCTTATTGTAGAAATAATATAATTGATTATTTGTGCCTCTGCTTCTGCTTTGATAAATTAATAATGATATAAATATTTTATTAAGGTAGACTTACTCTAATACTTTCCCACCAAAAAATTTCTAACATCGGCCAATATCGTAATCAATCGGTCATTTCCGGAATGTTATTTTTCACAATCTTCGGTATTCAATAATTTAACTAATTATAATCAGAATTTAATAAATAGCAATTTAAATGAAGATTTATTATAAATAATCAAATACTTAAAATTTTGAAAAAAAAAACAAAAAAACATCTACCGGAAATAACCGATTTGCTACAATATTGGCGGATGTTAGAATCTTTTGGCGGGAAAGCATTACAGTAAGACTACCTTAAATCCATGTCTAAAAGTAAGCAAGTTATCAGACCTGTCCAGGTTTCATCGATGGCTATATATGCTACATTCTCGTCTCTCCATGCTACAAGTTGATGCCAGATGTTATCACTGTATAACAAGCCCTCGTCATTGTTTGTTGTCACGAATGAGGCACACCCTGTTGTCAAGCGTAGCAGGATAAAAATAAAATCATGCAAAAGAAACTATGTAAATATTTGACCACACCAACATTAAAATCAAAGTGCAATAACAGGTTAACTCCTATTAAATTATACAATAAGTTAACCCATTACTACACCAAGGTGACAATGTGATTTCCCAAGCAGATTCCCTTATGCTTAAGCACATCTAGAAATAATTCATAATGTAAAGGAAGTAATAAAAGTTGGCATACACAACCTAGCACAAATATAGATTTGTAAGCACATTTAGAATTGTCAAGTTGCACCTCTAACAAAAATAACACCAATAAATATCATAAAAACCAAAAATGTTCAAACATACACTGTATAATTTATTTCCATAACCAAAGAAAAAAAAATCAAAATTGGCTAAGAGCAAGAATAATATTAATCTCTGCCACTTGATCTTGCACAGAAGCAACATATGATGTAACAGAGGAGCCACTGCCACATAACACAACCATCACAAATGCCCAGTCTTATGATAGTTGGGCACGTACATTAAAATCCCTCTAGTCATTCATGATGACAAAATGATCAATATTCACATTATCATACTATATCTGACCTTAGACCTTCATCTGTGATATTAACCTTGACCCCAGGGCCTGAATTTTATGCTAGACAATCTGGCTAACAATGGTCAGCATTTGTGCCAAGTTATATTTATATATGTAGAAGTTTTGCTATGGACAAGTTGTTTTTTTCTGATCCCTCAATGAAACCTTGAACTTTAACCTAGACTTGCTTCATGAGCTTGACACTTCATCTCATAATAACCAATATTTGTGTTAAGTGATTCTTAAACCAATTCATGCATGCAGAAGATAAATTATGCTCCAGACATCATCTGGATGACCATTGCTAGGGGCAATCAGGTAATCCCATAAGATGACCCATTTTTTGCAATTGGGTGTATAATAAAAAATATACAACAAAATTATGATTGTCCCACTTCTAGGAAAAAACATATGAACCGTGTCACAACAAAACCATCATAGTGCGTTTGCGACTAGCATGGATCCAGACCAGCCTGCGCAGTCTGATCAGGATCCATGCTGTTTGCTTACCAACCCTATTACAAGTAGAGATACTGATAGCGAACAGCATGGATCCTGATCAGACTGCGTGGATGCGCAGGCTGGTCTGGATCCATGCTGGTTGCAAACCCACTATGTTGGTTTTGTCATGACACGGCTCATATATGTTCTATAAAATAACATCTATAAAACCAAGCACCAGATGGCAGCACCATGCATGCCTCTACCTGTGTGATGATCAACAGTCATTGTGGCGTTCAGGTTTATTATAGTCGCTGTAAGGTAATGCCACTCCCCATCGTTGACCAGGTACGCCCTATCATTATTAGGGTCTGGGGCCAAGTAAACTTGCATTTCACATGATCCTAATCACATAACATAATTATACTGTACAGTAACAATAATAATATCATACAGTTTTATTTACCTACTATTTACCTAAAAATAAATTGCATTATGTGACGATAAATATACATATTTCCTTTATTTAATTTCACCCATGAAATATGGTGCTATATCAGTCAAATATATTTCATATTTGTTAAAAATAAATATGAAATATATATATGAAAGTGGGCAGAGTCAAAACTCATATTTATTTTAAGGGACTTTCGCCATTGTGTTTAAAAAATCTGATAAATAAAAAACAACTTTTTGTTGAATGTCGTTTTAAAACTATCTACAACGATAGAAAATGGTGTAACTAAGTAAATAAATACGAACACCAATATCTTTAATCCAGTCATTAACGCTGTACAGATGCTTAAAGAGTAATTAACATGACGTCACAATGTAGCGCCAAACAGCGCATGCAAAAGCAGTCAAAACAAGACCACGTAGCAAGCAAGCAAGGGGATTCATAACCTTTTTTCTTTGATTATGAAATTAAATAAAAAGGTTATTTTTTTTCATTTTTTTTTTTGTGAAATAGGGTATATATTTTCACTCAACATGATGAAATGCCACATATTTTCACTCCCGGCTCGTCAAATCATATGCATTTTATCATGTTTCATGAAAATATATTCCATATTTCACTCAAACGAAAAAATATTCTCTAAATATTGGACACTGCGTCATCCAATATATCTTATATCGGACAGATGAGTGTGCATAACCTTCTCCATGCAAGATGAAAGCCATTTACAACAAAAAAGTTTGTGACTGCTATTTAGATTGATATCTGCGAACTACATTAAATGTCTTGAGAAACGAAACTGTCTGCCATATTCAATCAGCATTTATTATTTAGTCACACTTTGAATGTTTTAGGACTCATTATCATACCCAGGTTGAGAAAGCATATTTGTACTCATCTGGCTAGTAATAACTTGACCAATATGGTTTCTCTAGCTGTGTAATCTAATCTTATATCAGTATAATTTGAGGGTTGACTGAAAGACTGTTGTAAGTCCTTCTTCATTACATATAAGTTACTTCAGTTTTGCAATCAACCCTTGTATTGTAAAGTTCAATGTAAAATAACCTTCAGGTATATATGGTATATTATATCTATGCAAGCAAAGATATTATCTAAATTCTGATTGAGTAATAGTTTTGGTTTTCTTTAAAAATGTCAATAATAATAGACCAATCAAATCAATTGCTGTCTGAAATTAATCTATAAATTGTATTTCATAACCTAAATACAAGTTTTAGAAATATATCTGTAACACTTTTCATTGCTGGCACAATAACTTACTTGTTCTTTCAGCTTGTCATACTATAATTATTTTGATGTCTTTATTAATAAAATAAGGTTTTTCAAAACCAAAATATTGCAATTGAGTAGCTTAATAAATAGTCAAGTCCAACTGCAATGACATGAGCATCTGCCAGGCTCTAACCCAAGATGGCAAAGAGAAGTTACTCTTGCCATTATAACATAGAAAATAAAATAAGTTCAATGAGTTACTCACCTTGAGGATCAAAGAGGAACCATGGTCTTCCATGTTTGAACTGGAGGGCAACAAACTCATTTTGTTGGCCCTCTGAGGCTGCAAAAAGCAACAGTCCTTCCTTTTGCCGTGTTCTGAACCAAAATTTTATACCTGGACAATAACACAAGAAATTATCATCAGCTCATGCGACCCAAAAACTAGCATACATTTTGTTATCAATAAATTAAATGTACATGGCATTGAAATGATGTTCTTTATATATTTGTTTGCTTGTTTGCTTGTTATGTTTTGATTAGGTGAGATTGCTATGTTCATATTGTGACTTTCTAGCTTTAATGATGAAGCGAGACCTCAGGTGAGAGTTAAGTGGTTTAAGTCAACAATCTTAACCACTTAGTCACAGATGCACATGCATCTATTTTCATCACACTGATTTGAGTTGCAGTTATAGAACTATAATGTAGAGTTAAAAGTAAAATATCAGTAATTTAATAGTACATACACAAAAACTTCAGAAAGAATACTTTGCAGACATAGATATATTGTTCCACTTTTAACAATTTAAAAGCTAACACTAAATGAAGGTTCTGAACTTCTGAATTGTAATACGTATATAAATCTATCATAAGTATGTGAATTTAGATCACAGAGATGCAAAACATGTCGTTTAAAATGTTCAAGAAACTGAAAATTCCTAAGAGTAAAAGGTTTTTTATAATGTGCAATACTAAACTCTTCCCTCTCTTCTTTGTAACTGACCTTTAATTGCATTAAAATGAATAAAAGTCAAACCCGTGAAATCAACATTAGGAGGGATGGTGTCTGGAGGGAACAGGTAATAACCTCCACCTGGAAACCTCGTTCCACTAATAACCTGAGGTGGGTAACTCAGGGCTGGTATGGTTTTCTGTATGGTATATATAGGTTCAGGACCATTTGGAAAAGCAGGTGGTGCCCATACAATCGCCATGGCTGAGGAGTTTAAACCATCTACCAACGGTTTCTCTATACCTTCAGGTACTGTAAAATAAATATATAGCAAATTTATAATCATACATGCCATAACATAAGGGACTGCCCTGGAAATCTGGTGCCTGTCCCGGAGACAAATTATTTCCCCATAAAAATTAAAATCTGAAATAATCTACTTTGCAGCCAGAAATTATAATGAAACAATATCATTTATACGTTTTAAAAACTAAATGTTATAAATCTAACGATTTCCTTTTCAACAAATTTGAAATTTAACATTTACTTACTGTTTATGAAAGAGAAATTTAATACAGAATTCTTTAATAAATTTTTACAAAAAATCTTTGCCCAATTTGTGATAAAAACTGCAACATGGAACATGTTGAATATACATCAAAATAGGATGTTTTTGTTTTTCTTATTTTTAAGCATATGTCATATGGCAATTTTAAAGCTTGTCAAGGTCAAACACCTATGTTCAATCTTGTCCAGGCTATATGGCAACCTTCAAACTTGTCTTGGTATACAAATACAGTGTCATATCAGTGAAAAGTTTGTACGGATGTACAGCCTGGTACAACTCCATACTGTATACCAGTGGTATAGACATTATATTATAGCTGCTTGCATTAATAGGACAACTTACTGTCTTGGTTGGTCATTCCTGTGCTTTCTGTACTGTTTACACATCCCACAGAATTACAAGCTTCAACCATTATTGTATGTTCTGTGTAGGGGCTCAAACCTCCTAGGATATAGTACATCTTATCTGGACTCTGTGTTACAACATGTGACCATGTGAAAGGCGGGGCATGGGGAGTTACTGAAAGATCTGTCTCCATATAGTAATAAACACTGTATTCCATGATTATCCCCCTTGACTGATCATCTGTAGGTGCCTCCCATGAAATATTTAAAGAAAAGGGACTAAACCCTGTAATTGTTGGTGCTGGAGTAAATAGCGGAGTTGTTGCCCCTGTCCTGCCTGATACCCAAGCACTAGCAGCTTTACCAGCACTATTCTGTGCCAAAATCTAAATATACAAATACATCAAGTCAAATAATAAAGAAGTATGACATGAAATAAACAACATTCAGACTCACTAAAGGTTACAATCAGCAAAATGTTAAATAAAACTTAAAGATACATGTATCTTAAAATATGGCATTCACAGCATTAGGAATTTTGTTAATGTTAATACTTCAAGGTCAATTAAAACCTATTTACTCACATAAAATTGAGCAGAGTTTTCATTGACAAGTATTTAAAAACTTTTTTATTGATACATATACAGCATTAAAAACTGTAAAAATTACAAAATGCTAAATAAATTCACCTCTGAAGTCCAGTGCATTTTGTATTCTAGTTTTTCCAGATTAAAACTTCTTATAAGAGATCACTTGTCAAAAGGAGACCACTTTTTTCTTGCTTTCAAAGTAGTATTTTGTTGATCCATAATTATGACAGTTTATACTAGGTGTGTGGAAAAGTCCAAAAGGAATTCACAATACACAATATTAAACCATTAAAAGTCATTAAAACTGCATTTAGGTTCTTTTCAATTCAATATTTTGTATGAATAGTATAATATCTTTACCTGAAATTCATACATGGTGAAAGGTACAAGTCCAGTTAGAATGTACTCTGTAGCTGGAGGGGGAAGGGCATTCTCCTGAGGGTTCTGAGTTGGGCGGGGATTGTACTGACCACTGGGGTGGAAGATTAGCGTCTCTGGAGGAAACCTTACTCCATCTGGGCCAACATCACCTCTCATCCACACTTCATAAAATATTATGATACCTGAAATTAGATTTTTGGATGGTTTTTATCACAATAATAATCTAATCTGTATACACAGGCACCATTAGAGTATTCAGGTTGTTGCCAGCTGATATTGTCACAATACTTATCATTTTGATAGTTCCTGGGTGATAATCATATCTATATATTTTTATAAGCAATTATCATTAGGATATAGCCTGTATTGTCAAAGTAACAATACTTATAATTTTGATAGTTTCTGGCTATATTTAATAAAAAAACTTACCATTAGGATATTCTGGTGGTTCCCAGCTGATTTTGAGAGCTGTATTGTTCACTGCCATGACAAGAGGTGGAAACATGCCCTCTGGTACTGCGGACATAGTTGGAAATGTGACCGGCTCACTTGTCAGACATCCACCAGTTGTACAGGTGTCAACATGGAATATGTACACTGTAAATGGTGTTAGAGTGGTCAAAGAGACCTCTACTTCCTGACCCTCCCATTGGTCAATTCTAGTTGAGTTTTGTTCTGTTTCAGAATACAATACGTATTTCCATAGCGGTCCATTCATGATCTGTGGGGTATTCCAGAAGAATTTAGCACTCTTGGCATGTATGTTTGTGACATTTAGAATCACCACACCATATGGTGCACCCGCTGGTGTTCGGTACGAGTTTGGAGCACTTCGCACACTCCCGAAATCATTGTCAGCTTGGATTATATATGAGTACATGGTGTACGGATGCAGGCCACCATCTACAACTGTCCTCTCTGTAACACAGATATTTACAGGTAAAAAACAAATTAACAATCATATTGGATTAAGAAAATCTTAGAAAATTTTGCTTCAAATTTGTAAATTCATAAAAAAAATTCTAGATAAATTTTTAACTATAAAACTGTATGGAACTGATAAATTTGATGTTCTATATAAATAAAATGAAAACTAAGTTAAGATTTAAGTTTTTTTGCCCAATTTTGTATTCAATTTAGTTTATTCAAAGAATGTAACTCAAGTATCTCATATACATGAATGTTGGTTCATATTCAATACCTAGCACAAACCAGTTTCTGATATTTCAACAAATAAACAAATGGCCTAGAAACATAACATTGTAAGACATTATATGTAAGAAAACCTAAAATGAAGTTTATATCATAAACATGCATGAGACTGAGAAGAAGAAAATAGCAAAAGATAATATGTTATAAAAAGTGTAATTACAAATAAAAGATTTGAATTGACATGAGCATGTAATTTACATGACTTGGTGAAATGTGATCAGGAAATCTTAAAATAAGCTGTGAAAACTCCTGAAGTATGTGAATCAGGAGGCAAACATAGAATGAGAACATCTACTGCAAGCTTACTTGATTTAAACCATTTAAGCACTAGCAATTATGATTAAATATTCCCATATTTTTAGTATATGTAAATTTAATATACATAATTTCCAAAAGTTGTGAAAACCCTGATCATTACAAAAAAAATATTTCTTCTTTCTAGTATCTATCCAACATGCATTTTATTTATACCCCCCTCCCCCAATCATTCAAGGTCCAAATGAATTAAAGAATAACATATAATTGCATCAATTTACATATTTACAAACTTGCTTATTGATAAGTCTGAAGTCATAATGTCAGTACTCCTATCCCCATAAATAAACCCCCACCCCAGTTAAGCATTGATAATTTACGCAGCTCACAACTATTTTTATAAGGAGAAAATAAAAGGCAGCATAGCAGTCAGAGCGATTTATCATGCAACACAAGATTTGTAGAAATTGTATACAAGAAAAGTCATGCAACAGAAAATCAATAATTATGCAATAATAATGCAATTGATTCTTATCAAGTTCATTTAATACATGGATGATAATCAAATTTATCTAAAGAAATACAATTGTTCACTTGTAGAAATATTCACATTTTAATCAAGACCGTTCCTGGAACCAACCAGTACTAAGCACTGTGTGTAAAGTTTCTTGCTCGCGAAAACAACAGCTTGCCTCTGACTGGGTTTGAAACCCATGTTGCCAGCAATTTCGTAGATTACTAGTTCACCAAGTTAACCACTTGGCCATTCTGCCACTCATAGAAGTCATATAATCAAGCTGAAAAAAACAACATGAGGTATGTATGCCAATAGTCATTATGCAAGCATGCAAATAACCACTTAAAGCACTACAATATGACATTCAAAAGGTAAAAGAGAATAATGAAATTTCTACATTCTAAAGTCTATGTTCTAAACCTAGATCCGAATATTAAAACTTACAATATTAATTTGACAGTAATAAATATATTGCTAGTTTTTGTCTAAGTTTAAATAGATTGAAAGTTGAATTCAAATTTGTTTCAATTAACTGAAAGAAAAACAAAAATCAAGTGTCTCAACTGGTACAAAAAAAATGTAATTTATATTTGACGGTAATTTTTTTTACCAATAATTCATGTTAAAGGATACCAAATTATAAGATATAAATAAAAAATTTAAATATACCTTTAAATATTTTTTTGATATTCTTAGAATTTAGACAGATAAGGGAAAACATTATGCAGATGGGGTACTAAAATGTTTTGAAAAAGTAATTTCTTAGTTGAAAGGTTTCATGATGTGAGTTTTTTTCCATACATTTACCTTTTACGTTCTGGAACCAAAAGTGGAAAGCCTTTGCCACATCAGTACTGTCTGACCAGGTTTGATGCTCTTAATGCTTATTTTTACATTTTTGGTATCATTTTTCAAAAAATAATTAAAAGAAAGTTCCAAATTGAAAGGATAAATCCATGATACAAATGCACATGGTGAGTACTTGACCGATAAAAAATCTAGCAATACATTTATAAATGTCTCAAAATTAAGAAAAAAGGTTAAAAAGTTATTCTAGTTAGTCCAATACCTGAAGGTTCTGTAAAATATGCAAAACATATTGTTTTTAATGAAATAACTCAAAATTAGTAGTTACACAATGCCATTCTATAAAATGTCTTCTCAAAGCTACTTTCATTTTCCGATACTTTGTAATACTTTATGATTATAACCAAAAGAAATTAAAGAAATTTAGTTATGTTGAGGTACATATGGAAGATCGTTTTGGCGAATATGTAGTCTCGTTAAATAAAGCCTTTATTATTATCATTATTATAATGATAATAATAAAGGTTGATGAAAAGAACACAGTTCAAAATTTTAAATTACCTATCTAATATTACAGGTAATAAATGATGTAGCGGCTCAAATCATAATGTCATTTTTTGATGTTCACTTCTAACTGCACAAAGACAAAAATCGCCACACACAACTCAATTCTATTTTTAGCAACAACATTTTTCATTCATTATTTTATGCTTAAAGAAGACATTCTATATATGGCAACAGATTAATATTATTAAGTGCACATGTACTGCATATAGTTGTTGTTGTAAATATAGTTACAGTATATAAAACAGTTATGACAGGATTACTTCCCCTGTTAATGAACATATACATAAATACTGTGAATTCTTGGCATACCCAACATTTTTTTTACCTGTTTGGAAGTTTTCTTGACCTGATATCAATACATGTATTAAAATATCTGCCAACATGTGTATAATTTACAATTCTTTATTTTTATCAATTCAAATGACAGGCAACAATATTGAATAAAGTTTTTTCAAGACAACGGTATTCAAACAAAATAACCCATTCAGGGACTGCATCCATAAGGCTCCTTAGTTTTTATGGCTGCTTTAAGTTGCCTTAACTTTGAAAGAGAAAGTCGGCCAAAATCAAGAAAAGTTTACAGTTTTAAGTTTCATGTACAGAACCTAAGGAAATTCTTAAAGAACAAAGAAATTTATTTGGAATTTTAAGAACCAAAGAAAATACAATCCTTAAGGAACATTATGTATGTGGTCCCTGATCTGTTAAATAAGTTAGGAGGGAGTACTTGGCACTTCAAACAGTGTTGTTGTTTTTTCATATCACACTCTCAAAGTATACAGGTTGTTTTTTCATATCACACTCTCAAAGTGTACAGTAATGTAAATACATGTAAAGGTGAAACAAAAAATATACTAATAAACAATTTATGTCCAATGCGAAAGATAAAAACATGGGAATAATAATTAAAAAGAAAATTAATCATAGGTAGTGATGATTTAAGACAGAAATCAGGAAAAAAACCTATTCTCCTGCAACTTACATCTATATATACATACTATTAAGCATTAAAGGTAGCAAAATTATTGTATACTTCACTATAACCTCTTATTAAGGAACTGTTCTATCTGTACCAAAACCTTTCGGCTTTCAAAGAGCTTCTTTCCAATAGAAGGAAGACCCCCAGGAACATACCAGTACCTGCGCCATCAAGTGCAAAGCACTCAGATAGACCCATTTGGTACCCTCACAGCCTCAAAGGCATCTGGGATAAAGCTTGGTAGGTAATACATACATGTATATTATAATTGTTTTTCTCACAACATGGGCTTCAAGAAAATTTGACTCCCTATCTAATATATACAGCTACTGCCTTACCATCTCCTTTCAGTGTATAAACCAGTGTTCCATTTCTGAACAGCAAATACTGTGTGATTAAACCATTAGGGTAATCAGGACCTTTCCAGTTCAGTCTGACCGCTGTCGAGTTGATGGCCTCATACGAGGGTGGAGGCTGTTGATCAGGTGCTGTAATTGACAAATGAGCCACGTCACGACAAAACCAACATAGTGCATTTGCGACCAGCATGGATCCAGACCAGCCTGCGCATCCACGCAGTCTGATCAGGATCCATGCTGTTCGCTTACAAACCCTATTACAAGTAAAGAAACGGATAGCGAACAGCATGGATCCTGATCAGACTGCGCGGATGCGCAGGCTGGTCTGGATCCATGCTGGTCGCAAACCCATTATGTTGGTTTTGTCGTTATAACACCAGAATAGAAAGAGGACAACCTGCACAGCGATGAAGTCTGACCAGGCTTTATACCATTGGCTGAATAACATTAAATTAGCAATTTTTATCTTGCAATCCCCTAAAAATTGATAATAGAAAGTTCCAAAATTGAAAACTGGACAAGTCCATTCCAGAAATTAAGCAGTTTAAAGGTAAATTAAAAATGTTAACCCTTTAAAAGATAATAATAACAGACAGATTAAGCCATCAGCATATTTTGGACAGTGAGTCAGCATGTCTGTTCAAACTGACAAAATTCTACTTAATTTATACAAGGTTATGGAGACATTTTTGAATCTGTTCCTGGGACCAACCAGCATTATCAATAAGTGTAGTTTCTTGCTAACACCTGACAGAGTTTAAACCCACACAGTTTGCAATCTTTGAATAACTAGCTCCAATTTTAAAACAGGGCACTAGCCAACTGTACAAATTTAGCAGTGCAAGAATGCATTTTATCAGTAAAACAAAAATTTACCTTTACTGCATCCAAATGGGTTGTTCTCATCAAGAAAACTGGAGCCGGAAACACATTTGTCACATCTTCTCTTAAATGTGAACTCTTTACAATAACACTGGCCGTCAAAAGGGTCACATGTACCATTTACACTGCCTGCCATATTACAGTCGCAATCATTACACCTTGAAAATACATAGAAAATAAAGTTTTTTTCATTCTATAAATACTGGATTTATTTTCATTGAGTGGTGTGAAAATAAATATTTTTTGAGTGGCAGTAGCCACAAGTGGAATATGATAATTTTCAATTCACAAGATGAAAAACAAGAATCACTTATTTATAAAAGAAATTTTGAATTGTCAGTTTATTACATTTTGTATATACTTTTTTCTTTTCTGACCTTACAAATCAAAAGACTTCCCCCTCACTTTTGTGTATTTGCTGAATGTAAAAGAAAGTACCTGTCCAGTGGTCAGCAAGACACCAGTGAAAATATATAAAATATGTTTCACTGCAGTGCAAACTAAATTTTACAGTGAAAATATAGAAAATGAAAATACACATTTTATTTCTTCAATACTTAATTTATAAGTATGTAATAAATGTAATAACTCAAAATGCAAGCTTATTTTTTTCTTACATTTCAGACTAGATTTTCTAGTATTTACACAACTGCTGGAAAATGTCACTGTACAAAGTTAACCTAACATGTAAAATTTGATCCTGTACATTACAGTGTATTAAAAATCCAACTTGCCAAGTAAACCTCATACGGACAGATGGTAAAATTACTATATGCTGAGGGGCATAAAACTATTAAATCTATTAAAACAGACATACTCTCCGGAGCTTCCATCAAAACCAAAGTAGCCTTCTAAGCACTCATTGCACGACATTCCTGTGACCCCAGAGCCTCCCCCTCGGCACTCACACTGACCTGTCTGGGAGTCACACTCTGTGAGAGGCAAGGTACCTTTTTGATGACACACACAGTTCAAGCATCCACCGCCTGCTTCATTACTTATAAAATATCCTAGAAAATAAGCAACACTTAAAGTTCACAATGCCTTTCAATATGAATTATACAGGGTGCCCATATGTTATCATTTAAGCAGTTCTAATATTACGGTAATAAAGTAGTCATAAACAGTAATTAAAGAAATTTAAACATTGATGATTTTGAAGAAAAATAAAATTTATTCAGTTTTACTTACCGTAATAATATCATTGCACAAATAAATTGGTCTTACATAGATAAGCATCACAAAATATGGAGAAAAAACATTAAAAGGGCCTTTCAAACAAGAGCTGTCCGTAAGACAGCGCGCTCGACTTTTTTATTGCTTGCCAATAAAAAAAGTTTTTGCAGTAAAAGGCAATACAAGAATCTCTGTATTTTTAAAGTGAACAATGGCCATGAGCATTAAGATATTTAGTGAAGAATTATTTTATTATGACATAATTTATGGTAAAGTGAACAAGTGGATAGGAATGAATTTTTTAGATTTTTTAAGTTTTTTAGTGCTTGCCTATAATACAAAACATTGACAGTTAAGGGCCATAATTCAAATAAATCTTTGACAGAATTACCTTCTCCCTGGACATGTTTGGGAATCATGATTGTAAACAAGTATTCCAACTTTCAAATTAATATCTCAAACAGTTCAGTCAAAAAGTGGACTGGTACTAAAAACTTAACCAAGATTCTAAGTCGATAAAAGGCCTTAATTTTTAAAACAAATCCTTGACAGAGTTACCTTCTCTTGCGTACAGATGGGGGTAATGATGTGAAATAGCATTAAAAGTTTCAAAGCAATATCTCAAAGGGTTAAGGCAATAAGTGGATTTTACCCATATTCAATGTATTTTCTAAGTCAAAAAGGGGCATAATTCTGTCAAAAACCTTGACAGAGTTATGTCCTCTTTGTCTGTTGATGAAGGTCGTGATGGTAAACAAGTATGGTCAGTTTCAAAGCAATACCTCCAATGGTTTTGAAATAAAGTGAGGTGGTACAAAAAACTTAACCAAGCTCAATACACTTTCTAAGTCAAAAAAGGGCCATAATTCTGTCAAAAACCTTGACAGAGTTATGTACTCTTGTCTGTAGATGGAGGTTATGATGGTGAACAAGTATGGTAAGTTTCAAAGCCATACTTGTAATACTTCTGAAATAAAGTGGGGTGGTACGAAAAACTTAACCAAGGTGTGACGCCAACGCTAACGCCGACGCCGACGCCGACGCCGGGGCGAGTAGGATAGCTCCCCTTTTCATAGAAAAGTCGAGCTAAAAAGTGTCAAAAATGTGCTCCAAAAGTTTATATACGAACCATTAAATTAAAATTCAAATACACTGGAGAATATCATTATAAGTACATATTAAATTTTTATTTATTCACTTTCCCCTACTGATCATCTGACATATTGGTCCATTTTTCAAAATATGAACAAGCATCATAGAAGAATAAGGCTTTTCTTCTTAAAGTACAATAAAGGGTTTTATCCCGAGCATGCTAGTGTCAACTCATTCTCCTAATGGAACTGGCACATTTATGAGGACTGATCAGGGTTTGCACTTTTTGTTATACGGTCAGTACATATTTTGAATTTTTTCCCTATAAATAATGAATGGTTTTGTCCAGACTGAAAAATGAGCAACCATGGAAAACTAGAGGTAAATAATATTGTATAGCCAGCCTGCATAGCTCAATCAGTTAGCATGCGAAACTTTTAATCTTGACATTGTGGGTTAAATTCCCAGTCTGGCCAATTAAAATTACAAATCAGTCTTTAAGAGGTCTAGTGTACGAGTGCTTAAACACTTGGCACATTAAAGAACCAGGAAAAGCTTCTGTAAATGGGGCATCTTTCTGCATCTGTATCTTGAACTTTCCTCCATGAACTATCCTCCAAAACATAAAATGACTAATACTCTTGTGGAGGACTGGCCCATATGGGCAGGCAACTGGTGGCAAGTATAAATAAACTGAAATACACACACAGTTAAATTCATGAAGAAGTAATCTCTTTAACAGACCTACCAGACAAGCAGTCATCACACTGTCTTCCAATCCTGTTAGCGAGACAAGTACATGCCCCTGTGTTCTGATTACAAGCCAGGTCCTCCATTGAGTTAACATCTCCTAGCTGCGTACCTGTAGGGTCACACTCACATGGTATACAACCTGTGTCATATAGCAGACTGAGACCCCATGTGTTACCCTTACACTGGTTACAACTAGCTCCCTGTACATTAGTCTTACATACACAGTCTCCTGTGTCCTGATGAAAAATTCATAAACAGAAATATTAATATCAACCAGTTGTAATAATTCAAATTCATATCTTTGAATATGAATATAACTATCTGAGACAAAACATGTATAATATTGTTTAAATATGTCTAAATGATTGACAAAGCTATACTGTCATTGTAATGAAATAAGTATATGAAACAAAAAACAGTTACATCAAAACTTTCGATTACATACAAAATGGAAGTCATTTAAGTTTGTAGTATTTAAAGCTGGGCATAACATTTCTTCTCTTTTACTATCAGACTCTGTAATTAAAAAACATAGACTTTAAATAAATGAAAATGTGAACAAGAGCTGTCAATAGGGCAGTATGCTCGACTATTCTCAGTGCTTGAAACTAAAACAAATTTTAGCCTGGTTAATGTAGATTCATAAATTGTAAAAGGGCCAACATTTTGTCAAAATCCATGTTGAAGTTATTAGTATGGGATATTGGCCTTATATTATAAGGTTCTTAAAAGTGTGTGAAGTTTCAACACATTCTCTTGGTAGTTTTAAAGATACCATCTTGCAAGGAAAAACTTAACCAAAATGTGACCCCAGGGTGAGGACAATTACAGCTCTCCCTTTTCTTGTAATAGTCGGGCTAAAAAGAGGAAGTGCATTATTATTTTGCAAAACAAAAATAAACCTTATCACAAAGCATAGATCCATTCAAGGTTCCGGCAGGATTACAAGTGCAAAGCACGCAGCCTGCGTCAGATGAAAGTCCAAACCCAAATGTCTCATCCTTACACTCGTCACACTTCAGGCCTTGAACATTCGCTTTACACTCACACTGGCCGGTTATTTTATCGCAGGTTCCAGAAGGTATGGTGCCAATGGGGTCACACCCACAGGGCATGCAACCACTTTCAAATGCCCAATACCCGTCCTCACACACAGAACACTGTCTCGATGTGATGTTTAATTTACACGAGCATTGTCCAGAATCTGGGTCACAATACTGATTGGTCGAACCGAATGGATTGCAGTTACAGGGCTCGCACCCATTAGGATTGTCCGTTTTTAGACGGAAAAATCCATATTGACAAGAATCGCACTTTAAACCTTTAAAATAGGATCATCAATATGCAATAACAAATTATCATCATAGACAGTCAACTTAGAATATCGTACATTTAAAATACACCAATTGTAAGTGCAGATACATTGTTACTTGAATTATATGAAAAAAGATAAAAAAAGCTGTAAAACATTGTTACTTGAATTACAAAATGTATATGAAACTAGAAATGTGTCCATAGAACAAGGGTGCCCCCACTGCGCCACTGTTCTGTCAATCTTATGACACTAGGTCAAATATTTTTTGAAAACTAAAAATCTTTTACTAAGTAAAGGGCAAGAACTTTACAAATACTGAATAAATCCACAAGCAAACCCCAAGGTACATAAGTACACATGCTGACCAACATTCTTGTAAACTTTCAGGCCTACAAGTGAAATACTTTTTGAGCTATGCATGAACAAGTTGAAAATTGCAAATTTATACTACTGTAAGTCAAGGGCAACAACTCTAACAAAACTGAAAAAAAATCCACATGCAAAGTCCGAGGTGCATAGCTTCACAGTGATATGAATCATTATTCCTGTAATTTAGTGATGTTGATCATTATTCCTGTAAAGTTCGTTGATTCTAACTCAAGCACTCAAGGAACAAATAACAACATAATGAAACAGTTTTTACTAAGTCAAGGGAAATAACTCTACAAATACTGGATAAATCCACAAGCGAAACCCCAGGTGCAAAACTAAATATGCTGAGCAACCTTCCCGTAAGGTTTAATGACTCTAGGTCAAATCCTTTTTGAATTACATGCGACACAAGTTGAAAATTGCAAAAATTTTATAAGTCAGGGGCAATAACTCTAAAAATACTAAATAAATCCAGACGAAAATACCCGGTGCACAACTACACATGCTGATCAATATTCCTGTAAAGTTTAATGACTCTATGTCAATTCTTTTTGAGTAACATGCGACACAAGTTGAAAATTGCAAAATTTTACTAAGTCAAAGGCAATAACTCTAAAAATACTAAATAAATCCAGATGAAAATACCTAGGTGCACAACTACACATGCTGATCAACATTCCTGTAAAGTTTCATGACTCTAGGTCAAAAACTTTTTGAGTTATGTGCGACACAAGTTGAAAATTGCAAAATTTTACTAAGTCAAGGGCAATAACTCTGAAAATACTAAAAATATCCAGACGAAAATACCCAGGTGCACAACTACACATGCTGATCAACATTCCTGTAAAGTTTCATGACTCTTAGTCAAATACTTTTTCAGTAACGTGCGACACAAAAGAGAACGGACGAAAGGACGGAAGGATGGACAAGGGTAAATCTAAATGCCCCCCACTAAAGTGGGGGCACAAAAAAAGAAGCTGTTCAAAAGGATGAACATTTACATTTAACGCATTAAGTTACCACAATCGGTAATCATCTTTATTAAAACATTCATTTTTAATAATAAATCTTTATACATAATTTAATACTCAAGATATTTTCATACTTGATTTTAAAATGACCGACAAAAATCAAAATTGAGATAATGAATAATGTTCTAAGTATTGACCTACCTCTAACATTAGCTTTACAATTACATTGTCCAGTATCTGAGGAGCACGAGATATCTCTATACGGAGTACCAGCCGAGCTACATCCACATTCCTGACATCCGAGCGGATCATCAGCCGTGAGGTTATAGAAGCCTTCCTTACAAACATCACACTGTCTTCCTTCCACGTTTTCCTTACAAACGCATTGTCCACCTTCCTAAAATTCATACACAAAATAATATTAAGTAAAGACTTAACCGTAACACTGCTTAATTTTTATAATGGACTTCCCCTATTGTGATTTTGGAAGTTTCCATTGTTATTTTCTGAGGATGAGGTAAAGCTGAGCAGCAGACAGAGTGAAATCTGCTTAGACTGAATATATGCATACTTGCTAAAATCTTTTACTGGTGACATTGGCAAGTTATTATTGCTTTATATTACTCAAACATCTTTTACATGTATTCATTACATTTGTGTTTATTTCACATACTTCCTGTTTGTTTATCATTTGTTAAGTTTATTATTTAAATGTATACTTTAGTTATTCAAAATGTGAGGAATATGTTGCAGATTGTGAATTTTTTTTCCCTTTCACAAAATTGCTATCCAAATAGTATTTTCAATTTGTATGGAAATTATAACATCAATATGGAAAATATAACAATCTTTCTTGGATTGGCCACTGTAATCAGACTTGTTTATATTCTTTTACTTTTAGAGATTGTTTCTTACCTTTGCACAATCCATCAGTGACTCATTCACTCCTGCCGAGTAACACTCACATAGACTACAAACATCTTCTGCATACATGCTCTGTCCTGTCGGTCGGTAGTACCCAGTAATACACGTGTCACAGTGGCGACCCTCCGTATTATGTTGACAGTTTATACACACACCCCCACCACCAGAATAGTGATCATTAGGGAAAAGGTCTAGTGTTTCATTGTACACACATTCCATTGCATGGTTATAACACTCGCAGGGACGGCAGTTGTAGGGATCCAGCTGGTTGCCACGGTGAAATGGCTTGTCGTTATACAATGGTTGACATGTCTCACACTTAAATAGATCAGATATATATTTTTTTTCCAACAAAATTTATAACAAGAGCTGTCAGAAGGACAGCGCGCTCGACTTTTTTAGTGCTTGCCTATAAAACAAAACTTTGACAGTTAAGGGCACACAAGACTTTAACTAGGAATTTCTAAGTTACAAATCAAGAAACATTTTCACAGAGTTATCTTCTCTTGCTTACAGATAGGTCTCATGATGGCACATAAGAACTCCAACTTCCAAAGTAATATCTCAAATGGTTAGGTCAACAAGTGGACAAGAATGAAAATTTTAACTGAGTTTCTAAGTCAAAAAGGGCCATAATTCAAATAAAATCCTTAACAGAATTACCTTCTCCTGCCCATGTTTGGGACCATGATGGTAAACAAGTATTCCAACTTTCAATTTAATATCTCAACCAGTTCAGTCAAAAAGTTGACTGGTACAAAAAACTTAACCAAGATTCTAAGTCGATAAAAGGCCTTAATTTTTAAAACAAATCCCTGACAGAGTTACCTTCTCTTGCGTACAGATGGGGGTAATGATGTGAAATAGCATTAAAAGTTTCAAAGCAATATCTCAAAGGGTTAAGGCAATAAGTGGATTTTACCCATATTCAATGTATTTTCTAAGTCAAAAAGGGGCATAATTCTGTCAAAAACCTTTGACAGAGTTATGTCCTCTTGTCTGTTGATGAAGGTCGTGATGGTAAACAAGTATGGTCAGTTTCAAAGCAATACCTCCAATGGTTTTGAAATAAAGTGAGGTGGTACAAAAAAACTTAACCAAGCTCAATACACTTTCTAAGTCAAAAAAAGGGCCATAATTCTGTCAAAAACCTTGACAGAGTTTATGTACTCTTGTCTGTAGATGGAGGTTATGATGGTGAACAAGTATGGTAAGTTTCAAAGCCATACTTGTAATACTTCTGAAATAAAGTGGGGTGGTACGAAAAACTTAACCAAGGTGTGACGCCAACGCTAACGCCGACGCCGACGCCGGGGCGAGTAGGATAGCTCCCCTTTTCATAGAAAAGTCGAGCTAAAAATGAATTCACAACTCACATAAACATACTCAAACTCCTTATTAATCTTTTCGAAGCAAAATTTGTTTAAAGGATTTCTGTTCATTTTGGATATGGATGATTGCTGAATTACACACATTAGCCAGAACAGCCTACAATGCAAATTGCCCTTAGTGAAGTTAGTAACATCATCATCACCAATACTTAGAAATCATAAGGCAGTAACATACTAACTTACTGCTAAAGAGAACAACTTCTTATAACTTATACTTTACTTACCTGTCTCCCCTGTGTATGACTCTCAGGTAAGCAGTCACATTCATATGGTAGGTTGGCATGGTTACAGGTTGCTGCATGACCATGGCATTCACACCTGAAATTATTAAAAGCAGTACTGACTTTTGACAGTTTGAATAATTACAAATATTATTTGTCTTTTGCTTATTTTAAGATGCCTGTTTCTATTAAAATTGCCATAAACATTTAACATTCTTATGTACAGAAGTTCAAAATTCAAATCTTCTGACCATGATTGTTGCAATATGTGAATGCAGTCAAATAAATTATCAAACATTTTTAGTACACAATTTTTCTGTTTAATAATTAATCAACAACACACTTTTTTACTGTTTGATTAGATTTAACTATTTCTTATGTTCAATGATAAACTTAAGACAATCTGTTTTGCTGTCTTTTTTAAGTCTAAAGAAGATGGCTTATTGGTTAAAGTGCCTCTCAATTAAAGCATCACGAGTTTGAGCTCTACTTGGAGGACAAGCATGTTTCTTCACACTAAAAGTCTTATGGAATCAATACTTCCTCATGACTACGAAACTGGTACTGGTTAGTCCAGGAAACAGATTTAAGAGTATTTTTAAACTTACAGCCTTTGCCATTATCCAGCTTAATATATAAATTTATAAAATCCCTTCAATTACCTATGAAATTTTACCCAAAATGTCTCTTGAACAGAAAGAGGGAGGCTCTTAAGTATCAGACTTTTACCATTTAAAAAGGACCAAAATGATTTTATGTACATGTACCTTGCAATGACACTGTATTCATATAGTCCATAGTATCTGTGTCTTTCATTTGTTACAAAGAAGTGATCTTGTAGGCGAACCCGAACCTTATTGGCCTTTACAAAACCGAATAATTCCGGTGTGTTGTAGAAATCATTGTAACCAGGTCGAGGTACTGGCTCAGGATCCAGTATGTTAAATGTTATATTTCCTTTTGAATACTCTGGTTCACTGAAAAAAAAATAATGAAGGTTTGTAATTAATAATATCTGTCATATGATGCAGGTTCAGAATGGAATATCTGTCCAGAGGGGAGCCCCCAAATAGGCGGTTACAAGGCTTGCCGAGTTGCTGCACATGGGTGGGTCCCCGAGTGTCTGAACTGCAAACATATGTCAGGTATTTTTCCTCGCACATTCTACAACATTCCATCATACTTTCTTTACACTAAATTCTTTACTTGAATAAAACAATTTTCCATGGAAATTTATGGCATTACACTGTAACTATTTTCTAACAACAGCATACAAAACTTCATTCATAACAGCCAAAAAATGTCATCCTAAGCATGCAGTTTCATTCTTAAATATGCCACGTAGTACTATTTGCAATCAATACTTTTACATTTAGTTGCCAGTGAAATTTGGCTTCATCATTTTTTAAGTTTTACCTTTACTTTTAACCCATAGCCTGTGCTTGTGTGACAAATTAACCTATTAACCAAGATCAGCCAAAACAACTGTGCCCTTCCATTATGGTATGCACTGTTCCCTATTCAGTCAGAACATACTTTTAAATTTTCCATTCAAGATACATGTACAATGTATTTAGAATGGGAACAGGATAGAGTCAGGTTAGATGGCATGGATGTGCAGGTAGGCCTGGCTAAATACAGATGACATAGTCAGTTATCATCTTGTTTGAACTGCAAAGGTTTAGGATATCAATGACAAACTGCTGAAATGAAGCCAAAATAATTTTATTTCATCCCTACCACCCTTTATATCTTAAATCTTTCAAATTCACACAAAACCATTCATCCTTTTTAGTGAAACTTTCAAAATAAGTACTGAGTGAGTAGCACAGACCATGATCAGATGACATGGATGTGCCAGTTGATCTTGGTCTTCACTGGTCACATATGGATAGATTCAGTAATCACCACCAGGCTAAGAATTAAACACATGTTACATGCTGGTCCTGTATTGAAAAAAAATGAATGAAACTAATAAAATACTGTGACCCTGTCCTGAAGTTGAAATGTATTACTCTTTTAGCTTGAACTTACATTGGTTCACATTAGGGCTGTGCATTGCCATTTTTTTCTGTCACGATACATATCATGATACTTGTTTTTCAAAACGATGCGATTCACAATATGTATTGCATACTTTGAAGAAATGCGATGCATATTGTGATTCTTATGTTGCGATGCGATACGTATCACGATACTGACTTTCAGACTTAGTACATAAAATTTTGCCATTTGTTTACAGCATAATTACGAATATAATATAAAACTATTACAATAACAAAAAAATAAACTCTTTAACTTGTTGTTATAACTTGGTTTCCGATTTTGATCTTTCAACAATTTACTTTTCTGATTACTTAAGGATTAAAGGTATTGTTAATTATACCATAACAGCAAATTAATATCTACTATTCTAACAATAAAGTCCTCTACTGTAATTATGGCAGTTTAACAATTGTAGTCTTACAGTACAACACTAAAGATTTTTCTTGTGAAAAAATAGTAACAAGTGATTTACAATTAGCTCAACAACTGTGAAAATAACAGTTTATCAGTTACACTCTCATTTTTCTCGAAAGATTTGTGCTCGACCCCAGAGTATTTTATTTTGAGTTTGCAAATTTTGCAAACACTCCACGTCCGGTCTTCCACATTATACAACACTGTCTGTTGGTCCCCCAAAAACTACAATATTCCCAAAACTCGTGAATTATATGACCAGGGAGGATTAACTATAGTTTCTCCTTCTAAATATTTTGCAGTCTACATGTTTTCTGTTTGTTTGTTTTGGGTTTTTTTACGGGAAAATGATGTCAACGGAAATGAAAGTATAAATACGTGGGAATGTTGTCATCATCACTATTTTAAATTACAAATTAATGTTTGTAGGTTGTTTTTCTTGAAAACGCATAGATCTCTTATTATTTTTTTATTATAAACAAGTTCAAAGAACACCAGCCCATTTATATGGAATTGATAAAACTTGGTTAGTTACCGTTAAACGATTGCGGACATAGGGAAACAAGATGACAACGATGATATGATAATAGTCGTGCTTGTTCATTGTTTTTATTCGAGCTAATTTTTCTTTTTTCAGTCTTTCAAAAAATACGTTTGTCCTTATATTCCTGGAAAATATTGTTAGTGTATTGCAATACTTCCCGCTATATCGATACATCGGGAGGTGAAATATGTATTGCATCGCAATATATTGGAATTTGTAATTTCATTACGATGCATAAATCGAGGACAAGGCGATGCATCGATGAATCGTTACACCTCTAGTTCACATGCTATTTAGTTGAAAAGAATTTGTTATTTGACTGTATCACCCATACATACTCTTGAATAATTTTCAGACAGTTTGTTGATGTAGCTGTTGGTAGTGGTCCATTGTCGACAGCATTAAAATAGTCCTGACAACTACTGGCAAACTGTTGCCAGGTCTCCCATTGTTCACTGGAATCTTCAGTCTTGCGTTGCACCTCAACTGCCTTAGGTAATGGACTGTAGAATAACAGGACTACATAAAACACCTGAAACATACAATGTTAAAATCAGTGAATGAAAACCACAAGCTCAAGACAGGTCTTTTTTCCTTATAAAGTTATCTCTGGCTATAATAAGTATTCAAAATGTCGAAAAGTATTTTCCAATTGTATAGAAAATTTATCCTACTTTATCCTACAGTTTTTATAACTGTCTATTTTCAAAATTCAGAATATCAATATGAAAATGTGTAGTACAGCATATAGTATAGTATCTCGTCAGACTAAAGTGATTTACAGACTGGTCTGGTTCTTTAAGGCTTTAATTAGGATAAGAAAATATTGGCTTATAAGTAAAATGGGGATACTTGCTGAAATTCATCCCCCAAGGCCCACCACGGGTTTCATTTGGGTTTCATAAAAATCAATACCCTATACTTTAGCATCCCGTCGTTACATATTCAGGGGATGGGCCCAAGACAAACGTAGCATGTGATCATTGGTGTTGTCTGGTTCTCCATTCTTTATACAGTAATGAACCTAAAGAATACAAATGCTAAGAAAGTCTTTTATTATCTTAAGCAAAATATGTTGTAAACTTTTTTACTGGTTATTAATTGTTGGCTGGGCTCCGCATAATTTGTGAATTAGTTTGTACAAATTTATTTTAGTTTGATTGTGTTTGAAGTTATAAGCTTATTGAAACAATTTGAATCTGTTCCTGGAACCAAACAGTACTAAGCAATGAATGTAAAGATTCTTGCTCAAGGAAACAACGGCCTTGCCCCCGACAGGGTTTGAACCCATGCGGTCAGCAATCCTTAGATTAATAGTTTGACGCATTAACCACATGCGGCCACTTATTTGTGAATTCATTATTAGTTTAAGAAGTCACATATAGAAAGTACAGTATAAATTAATTACAGAAAAGCATAAATTATATTGTTACCTGGAGTGGTTTGACTCTAGGATGAGAGGCTGGACATCTACATTGTGTTTGTATACGTAATGTTGGAAATACTCCAGAGAAATCCTGCTCTATCTCACGATTAGTTAATGTTGCAGGATAGAATCGGAAATCTTGTAAACGTCCGAGAAACTGGTAAGTGCCTGAAAAACAAAATATCAATTTTGTTTGGATTTATAATGTCGACATCAAATGACAACTTTCAAGTGTTACTGGTGGTGGAAGACCTCAGACAACACCATGCTTTGTTTCAGGGACAAACAGGCACAAAAATAATCACAACAACGATATCACACCTCATAATATATAACAACTTCTAGCTTTCTACTCAATCCTTTTTGCATTTTATTGTAATATATTGTGTGTAAATATATATATATATATTTGCTGAAATAAAATATTGTTTAAACCAATATATAACAACTGTATGACTTTCCTTTGTAATGTTGTTTTTCATTGGTAATCATAGTGTTTATGAAAAATTATATATATAGTTGCTGTCAATTTATGAATTAATTTCTTAAATTCATTTTCTCAAGAAACGTAAGTTTGTTGTATTATAAATTTGTTATAAAGATTATCGACAGGTTATATGGCCGTATATATAAACAATTGTTTGTAATATAACAATATAACCCAAACCATTCATATTATAATCTGTATTTTCTCGGATATCTGAATTCATTCTTTTTATCATGTATTCTAAAAATGGGACCTACATGAGGAACTATCACATTCCTACACAACAGCATTTTTTTTTTACATTTCTGGCATTATGATATAAGTGATGATATAAGTGATATTCTGTCAATAGTTAATTCAAATTATTTTCTCATAGTATCAAATATGTTAGTTCTTTTTCTTTAAAAATCTAGCTATTATCAATAGGTACATCTTGGAAAGGAAATGGCTTAACCAGATTGGCATATAAGTAACTCATCATTTTCAAAATTTCTAAAGAAAAAATATTTTTTTCCTTTCTTAGACTTTATTTAATAATTTATGTATTTTTTTCACTATAAGAATAATAGAAGTGATTCATACCACTAAGTGTAAGCCCCACTCTAATCCATGCATCCAAATCATCTTGGACCCGACTGACCAGAGTTACTGTGTGCGCTGCTGAGAAGCCTGGCCCTACACCGTTGATGAAGAAGCTCAAACTTTTGTCATACACCTGTAGAAAAAAATTTTCAATGTTATAATTTTATATAAGTTATAAGATACTGAATTCATGTTTTTTTTGGTGTTTTTTTTAATTAATTCAGTCACAAAATTTGTGTTTCCATAAGAAATTCATCCTCAAGCACCAGAAAACTGCTATTTCTATGTAGTTAATCTATGGTCTATAATATTATAAAGATTTGCTATTTGTACTTTTTCATGAAATTATATGCAACAGTTACAAAGTTTTGGTAGTTTTATGTAAAAACTCTTCCATATACAGAAAATTGGTGTTGTAAAATTTGAAATACAGACCTTTTGTAAAGAGTACACAATACTCTAACTGAAGCAGTAACATAAAATAGTCCCGACTATAACATCAAAATATAAAAAGAACCAAGTAAGAACCAATAACCTCCCATATACTATACTATTATCAAACATCTGATCAATTTATATTTCATATTTAATTCATAGTCCAAATAATTGTACTGCACGATGAGATATTGTGCTATTTTGTGTTGGGGCAATATCTCGCCTCTAGGAACAAAATTCTGACCCAGAAAGAAGATATCTCAGAATCTAGCTTGGCACGTCAATATATTTTGACTTATTCAATTCGATTTTCAGAGAATTTCTAAAATTGGCATTATTATATCAAGCATACTGCTAGTTTTATTAAGTTGACATTATTTTCTGTAAATGTATTAATATACCTGGATAGCTATATATGTCCATGTCTCTGGTGGAATCTTGTCAGGGAAAGTCACTGTTAACAGTCCTATATCACTCTTATATACAAAGTTGAGGTGTGACTCCCAGGCATTCAACTCAAATATTATCTCCCCTGTAGTTCTAGATACCTTTTGTATCAAAGTACTGAAAGTAATATATGAAGACGGTTAAATGTTATTAAAAACTTGGTAATAGCACTAGATATATAATCAACTTAAACAAGTTATGTTGTGTCTTTCTTACAAAAAAATAACAATTATGAAATAACATTGGTTAAATGAATTGTAGGGCTCAAGAAAAAAAAACGTTTTTGATGCTAAAATTTGAAACACAATACAGGAGAAGTAGGAAAATACTTCTTTTTGTGGATTTTTTGAAGGTCATCATTAATGTAACTAAAAGCTGACATACAAAAAAGAACACTTATAAGACAACTTTAGGCTAAAAGAATGGTAGGGCCCATTTACATGTAGAAGAATGTTTTCTTTTAACTCATATTTCATTATAAGACACATATTAATTTATAGAAATAGTAGGAAATTAACACTTTTTTGTAGATTTTTGAAGACCATGATTGATATACACCAGTAATAAAAATATCTACATCAAATATTTTATTATTACCATGGCTAAAAGTACAAAAAACCCATAAGGGTTGATTTAGTATTTCTTGACATTCACTTTTTATAAACTATGAATCAACAGGTCAAAATGTGATTGTTTGTTGTTGTTTTTTTCTCTATATATAAATACCTGTACCTGAGTAAATTAATGCTTTAGAGTTAATTACATTTGATGGCAACCATCTTATGTTGATACATCTTATAAAATATTCATACAGTCAGTGTCTTAATATTGATTAAAACTACCCTGATTCTGAAATATTGACCGAAATATACACGCACAATTTCGGTCACAATAAACAAAGTATTCTGTTATGAAACTATAGATGATTCATCAATGTAAGGTTGATAATGTCTTGAATTTTAAGAAATTTCCCTAATGATCGAGCCAAGACAGTGAGTAAAAGCCTTTGTTACAAGTATGGATCAAGGCTACTAGTCTAAAAGAGCCAAAATGGCAACCCAGTTTGTCACAAATATGGATCCAGGCCAACCTACATGTACAAGTCCGTGCAGTCTGACCAGGCTCCATAATGGTGACCGACAAACTTTAAAATAATCATTGTGACCTCTGTTCAATTTAAAACAAACAGTTTCCAAATTTGAGTCAGACAAGTCCAGTCTGTTAAAGGTAAAAGTTAATTATGATTACCTTTATTTTGCCTAGTAAAAACTCGTTTTTGAGAAATTTTGTAACAATTTGGCAAATAACAGGGGAGCCAGTTTAAAGTCAGAGCCACAGAAAATACTAAAACATTTTAAGACTTGCTTTTTTTAAATTTGAACATATTATAGCTGATAAATAAATCATATCCAATAATTTTTATGTAGCTCAGTTGTGAAACATGTATTTTATATAAACTACAACTTATTTTTCTTAACATTTAGTCTACTTCCTGAAATTAACACAGACTGGCACTGTATTAGTGTTATGGTTTAGAACTGATCTCTATTTAACTATGTGTAAGGGGCCTGATAGCTCAGTCAGTTAAAAATCAAAGGGTCCTGGGCTTGGATCCCAATGAGGCTGCAATTTTTTTTTACCCTGTGACATTAGGAAACAGGATTGTGACCTTAGCAGGGTTCAAGCCGACAATTCTTGGTCTGAAATTCATGCAGATTTTACCAGTGAGTAACTGCTTCAACTAGATAGTGAAGTTTCACATAATTAGTATTTCTTGAGTTTACTATATTCCTTAACCTTTTACCTATGGATTTGTCAATCTTTGAATTTGGTACAGTTTGAATGATAGCAATGTTTCTATATTATTTTCTCCCTTTTTCAATTTCAAAATGTGATTAAAGCAAGTTTTTTTTCCAAAATTCTAAACTTTCACGTAAGTAATTATTTTAGAATAATCCTAGTTTAGAATAAGGCCTTAATACCAGAAACAGTGGCCTGGATCTACACCAATACATTGGCTGAGGTAAATAATTCAGTATCAACATTCTCTTTAAAACAATTTTAAAGAAAACCATACCAACATAATGTTGAACAGAATTATTTTGATGAAAAAGTAATTGTAAAGTTAGAAGTGCAAAATGTATGTGCAAAAATGTGGTCTTTTGTCATCAATTCACTGCTGTATCAAATAGGCCAAACAGCAAAAGATAGTTCAGTGCTATATGGCCAATAGATAATGTTTATGAGAGATTATCAAAAATTTTGCTTTTGAGAAAAAATAATCACATTCTTTGAAGCTTCATGGGCCTTTAAAATTTGGATGAGAGGTGCTTGGTTGGTTGGTTTATAATTTAATAATGAAAGCAATTTACAGAGTTTATAAAATCTTCTGAATCATCCTGAAGGCTTCAAGAGATGTACCGGTACTTACAAACAACTGGAAGATCACTTGTATAGGTCAATTACTTTGATTTGGATTAAATTTTGCTCAGTAAAATAAGACTGGCTTCTACACATGATAAATCATGTTTTATTACTTATCAAATGTTGCGTTAAAAAAAGAATAATGCTTGTTTTAGGAATAAAATGTTAAATAATTTCAATACGAAAATTACATCTCAAGAATGGAAATTTTCAAAAAATTATCTTTCTAAAAATTTTAATGTAAATTGATCAAAAGTTACTTTAAAAGCAGTTAAGAGATAAACTTTTATTTCATGTTTGAGCATACTGAGCCAGAAACAAGGAGAAAAACACACACAAATAATTCAAATTGCAATTATGAACTTCATGTTTATAAGAAATATTTTTTGACACTATCAAATTTGCAATCTTTATACATCTCCCATATACATGTAATAACATTACAGTCATCAAATATTTTTGTATCTATGATTAGCAATCTTCCAATTTTATATTGTTTTGGAGCATTACATTACAATTAGCATATCTAACTGTATGTGTGGCACATACATTGTCTGGTTTTAATGGATCATTGTTTATACAATATAAGAGCAGCATCTGTCACAGAAAATAAATTACAGGCAATAACATTGACAGATCTGAACTCTTTAATTTGCTTGCACTGCATAAACTTATATTAAGTAACTTATTTTTAATATTTACCCAAAGTTGTCTTTTTTCTGCCAGATCCATACTGATATAGTAAACTCTGTAGTTGTTGTTAGGTCAGGGAGAACTGACGGTGTCACGAAACATGTTGGGCCGCTGCTGATGAACGACGTAGAAGCTGAAAATAACTCACTTCCTGGACGGACATTGATCGTATCGAGAAACACACAATTACTAAAACCCGTTGTTTGCACAAGTAAATTATAAAAACTTGGTTTTTCTGTCCTCGTTGAACATTGCTGGACACAAAAATCTTGGTTACATACATCCTTTGAGATCGGAAAGATTGAACTTTTACAATAGGCGGACCGTTCTTGAACACCGCACGTGCCTTGGGACGGTTCGGTTAAAACTGGCCGATATTGAGCTGCGTTAAACAATGGTGGGAATGGACGTATATTCTGATTAACATTTTGACAATTAACAGATGATAAAAATAAAGTCAACACATATAAACAAGTAGATAGTTGGTAAAATTTTGAATTTTTGTAAAGTACTTTTCTATTCCAACAAAAACAACATCCTGTACACCGCTGCTCGTTTTCTTGCTTCCTGTGAGTGGGTGACGTAAGCCCAAAGTCCCAACCAGGTATTTTCTCTGTCATACTGAACTGAGTCATAACTTTATATCAACTTATTTGGTATTAAATATCTTATCCACAGCAAAAATGAGAATCTTTTCACCACATTTCTTGATATTTCTTCATTTCCACACCTTTCCTAATTAATCCATTTACATAAATACAAAATTAACAACACATTATAAATAGAAACAACACACACTATTATATAAACCTATTTTGTTATGTATATCAAATACCGAAGCAGATTATGAACAAAATCAATTTTCTGTTATGGACATCCCAGTATTTCAATTTGTCCAATAGATGCATAGGCCATTCTAGAAATAATGTCTTAAGTTAGACTACCTGTTATTGGGAAAATCTGGGCAGCAGATGGTTGTGAAGTACCTACCCAATCAATACCTGGCACAGGTGTGATCCTCTTACCAATTTATCAATTATCAGTTTTCTGTATTGTATTGTTAATCAATTAAAGAGGCAGTTACAGTTATTAGAATGATTTTCTATAGAAGGATAATCAATTATTAATCAATATAATTGAAACATAATAATAATAATTTTGTATTAAATTTTGTTTGCTTTACTACACATCTGTCTAAAATTATTTGGACATTTCCTTCTAACATAATTTTTGATATTTTTACAAAAGGTATAATGGCTGAAAAATAATTTCTGGAGTTAATCCAACAAACAGCTTTTATTAGATAGTTACACAGATTTTGAGCAGAAACAATGCATGTTGCAGAACCATAACATAAACAAAATCAATATGAAACAGCCATTTATATAATGTATTTTTTAACTAATTATTTCTGATTATAAATTTGTTACTCTGATAAACTGGTGACACTTAGGTGAAACTTGAGAGACTAGTTTAGTCTTTTGACTTTTTGGTATAAACATTTTAATCTACTTTTTGGTATAAACATTTTAATCTTAGGAAAAAAAAAAAAAACATCAAAATGTTTAAAAACATAAATTTGAATAATATTAAAATTTTGTTTGTGTGGTTTAACGTCTTACAAACCAGCTTTACTGGTGGCGGAAGACCTCAGGTGCTCCTCTGTGCATTAGTTCAGGCACCAGTGGGTACATGAGTAGAACCACCAGCGTTCCGCAAGCTATCCCGAAAGCTTCCTCACATGAAAAAAAATCTAAAGTCCTTGGCAGGATTCAACCCCACTGTGGTGAGGGTCAAGTGGTTTGAAGTCAACAACGTTAACTACTCAGCCTAGGACACCCCTACAAATGGCTTCTTAAGATTTTGAAAAAAACATGAAAAGGAAATAAAGGAACAGGAAAAGATAAATCTTTACTTTGTCAGGATATTGGTCATCCATTAATATTGGTGATATCAATTACATTACTTGAAAATCAAAGCAACCAAATATAGATACATATACTCTTTTTATTATTCAAAAATATGCTCCAAAATACAATACGAATTAATACAAAATCATACAAAATTGGCAAATTAGAAATAATCAGAAATAATGTAAGATTTTTGACATTTTTCTATAAAATACTGATTTGATTAATTAATAAATCATTTTTGATATAAGCATCAGAAGCTCTATGAATGATTTTTACTAGTTTACTATATTTTCCTGAGTATCAAGGGTAAAGTAAATTATAAATGCATAGTTTACAATCTACAGATAAAAATTTTAGTACAAAGAACTGACATCTATAGAAGGGCAGTAACTCTGCCGAGATATACACTAACAAGAACAATGTTAAGATTTGTCTACCCTGTTTATATATCTACCAAATATTATGATAAATATTTCTACTTTTTTTTTCCAATAAAAATTAAAAACGATGAAAAACGACATGTTCTATATTGTTTGCACAGCTTTTGTGGAAGTTCTAACAAGAGCTGTCGGTAGGACAGCAACGCTCGACTTTTCTTAGTGCTTGATAGTAAAAAAACTGCTTGATAGAGTTACCTCCTCCTGTTTACAGGTTGGGGTCATGATGGTGAACAAGTGTGCAAAGTTTCAAAGCCATATGTCAATGGACTTTGAAAATATTTGAACTATTACAAAAACTTTAACGTAAATTCTAAGTCGAAAAAGGGGCATAATTCTGTCAAAATGCTTGATAGAGTTACCTCCTCCTGTTTACAGGTTGGGGTCATGATGTTGAACAAGTGTGCAAAGTTTCAAAGCCATATGTCAATGGACTTTGAAAATATTTGAACTATTACAAAAACTTTAACGTAAATTCTAAGTCGAAAAAGGGGCATAATTCTGTCAAAATGCTTGATAGAGTTACCTCCTCCTGTTTACAGGTTGGGGTCATGATGGTGAACAAGTGTGCAAAGTTTCAAAGCCATATGTCAATGGACTTTGAAAATATTTGAACTATTACAAAAACTTTAACGTAAATTCTAAGTCGAAAAAGGGGCATAATTCTGTCAAAATGCTTGATAGAGTTACCTCCTCCTGTTTACAGGTTGGGGTCATGATGTGAACAAGTGTGCAAAGTTTCAAAACCATATGTCAATGGACTTTGAAAATATTTAACTATTACAAAAACTTTAACGTAAATTCTAAGTCGAAAAAGGGGCATAATTCTGTCAAAATGCTTTGATAGAGTTACCTCCTCCTGTCTACAGGTTGGGGTCATGATGTGAACAAGTGTGCAAAGTTTCAAAGCCATATGTCAATGGACTTTGAAAATATTTGAACTATTACAAAAACTTTAACGTAAATTCTAAGTCGAAAAAGGGCATAATTCTGTCAAAATGCTTGATAGAGTTACCTCCTCCTGTCTACAGGTTGGGGTCATGATGGTGAACAAGTGTGCAAAGTTTCAAAGCCATATGTCTATGGACTTTGAAAATATTTGAACTATTACAAAAACTTTAACATAAGTGGTTACGCCGACGCCGACGCTCGGGTGACTGCAATAGCTCTACTTATTCTTATCGAATAGTCGAGCTAAAAATAACATAGAAAATATATACCTTACCTAACTATTGATACATTATGTTTTAGAGATTATTTCATTTCTTTTATATATAAACATAGAAGGTTATTGCAATCATGCATAAAATTCACCTAGTTACAACAAAAGTGTTGAGTTGTACCCTTATATAAAATTTAAGATAAATCCTTGCATTGCTTAATTTGTAAAATGGATTTAGTCTGCTTTCAACTTGAAAATGCTGTTTTTATTTTAAGGAATTTTAACAAAAAAATGCTAACATTGAAAATCCCAAAAGCAAAATCTAGTCAGAATGCACAGATGTGCTGGCTGGTGGAACTCCATGCTTGTGAAAGTCCTAAATAAACTCTGTCAGTCATAAAAGGGTTTTGAACCTTTTGCTTGCACATGGCAATTGAATATACCCAGCCGGCACATCCACACTGTCTGATCATGGTTTGCACTATTCACTTTTCAGTAAGTACATATTTTGAAAATTTCTCTAAACATATGAAAAGTGTTGCCAAGGTTGAAAGCTGGACAAGTCCATTTATTATATTTAGATAGAATAAAGGGTTAGAATAACTGCTAATGTTGGCATTATATGAATCAATAAATGGCACAAATATAATACAAATATATTAATGATTAAATTTTTCTTTTTTTCTTCCAAATATATCATGGATATAGGCAATTTCCACAACCATGTCATATATACATAAAGTATTGTATCACAAATGCACCAAATTTATACATACAAATACCTGTACATACAAAACGTTACTAATAACTTTTAACAAAGAAACTGGCAAATAATTAATGACAATATAGAAATCAAGCAATTATCATAACATCAATGGAAACATATCTGTAATGTTCATAAAATTACTTAAGTGTCGCTTACATCATTGACATACATTGTATATCCAATAACATAATCATCTCTTAAATTTATAAATGATACATATATAAAATTTACATGTAGTTCAGGTTATCCACAATACTGATGTTTATATAAATAAGTTTTCATATAACAATTTTAATTTGTGACCATGCTTTTCAATAATTCTCTTAATATCTGAATTTAAAGTCAAAGAACAAATTAAACGCTGGTTTGTCGATTAATTTTTTTCTCAATCCATTACTATGTTGTCATGGTAACTGTTGTTTAAATTCTTAAGACAGGCCAACAATTTCCTCCGTGTCAGGATCAATGTCAATGTCATAGAAACAAGGTCGTGTCGGAAGTCCCGGCATTGTACTCATCTGAAATGTATAAAACATGTTATTGTCTGTTAATATGATTATCTTCATAGATTATGAGATTAAACTGTACCGAAAGTTGATGAATCTAATAGTTCATACATTATGATAAAATGATTGAAAAATTCACAGATTTCACTGTAAAAACATGATGTAAATGATGTATATAGTGTAAATTATGCTTTTGAGGCCCACACGGAAGATTGGGTAACCAAATACATAGCCTCAGTAAATAAAGACTTTAATTACTTACTTACTTACTTTTTCCGGTAAAGAATATTTATACACATTTTGAAGGATTTTTCAATTCAAGTAGATTAAAATGGGTTTTTTTTTTGTATCTTCAAAGGTAAAAATATTTTAAAAGTAACCATAAATGAAGTAAAAGTAAACTTTCTCTAATTTTTTAAATACACTTTTTTCTATGGTCACATAACTTTTCTTAAATTTCAAAAACATTAAAGACAGTTCAATGTACCGGGGTAAAGTAATATAAGAAGCATACAAACTTACTGTTCCAACTAATGGGTAGATAAAACCTGCTCCGATGCTAGCCCTGGCCTCTCTGATGGGTACAGTAAAACCTGTTGGTCGTCCCTTCAATGTTGGGTCATGAGATAACGACAAGTGGGTCTTTGCCATACATATTGGTAAGTCATTGAATCCCTGGTAAAAACAAGAACATAACAAAAATGAAAGCATGAAACTTGAAACAATTTGTTTGCAAAAAAAAATGTTATCACTTTTAAAGTCGTAAAAAATAAAACCTGTAATGACTAAAACAGTAACTGTTTAAAATCAAGCCCTTACTGGTTATGTTATTGTCACATTATTTATTGGGATATCCATGCATGATAAAACATTTATAAAAGATATTCCTAGACACTACATATCACTAAGTTTAACATTTATAAAAGATATTCCTAGACACTATACATCACTAAGTTTTATGCTACAAACAAAAATTACAACAACTGTGTTTGTATTACATGTATTTCACCACACACCTCACACCAATATATACTATATAATTATGTGCAAGGTTTGGTTTTTTTCTATCATCAACTTAAGGGTCAGTGTATATATTTTTTACATTCCTAATTCAAAACGGCTCTGTCAATGTGACTATGTCCGATATAGAAACTAAAATGCACAATATCTCATCCTAATAAACATATGTGCAAGGTTTTGATAACTTTCTGTCAATCTCCTCAGGAGCAATACATGCCAAAGATTTTTAGGACATTCATAAGGAATGACAAAAGAAAGCAATTTCCTATCTCTTCCCAAACTCCAAAAGTGGAGGCATAAATATTGTGCCAAGGATTCAATGTATATCGTTAGATTATAAAGGACATAAATCGGTTTAAAACTAGAAGGGGTTTTTGTCTCAAAAACATGTCTCCCAAAACAAGGTATGGTACTGATCACTCCTGCAAATTTTGGTCAAAATCCTGCCAGAACCTTGACCTTTGAAAGCCGGACAAGATTTTTCTCTTTATAGCTCTGATGGCCATTTTGTGCAGCGAAGCGGAACAAGCCGGTGACATGCACAACTAGGGATGGTGGTACTCCTTTGAAGTTTCATTGAAATCTGGCCTGCAGTTTGACCTGTGAAAGCCATACAAACTGAATGCAAACGGACAAACAGACAGACGGCCAAGGCAAAACAATATGTCTCTAAAAAATGTTGGGAGACATAATTATGGCATGGAGATAAAGTACCTGTTTCCTGTATCTGTCAATCTGTTCCTGAGCCTCAGGTTTAATATCAATGCCATCTGCTCCATAAATCTCACGTGCAATAACTGCGATCTTCTCCTCTATAGGTAACTATAAACACAGTAAATGTATTTATACTTTACCATGCTTAATACAGGTAGTAAATAAATGATGTATGCTTAATAGACAAATTATGACATAATTGTATGAAACTTTTACACTCTAGGTCAGAAATTTGTATGAATCTTGTACACAAAACTAATTGTTTAGAAATTTGTATGAATCCTGCACACTAAAGTAAAGGAGTTCAAAAATTTGTGTAAATCTTGTATGCAAATTTCTATGAATTTTGTACACTTAAGTTATTGTGTAATCTTGTATACAAAAGTAATTGTGTTCAAAAATGTGTATGAATCTTGCACACAAAAAATCTTGTACACTTAAGAACATTTTCATGAAATTTCGTATAGACATATAGGCAAAATGAAAAATGTTCAATAGAATTTCTTTAAACCTGGCATGTTGTTAGAATATGATAACAGAAACATCCTTAAGTAAATGAATTTAAAACTTTGTATGAACCTTGTACACAAATGTAATAGAGTTCACAAATTTGTATGAATCTTGTACACAAATAAAAGTAATTGAGTTTAGAACTAAGTATGAATTTTGTACGCATATGTAATTGAATTTAGAATTTTTTCTAGTACACAAAAGTTATTGAATTTAAAACTATGTACAAATATTGTACACAAAAGTAAATGAATTTATAACTTTGTATGAATCTAGTACACAATAGTAATTGAGTTCACAAATTTGTATCAATCTTGTACACTAAAGTTATTGTATTCAAAAATGTGTATGAATAATGTACAATAAAGTTATAAAGACTACCAACTTACAGACACATCATACAGAAACTTAAAGTTGCTCTTCTGCTGACAAGCTTTATCTACAGCCTTGGCAAGGTCAGTAGCTCCCTTTCCACCCTCTGCCCAGTGGTTACAGATTACAGCATCAAATGCTCCATTTTCACGTGCCAACTTCTGAATCAATTCCTTCTCTGCTTGGGTGTCAGTTCTGTAATAAAATACATGTACACTTAAGTCATTCCGTACATTCATCATTGTGCACGCACCATTTGACTTGACTTTTGATATCTTTTACTTGGGGAGTTTGGACTAGAGGATGGGTCTTCTGAGTTTCATACAAAACTATAAAAGTCATAAAGTATTTCACAGTTCATCCAGTTAAAAACCTTCCAGTAAAGACTAGGAAACAGTTTAGAATAACTGACCATTCATAAGCTAGGTGAATACATGTAGCTTTTCCATTTGTAAGAATTCAACATCCCAGTCATAATTGCAAATAAAAGGCAAAGTGGTTCAAATTACAGTAAGCTACATCATTACGCCATACAGTTACCTTACTTTAGTATCTACTTTACATAAATGCTGTAAGAAAACTTCAGTAAACAGTTCATTTACTTTTTGAAAATGGACAAAATATAACAAAGTTAATGTCATAAAGGGTAATTGGTGCGAGAGTTACAGAAAGATGAACAGTTTTAATATAAAAGGGAGACAACTATAAAGATAACTTTTGAAAAAGAAGTTTGTCTGTTTACAATTTTTAAGGCAAAAACTATCAATCTATCCAAAAAAACTATTAACATGCATTTGCATTGCTCACAATGGGCCTACATGTTCTTTTGATGGGCCTGGCAGAAAATGTAATGAATATGCCCAAAATAATAAAATTTTCTGTAATACAATAATTTAATATTGATTTTTTAATTGAATTCAATTTAATATTCAATATTTTAGATAATTAACTTAATTTTTTTTTATATTACAAGATGAGAGCAGAAAAGTGATAAAAATTGCCTGGGGTATATGAGTATACATTATGATATATAATTCAATTATTATTTGTAAATTATCAAAGGCAAAATCATGCTAGCTAGGTCATGTTGATAAATACCAAATGCAAATATGGATATTTCAAGGTATGTAGATCTATATGCATAATTTGAAATTTATAATTTTATCACAGAAAAATTGAGGGAGTTTGTTAGAATGGTTACTGTATCGTTTGCCTATTTCTTTTTTTTACATTATTTGTCCAAAAAGTAGGTGAAGTTTATAATGAAAAATTATTATAGAATTTTAGAACAATTCTTTTTCTATCAAAATTAGATATAAGAAAAAAAATATCTTCATACTGATATGCATTTGTAACTTGTGTAGCATTCTCAGATGTCATACAAAAACATCTTTTGAAACATGCATATAAATACTAGTTAACTGTAATTAACAGTGTTTCATTTTGGCTTTGAAAAAGTTAATGCAGTATATAACATGATGCTGGTAAATAATTACTTTAATAAGTTTCTTTCAAAATTTTATTATTTCAACTCTTTTCATGCTAGCAGCAGCGAGAAATTAGTTATGTCATCTGTAAAATTCAGGCCATCCTAAACAGTTGTTCAATTTGACCTTGTATATTGTCTGGTCCTCAACTGTAGTATGTTTTTTGTGTTGTTTTTTGTTGGATTATTTCATGCATGAACAGGCACCTGAGTAGAACCTGCAACGTTCCATTAGCTAGCTGGATAGCTTCCTCAAATGTAATAATCCAAAGTCCCTGTCGTGATCCAAACCCAACAACCTTAAGCACTTGGCCATGGACACCCCAAGTGTACTGTATAAAGCAATATGTCTCAAGATTCATGCTTATTTTCATGAAAATTTTGAAAATGTTATTAAAAGTAAAATACTGTGAAGGAAATAAAGGAAGTAATTTACACATTGCCAATAGCACTAACAATCCTTTAAGAGAGGTCAAAATATGCAAAAATTGCCCTTACTGAATAAGTCATGCAACAGAGATATGGTGATAGATATTGCAAAATCAGTCATTAACAGCACATAATATGTAAATTATTTCTTGAGTTTTGAATATTTTTACTTTTCTTACAAACTAATATATTGTTATCAAATAGAGAGAAATAAAAATCCCTAAAGAAAGCCCAACACATCAATACTGAAAATGTTGCAGACTCGGTTTGATTGAGCCTGTTCATGGACGGTACTGGTAAGTGCAAACTACAGTCAACGCCCCCTAGCACCGGCTTAAGCAGAATCTAACATTTAACATGAACTGGTTAGGAATTTTGAAACATCAGCAGATGTGTTCATATGGCGGTCATGGAACCTTCAATGTGACACGTTAGTGCCATTCCATGAAAAGCGGCATATGGTCCCAAAGTAAAATAATGCGTGGGCCCTAAACAAGAAAAACAATGGGCGTAACTAAATAAAATGGAAATTTGAAAGGGGATCAGAGGGTATGAAGCCTGCATATCACAGATATGACATCAAAAGACAAATTTAAAAAGCAGGCCACATATCCTAAGGGTGATTTTCTTAAAGTTTGATTTTCTTAAAATTTTTTGGCTCATCAGTGGAGGCATGCAGCTTTAAGCAATGTGCAAATATAGCGGTAATAACATTCCTACTCCATCAGTATAGGTCCAGGCAAATTCTTTTTTAAGTCTAATCTATAACAGAAATTCAGTCAAGATTATACAATCATGATTGTAATCACTACAATTGGGTATTTTCAAATTCAATGCAGAATATAATATACAAAATAATGATGGACAGGTGATATATGACATTTCTATTCCATTTCAGGTCAATACCACACAGTTTAAATTGTATGAAGAAACTGACGTTCATTTCACTTATCACAATAATGATCTTTCATATTTTACGTCTGCAATTCATCTGTATCGAACCTGACCTTGACAGCATAGAAGATCGTAACTTACGTAAAATGATCATGCTCGGTAAAAATCTGGAGGACGAAAGAACATGTAGGAAAGAAATTCCTAAATGTATCATAGTAGGTGTGATTAAAGGTGGGACAGAGGCGTTTTCTACATTCCTTGCATTACATCCTCAAGTTGCCATGCAGTTCAAAGCGAAACCTACGCTATATTTCACTGATATCAATTATAAGAAGGGAAAGAGTTGGTACAAGAATCAAATGCCATGCTCCAAACACGGGCAAATTACTATAGAAAAATCCCCCCAGTACTGGGGATGGAATCATGCACCTTCACGAATACATTTATTTTATCCAACCATGAAAGTAATATTGGTCGTTCGAGACCCAGTATCACGTGCTACTTCACACTACCTTAAACAGATTTATTCAAATCCTGATGAACTACAAGGCAAAACTTTCGAGGAGATGATAACAGATGGGAATGGAGAAATAAACACAAAAAGCCGCGTCTTACAACTATCAGCTTATGCACCTATTTTAAAACAATGGCTGAGACATTTCAAGCAAAATCAAATCTTAATTGTTGACGGAAATAACTTAAACAAAAATCCTGTTATGGAGTTACGTAGAGCAGAGCGATTCCTGAATTTAACATCTTATATAAATAGAGACATGTTCGTTAAAAACACAGAGAGAGATTTATACTGTATTAAGTCAAAGTGTGGAAAAGAATATTGTCTGCCAGAGAGTAAAAGCAGTGGTCATCCTGATATAGACGAGAAAGTACTTGAAAAACTGAAAAAATATTTTGATCCTCTCAATGAAGAATTTTTTAAAATAACAGGTAGAAAATTTGTGTGGTAAAAGAAGTGGTAACAAGAGCCACCGCCGGGCGGGGGCAACGCTCGACTTTTTACTTTTTCTAAACGCAAACATAGAAAGGTTTGAACATATATTGATGTTTCCTTTTTATAAATTTAGTTGGTCTGTCTTGTCACATTAGTTTTGTTTATATATTTTGTATATATATGAATAGAAACATTAAGCATATTTCTAAAAATAGCAACAGTACGCAATTTCTAAAAATAGCAACAATGACGCAATTTCTAAAAATAGCAACAATGACGCAATTTCTAAAAATAGAAAAAATGACGCAATTTCTAAAAATAGAAAAAAATGACGCAATTTTTAAAAATAGAAACAATGACGCAATTTCTAAAAATAGGAAAAAGAAAATGACGCAATTTCTAAAAAAAGCAACAATGACGCAATTTCTAAAAATAGAAAAAATGACGCAATTTCTAAAAATAGAAAAAAATGACGCAATTTTTAAAAATAGAAACAATGACGCAATTTCTAAAAATAGGAAAAAAAAATGACGCAATTTCTAAAAATAGAAAAAAAAATGACGCAATTTCTAAAAATAGAAAAAATGACGCAATTACTAAAAATAGCAACAATGACGCAATTTCTAAAAATAGAAAAAAATGACGCAATTTCTAAAAATAGAAAAAAATGACGCAATTACTAAAAATAGCAACAATGACGCAATTTCTAAAAATAGAAAAAATGACGCAATTTCTAAAAATAGAACAAAAATGACGCAATTTCTAAAAATAGCAACAATGACACAATTTCTAAAAATAGAAAAATGACGCAATTTCTAAAAATAGGAAAAAATGACGCAAATTCTAAAAATAGCAACAATGACGCAATTTCTAAAAATAGAAAAACATGACGCAATTTCTAAAAATAGAAAAAATGACGTAATTTCTAAAAATAGAAAAACATGACGCAATTTCTAAAAATAGAAAAAAAAATGAAGCAATTTATAAAAATAGAAAAAAATGACGCAATTTCTAAAAATAGAAAAAAATGACGCAATTTCTAAAAATAGAAAAAAAATGACGCAATTTCTAAAAATAGAAAAACATGACGCAATTTCTAAAAATAGAAACAATGACGCAATTTCTAAAAATAGAAACAATGACGCAATTTCTAAAAATAGAACAAAAATGACGAAATTTCTAAAAATAGCAACAATGACGCAATTTCTAAAAATAGAAAAAATGACGCAATTTCTAAAAATAGAAAAACATGACGCAATTATATATACATGTATATATATATGTATATATATATATATATATATATATATATATATATATTGATATATATATATATTTGATATATATATATATATATCTATATATGTATATATATATATATATATATATATATATACATGCATATATATATATATATATATATATATATATATATATATATATATATATATATACACCTGCATATATGTATATATATACACACACACATTTATATATATATTTATATATAATACATATACTATACATACACACACACCGATAAATGCACAATCTGAGAAAATTCAATAATATAACCTTCAAGGTCAAGGTCATTAAAGAGCCCAAGCAAATTTGGTTTGATAAACAACAAGGTCTGGTCCTTAAGAATGTTCTGTTATAATATGAAGTTTATCCCTTCAAAAATAGCAAAGTTACAGTCAGTTACTGCCAAAACAATGAAAATTTCAATAATTTGACCTTCAAAGGCAATGTCATTAATGAGTGAAGGTCAAGGTCTTTCGGTATATTTTTAACAGTTATCTTTGAAGATTATTATGTTCAAGTTTGAAGACAATCCATTCAAAAATAACAAAGTTACAGCCAATAATAGCCAAAAAAATGAAAATTTCAATAATTTGACCTTCAAAGTCAAGGTCATTGATGAGTGAATGTCAAGGTCTGACTGGTTATTTTTAAGGGATATCCCTGAAGATTATTATGTTCAAGTTTGAAGACAATCCATTCAAAAATAACAAAGTAACAGCCAATAACAGCATGAACAAACAAAAATTGGACTTTTAACCTTGAAGGTCAAGGTCATTTATGGATGAAGGTCAAGGTTAGTGTGGTCTACTGAAAGGTCTTGTCCCAAGGGTTGTTGTGGCCAAGTATGAAGACAATACACCAAGAAATAAAAAAGTTATGATCCAGGTACAAGTTTTCGGACGGCAACGGCAACGGCAACGGAGACGGCAACGGCAACGCCGACCTGACTATAACAATACCTCTACTTTTTTTTTCAAAAAAAAAAAAGTCGAGCTAAAAACTGCAATTAAGAAACTTTCATATGGTATAAAAAAGAATACTGGTGTTGTTAAAACAATAATAAAAGTCAATTGAAGAGAATAATCATCATTCTGCTTAACATAATAATATATGTTTATATACAAGCACACTTGTTAGTAAATTGCTTCGTTTTTATCTTTGTTTTCATACAGACTTTAACACATTTTTGGTCTAATTCTGGTGTTCAGTCTACCTAATGGGCTTTCTTGGATAATTAACCAGTAGTTTACAGATTTCTCTGCAAGTGACCAATTACTTATCCCATATGATTTTTGTATCTGCTGTAAGAAACAAATGACCATTAGACTCAGCACCAGAGATAAATTGTCACAGGGAAAATTCTCAGAAACACCTGCAATAATCTCAAGTTTCTAACTCCCAACATTACCCTTCGCCAAAAGTTTCCTTACAAAGTAACATAGATCTGTCCCATATAAAATAAATAACTTACGCAAATCCATTAATTGCAACAACAACAGGTACTCCAAACTTGTTGGCATTTTCTGTCTGCTTCTGTAGATTGGAAAATCCTTTCTCCAACAATTCCAAGTTCTAAAATAAACAAAAATAAATATTGAAGAAATATAAAGGGATAATTTTCAAGGAGAGTATTTAAAATCTAAAGTACATACATTTTCCAACTTTTTAATGCAACAGAAAGTAGTCAATATAAATTTCAGATTTAAATACTATTCAAAACAAATGATAGGAAATTGTCAAAGAACCAGATTTTTAGCTAATATCACATGAACAAAGGGTTCATAATTTTATTAAGATGATAAAATCACAAAAACCCGATAATATTCTCCAATGGTGATAATTATTCTAAGAAGGTTGAAATCCTTAGAGAAACATGGATTGCCACTATATCTATGGTGTCCAATGACCTATGAACATTTAGTTGTTGTGCACAACATATGTAGGGGAGTTGTTTACCTTGTTTTGTGCCCTCTATTTGTTTTTTCAGAAAAAGACATTTTGTAATCATGTTAATAAACATTTATATAAGATCTATCCTGTATTCTTGTTTACTGGCATGGTGGCAGCAGTGGGATTTAAACCCAAGCCTCCAAAGAGGCTGGTGCACTATGCCATCTACATTCACCAATCAAATAACCACAGTATTACATTGGAAAACCTGTGTTAAAATTCTAGGAAAGGTTGAACTGTATGCTGTATTTGAAAATACTTGAACTACATTACCTCTTCTATATATTCCTTAGGTAGGGGCACTCCTGCCACCACAGTTGGTCCTCCTCCATGCATCTTCAGAGCCCTTATTGTGGCCACTAGGACAACAGCATTGGGTACAAGACCAGAGTAACGACATTTTATGTCGAAGAATTTTTCCATACCAATATCAGCTCCAAACCCTGCCTCAGTCACTGAAATAGTTCATACATCATCAAACAGAAGTCCAAAAGATGTTCATAAAATTTATTGCTGCCGACCAAATAGCTAATGTTACTTATGTTCAATTAAAAAAAATTTAAACTGCCAAAAAAAAACCCCCAAGACACATGGAATTGTATACTAATGTTCAGTAGTAACATGCATGTGAAAAGTGTCCTATACGTTAACCACTTTGCCATAATGCCACATATATATTTTTATGCTTTATTTCAAGTCACACACAGACACAGAAAAGACCATATGGCAATTATCCAGCTATACTTGTGAAGAAACTTCTGGGTAAAACCATCAACATACTGTAAACTAACTGGATAGTTTCTTCACATGAAAGAATTCCTGGCAGGATTACAATCTATAATGGTGAGCAACAAAAGGTCTGAAACCACCTTAAACACTGAAAAAATCTCAAACTTTAAAAAGTAAACTTAAATCATCACATGAACATCCAAAACAAAAGGGCCATGATGGCCCTGAAGTCGCTCACCTGTATATAGGCCCCCGGAGCGGGGCCAGTTTAAACCCTCAGGGCTTTAATTTGAACAAACTTGGTAGACACCCATTAGAAATTGTTTTATACAAAACATCTAAGGTCTAGCTGGTCAAGTTTTTTCTTTACACATATAGTTAAAAACAATGACACACCTGGGGCAGGGCCAGTTTGGACCCAAGGGCTTTTATTTGAACAAACTTTGTAGACACTTACTAGAAAATGTTTCATGCTTAATATCTGAACTCTAGCTATTCGGGTTTTTTCAAAGAAGATTTTTTAAATTTTTGCTATACACATATAAGGAAAATCAATGTCCCCCGGGGCGGGGTCAATTTTACCCCAGGGCTTTTATTTGAACAAACTTTGTAGACACTCACTAGAAGATGCTTCGTGCTTAATATCTAAACTCTAGCTATTTGTGTTTTTTCAAAGAAGAATGTTTAAGTTTTTGTTATACACATATAAGGAAAATGAATGACCCCCGGGGCGGGGCAAATTTTGACCCCAGGGCTTTTATTTGAACAAACTATGTAGACACTCACTAGAAGATGTTTCATGCTTAGTATCTAAACTCTAGCTATTTGCTTTTTTTCAAAGAAGATTTTTTAAGTTTTTGCTATACACATGTAAGGAAAATCAATGACCTCCGGGGCGGGGCCAATTTTGACCCAAGTGCTCTTATTTGAACAAACTTGGTAGACATCCGTTAGAACATGTTTCATGCTAAATATCTAAGCTCTAGCTCTTTGGGTTCTTTAAAAGAAGATTTTTTAAGTTTTTACTATATGCATATAGGGAAAATCAATGACCCCCTGGGGCGGGGCCAATTTTGACCCCAGGGCTTTTATTTGAACAAACTTGGTAGACACCCATTAGAAGATGTTTCATGCTAAATATCTTAGCTCGAGCTCTTTGGGTTCTTTAAAAGAAGATTTTTTAAGTTTTTACTATATGCATATAGGGAAAATCAATGACCCCCTGGGGCGGGGCCAATTTTGACCCCAGGGCTTTTATTTGAACAAACTTGGTAGACACCCATTAGAAGATGTTTCATGCTAAATATCTTAGCTCGAGCTCTTTGGGTTCTTTAAAAGAAGATTTTTTAAGTTTTTACTATATGCATATAGGGAAAATCAATGACCCCCTGGGGCGGGGCCAATTTTGACCCCAAGGCTTTAATTAGAACAAACTTGGTAGACACTCACTAGAAGATGTTTCATGCCAGATATCATAGCTCTAGCTCTTTGGGTTTTTTAGAAGAAGATATTCAAAGTTTTTTCTTTTGCTTGCCATGGCAACCAGAGTTCTGCATGGAATGGAATTCTTTGAACAACTTTGTTAAGGCTTCACACAAGGAACATCCCTGTGAAGTTTCATTATGATCTGCCTTATGGTTTCAGAGGAGATGTCGTTTTAAAAGTGTGAACGGACAACGGACGACGTACGACGGACGACAGACGACGGACGAAGAGTGATCCTAATAGCTCACCCTGAGCATATGCTCAGGTTAGCTAACAATAATCTTACCAACAAATCCATTCTCTCCTACAAGTTTCAGAGCAATTTTGTCAGCAAGGATTGAAGAGTTTCCATGTGCGATGTTGGCAAAAGGTCCGGCATGTACAAACACAGGGGTACCCTATAATATACAATTAAGTATAACAATGTTTTTGTGTCAACATTGTGTTTACTTGAAATACACAAAAGGATAAACAGAATAGTTTTTTAAAGGTCTATTATGTCTAAGAAATAAACAATTTTCTGATATATTTTAAATCTTTAGACTAAGCTTCCTTCAATTAACAGTATACAATCCAAAATAGGGTAAACCCATTACACAAATCAAGCACTGTCAAGTTTCTCAATTTTCAGAAATCATTAATCCAAATATGATATTAAGCTTTTAACATTTTTTAGAATGACACATACAAAATTCTTAACTTTAAATAACATACAGCAATTATAGAGAGTACTATAAAGGGCTTTATTACCTCAAGTGTCTGCATCAGATTGGGTCTAATAGCATCTTTCATTAATACTGTCAATGCACCACTCACTCCCTGAAATAAATGGTTATCAGTTCTTCATTATAGATATACAACAATCATCAATCTTTCTTTTCTTTTTTTTATTTTAATGACAAGTTGTGATAGTCTAATAGAAGATGACGACTATCAGCTCCAAAATTTTCTTTTCTTTTAATGAAAGACTGTGATGAAAAAGATATTCTCTCCCTCCCTTCAATATTATCAAAAGTTAGTGTTATATTGAGTATCTTACTGTCAATGTCCTATTCCAAGCATCTCAGTAGATCAATAAGCCCTCCATCAGCTGTCAAGACAGCATTCTAATTAAACATAGACATGAAACCACAACCTATCAGGTAACAATGATACAAAAAACAGTCATCATAACCACTAGATCACAGGAACAAATTACCAGATCATCAGCTGTGATAGGGACACCAGCTTTACTACTAGCAACCACCATATTGCCCAATCTCTCCCTCATATCCTGTAGACTGGTTGTCAAGGCAAGGATAGCCATAATTTCACTGGCAACTGTGATATCAAACTGACACTGTAACAATATAAGAAATATCTGATCATCATCTATAAATCTTTTGACATATTTTATAATAACATAGAAACAAATACACATTTTTACATTTTATATTCAGCCGTTCAGGCAGACACTCCAAAAATTATAAAATCAGTTCAAAGAAAGACTTTTGCAACACCAAGGTTACTCTCAATAAAATTAAGGTTGCATTAAAATTTCTCAAAATTATGCTTCAAATAATTTAGTGGCATACACAAAAGAGTATAAATATATAAATTTCTTCACATTCTCATACTTTAAACATTAGATGAGGCTTACCTAAGTCAAACAGGTAAGTGCCTATGCAACACAGGTTAGTGCCGATGCCATCCAGAATAGTGTAGTCTCATCAGATTTTTTTTTGTAATAAGTTTTTTCTTTTATTGAAACACAGCTAAACACAGAACAACAATGGATTATTCCAAATTTAAAACAGGGCGAGTCCATTGTATGAATATCTATAATTGTATTGGTTAAACATTAATGCAACAAACCTGTCTAGTTTTTCCTTTCTCATTTGGTCCCTGGCCTATTGTAATACTTCTCAGAAATCTATCATTTGTGTCCATCACTGTACAAAGATACAACTTTTATTTTCAATTTCTGTAAGTTGTAGTACATGTATTATGATATTTATAAGATTTATACAAAGTTTTTGTTAAATATAATTACTAGTATCCCCATATAGTGGTAAATATTGTATAAAAGTAATCAATCATCAAAATATATACAAAACTATTTTGACAGGACTGAATTACATTGTACCAACTAGCTAAGGATGTTTGCCAGCACTTTCTTAGTTAAAGTCAAGACATCTACTGGTTCAGGTTAAATGTCTCATTAATTATCCAATTAAAACTTGATGGTAACTAAATTACCATGGGTTGGTTTTACCTTGCGCAAAATAATCCATATGTTAATGTGTTAAGATTCTCACTAAGGAAAGTGTGTTCTTTATAAATATGTAGCTATCCCCATAGCTGAGAGCTTGTCGTTTGCTTTAAATTAGAACCCATTCCTTCTATAAATAATGTACAAAGGGACACACACTTGAAGGGATTCTCTGTGCCAGACAAGCTAAAATGTGGCTATGAAATTGACTTTAAAATTCAGCATGTCATGATGTACAAACCTCGTTGCCATGTAATGGTAGCAGGATCGAAGTCCAGTCTCACAAATTTTGTTACTTCTTCTGGTGTCAGTGAGTTTGGATCTGTTTTCTCAATGCCAAGTTTCTAAATGATTCAAAGAAATAAATCATAATTTTATAAATTATAATGACTATGGTAAATTAAAGCCTCCAGATTCATGCTAATTTTCATGAAAATTTTTGAAAATGTATTTTAAACAAATTAAAGTCAAATATTGTCACATGAACAGAGAAAATAACTAACAGACTGCAAAGTGCACTGACAATTCCCATATTTTACCAAAGAGAGGTCAAAATATGCAAAAAGTGACAAATATTTCAAAATCAGTCATTAACTGCACATAACATGTAAATCATCACTTGAATTTTTAATCTTTTTACTTTTCTTTAAATCTTAGTACATTTTTCTAAAGTTTGATTTTCTTGAAATATTTTTGCTCATCTGGAGGCATGCAGAAGTACTGAAGTATTTATACTAGCATAATTTTGATCATGTAAGTATAGGAAACAATCATAAAGATATAATTAAGTGGTCAAAACTAGCTACAAACTCACTTCAAAGCATTTTTCTTAAATGCATTTAACTCTTATCCTACTGGCGACAATTTATTCTACCCTGAATGCGATAAGTACAGACCAAGATGTCGTCTGCACAGTTTGCTATTCAGTCAGTACATACTTTAAATTTATTTTCTAGAATAATGAATGGTTTTGTCCATATTTAAAGTTCACTTGGGATATTTAGCATGGCAGAGGATAAAATAAGTCAATATGAAAATTACAACTCATATTAATAATAAAATCTTGTAATTTTTGGCGCGAAATATGAAATAAACTAGAACTCACAGTGTCCAAAGGACACAGATGCCCCCACTGACAACATATATATGGTATATAGTGAAAAAATCAACAAAAGCCCATAATTCTGTTAAATTTGGTCGCAGCAAAAATTCCTTCGTTAACTACCATCTACAAATTAAGGTTGTTCATCCCTGAAAGTTTAAGCAAAATCTGCCATCCGGTTTAAGAGGAGTTGCGTTCACAAAATTTCTATATGGTAAATAGTGAAAAAATCAACAAAGGGCCATAATTCTGTTAAATTTGGTTGCAGCAAAAATTCCTTCCTTTACTACCATCTACACATTAAGGTTGTTCATCCCTGGAAGTTTAAGCAAAATCTGCCAGTCTGGTATAAGAGGAGTTGCGTTCACAAGATTTTGGCTTTAGGGGCTATTTTGTTTGTTATTTTCTTTGTTTTCTTAAGGGCTACAAGCCCCTAAACCCTTTGATCACGGAATGAACCTATTGTTCTCTTTTGTTCTTTTTACTGTTATATAGCCCCTAAACCCAAAATGTTTGCTCGGACAGACGTACGGACGGACAGACGGATGGACAAGTGCAACGCTATATGCTCCCACTCTGTGGAGGCATAAAAACCCTCATTGATTTAATTTTCAATAGTTTTTAAGAAGCATTTTACACATTCAAAGAAATGGCAACACTTTGTCAAATGACAGTAAAACCTCTGCATAGCAACACCCTTTGGAAGACATATTTTTGGTGGTTACTGAGAGGTGTTGCTTTATGGAGGTTAAATAAGTCTTAGTTTAGGAAGATTTCAACCTGTTGATATAAACAAGAGGGCCACGATGGCCCTGAGGTCGCTCACCTGTATATAGCCCCCTACCCCCACCCCCCCCCCCCCCACACCCATAAGAAGATGTTTCATGCTAAACATCTAAGCTCTAGCTCATTGGGCTTTTTAAAAGAAGATTTTTTAAAGTTTTTACTATACACATATAGTTCAAAACAATGACACCCCTGGGGCGGGGCCAGTTTTGACCCCAGGGCTTTTATTTGAACAAACTTTGTAGACACTTACTAGAAGATGTTTCATGCTTAATATCTAAACTCTAGCTATTTGGGTTTTTTCAAAGAAGATTTTAAGATTTTGCTATACACATATAAGGAAAATCAATGACCCCCGGGGCGGGGCCAATTTTGACCCCAGGTCTTTTATATGAACAAACTTTGTAGACACTCACTTGAAGATGTTTCATGCTTAATATCTAAACTCTAGCTATTTGGGTTTTTTCAAAGAAGATTTTTAAGTTTTTGCTATACACATATAAGGAAAATCAATGACCCCCGGGGTTTGGGCCAATTTTGACCCCAGGGCTTTTATTTGAACAAACTTGGTAGACACCTATTAAAACATGTTTGATGCTAAATATCTTAGCTCTAGCTCTTAGAGTTCTTTAAAAGAAGATTTTTTAAGTTTTTACTATATGCATATAGGGAAAATCAATGACCCCCTGGGGCAGGGCCAATTTTGACCCCAGGGGTTTTATTTGAACAAACTTGGTAGACACTCATTAGAACATGTTTCATGCTAAATATCTTAGCTCTACTTCTTTGGGTTCTTTAAAAGAAGATTTTTTAAGTTTTTACTATATGCATTAAGGGAAAATCAATGACCCCCTGGGGCGGGGCCAATTTTGACCACAGGGCTTTTATTTGAACAAACTTGGTAGACACTCACTAGAAGATGTTTCATGCCAAATATCTAAGCTCTAGCTCTTAGGGTTTTTTAAAAGAAGATATTTAAAGTTTTTTCTTTCGGTTGCCATGGCAACCAGAGTTCTGCATGGAATTAAATTCTTTGAACAATTTTTAAAGGTGACCACCAAAGGAACATTCCTGTGAAGTTTGGATGAAATTGGCCTAGTGGTTTATGAGGAGATGTCATTTAAAGTAAAAGTTTACGGACGCCGGACGGACGTCGGACGAAAAGCGATCACAAAAGCTCACCCTGTCACTTTGTGACAGGTGAGCTAAAAAGTTATTTATTTACAAAGAGCCACTCTGGAGGTTTAACTGTATATCATTAATACCTTTAATCTTCTGAACTGTATTTTTGAGAAAGCTCTTTTTCCTTTGGACTCTGGTACAAGTCTCTTGTAGAGAGCCTCATCTGTCTGGGTGGCTTCATGAAACATGCGGGCATCAATCTGGGCCGCTAACAAGTTATTGGCTGCTGTGATAGCATGGATATCTCCCGTCAGGTGAAGGTTAAACTCCTCCATAGGTATCACTTGAGAGTAACCTCCCCCTGCAGCGCCACCTATAACACACAAATATGGCAATCTTAACTTAAGACTCGGTTAGAAAATATATTAATCATTGTTATCTATTTTGACAAAAGTTGCAATCATCAGTTCTAAGTCAGTTTCAAACTTGGCAATTTAGAACAGAATTATTGATATTAGCATACCAACAAGAACATATTGAATCATTTTATAATAATTAACCTTTAATATTTTACAAGGACAAAAAAAATCCATGACTGAATACTATTTTACGCATAAGCAGGTAATGGGTAAATTTATATTATATTTTTTTAATGTCTTTTTTTTAGTTTTAGATAATACCTTTACAAAGAGAATTCAATTTTTGTTACATTTAAACTGTTGTAGCTTTCAATTACCTTTGATACCAAATGTCGGCCCTTGTGATGGTTGTCTAACACACGCAAACACATTCCTCTTAAGATGTGCCCCAATAGCTTGTGTGAGACCTATTGTTGTTGTACTCTTTCCCTCACCTAGTGGAGTTGGTGTGATCCTGAAATATCAAAAATATAACAAGAGCTGTCAGTAGGACAGCAACGCTCGACTATTCTTAGTGCTTGATAGTAAAAAAAATGCTTGATACAGTTTCCTCCTCCTGTTTACAGGTTGGGGTCATGATGGTGAACAAGTGTGCAAAGTTTCAAAACTATATGTCAATGGACTTTGAAAATATTTGAACTATTACAAAAACTTTAACGTAAATTCTAAGTCGAAAAAAGGGGCATAATTCTGTCGAAAATGCTTGATAGAGTTACCTCCTCCTGTCTACAGGTTGGGGTCATGATGGTGAACAAGTGTGCAAAGTTTCAAAACTATATGTCAATGGACTTTGAAAATATTTGAACTATTACAAAAACTTTAACGTAAATTCTAAGTCGAAAAAGGGGCATAATTCTGTCAAAATGCTTGATAGAGTTACCTCCTCCTGTCTACAGGTTGGGTCATGATGGTGAACAAGTGTGCAAAGTTTCAAAGCCATATGTCAATGACTTTGAAAATATTTGAACTATTACAAAAACTTTAACGTAAATTCTAAGTCAAAAAAGGGGCATAATTCTGTCAAAATGCTTGATAGAGTTACCTCCTCCTGTCTACAGGTTGGGGTCATGATGGTGAACAAGTGTGCAAAGTTTCAAAACCATATGTCAATGGACTTTGAAAATATTTGAACTATTACAAAAACTTTAACGTAATTTCTAAGTCGAAAAAGGGGCATAATTCTGTCAAAATGCTTGATAGAGTTACCTCCTCCTGTCTACAGGTTGGGGTCATGATGGTGAACAAGTGTGCAAAGTTTCAAAGCCATATGTCAATGGACTTTGAAAATATTTGAGCTATTACAAAAACTTTAACATAAGTGGTTACGCCGACGCCGACGCTGACGCTCGGGTGACTGCAATAGCTCTACTTATTCTTATCGAATAGTCGAGCTAAAAATAATATACATAAATCTTTCATTATAGTAAACATAAGTTCTCCTACTGTGTTTAAAAATCTTTTGTTGTCTATTTTTCAAACAATTATCATGATTTTTTCTTTTCTTTAAGTGAAATACTTCATTATTAAAATGCTTTTCCATTCAAGTTGTTTATTCTTTCTTTTATTCTCCATGTTTAAAAACACAAAATAAGTACATTCCTATATATTAAGGTTACATTTTGCATCACGGTATATTCCATATTTCATTTTGTCATACGTCAGATGTGTATGTCATTCATTTTGCTGAATATTTCAGACACCTTCATCTTGTGAGTTTGAATAATGATGGGACAACCTTGGTGACCCTTTATATATTAAAGCATGCACAAGCAGGCTTTGGGAATAACCAACATCTTCAATGAATCTGCCTTGGGAAGCTTACTAGCTCAATTTTTTTCATAATTCCTTCCGTTTATAGGAATTTATTGTTGTTTGATTGTGTTTGAAACACTCTAAAATCCATTCCTAGATCCAAGCAGTACCAGGCAATGTGTGTAAGGTTTCTTTCTCAAGGTTACATCAGCATGCCTATGACACGCGGCAAGCAATCCTTAAATCCCTAGTCTGGCGCATTATCTATCCTGCCATGCCACCACTTTATATATGAACACAAACTAACCCTGTAACTACCACATATTTGCCATCAGGCTGTGCAGCTAATCTATCAAGCACACTGAGCGAAACTTTAGCTTTCTTCTTTCCATACAAATCTACCTCCACGGGCAGGAGATTAACTTCCTCTGCCAGTTTATTGATATATTTAGGGGTCTGAGCCTGTGCGATGTCAATATCACTGGGAACTGGTGACTTCAACTTAAGTTCTAGTGGTGTCAACCTCCATGTACTAGACTCCTGTTAACGTAAAATAAATTGATGGCTAATTTCATACAAAATATCTGACACCCAAATGATTTCTGCCTAATACAGGCATATCAAATAAATTTTATTTATTTTCTTACTGACGAGACATCAATGATCAATTTTCTCTATGTTTTTGTTAAGTAAGAGCTTTATTGGTAGCCACCTGCAAGACTATTCTGACAAAGGGACATTAAAATATATACAAAAACCAAATTTACAAGTACCTCTCCTTTATACAGGATCAAAATTAAATCAATTGTGTTGAAATATCATTTATGAGAACATTGCGTAAATACAGACCGAACACACTAAAGGTTGAACAATGTTTTCTTTGTCTATGATCATTTGATGCTAAAACTATAAGATTCTTCAAAATGAAAGTGCATTTTAAAGAAAAATTTCACAATAAGGTTTATATTTACCAGTACTGTATTTAGAGAACGTTTTGCCTGTTCCACAGTGTTCTGTAGCAACATTGCCACTGTCATTGGTCCGACACCACCAGGTACTGGTGTAATCCAGGATGCCACCGTCTTCACCTCCTCAAAGTCAACATCACCAACCAAACGTTTCCCTGTTTTCTTTGTTGCATCTTAAACAATAATTTTAATAATATATATTTAAACAAGAATGTCGAACGACACATATACCCCCCTTTCTAGCCATTGACTCACATAATTGGTAATTTTATTACAAAAAATTGCCAAAAAAGGGTACATGGAAGTGTTCAATCATGGAAAAATCAACGAAAACCATTTTGACATTTAAGGCCCATGTGACATTGACCTTTGACCTAATGACCCCTAAATCAATAGAGGTCATCTACTACTTATGACCAATAACTAGGTGAAATATGAAGACTTTGTGATGAATACTTTTCAAGATAATCAGCGGAAACCATTTTGACATTTAAGGCCCCTGTGACCTTGACCTTTGACCCAAAAATCAATAGGGGTCATCTACTAGTGATGACCAATCACTATGTGAAATATGAAGACTTTGTGATACATACTTTTCAAGATAATCAGCGGAAACCATTTTGACATTTAAAGCCCCTGTGACCTTGACCTTTGACCTAGTGACCCCAAAATCAATAGGGGTCATCTACTAGTTATGACCAATCACTGTGTGAAATATGAAGACTTTGTGATACATACTTTTCAAGATAATCAGCGGAAACCATTTTGACATTTAAGGTCCCTGTGACCTTGACCTTTGACCTAGTGACCCCAAAATCAATAGGGGTCATCTACTAGTTATGACCAATCACCATGTGAAATATGAAGACTTTGTGATTAATACTTTTCAAGATAATCAGCGGAAACCATGTGGTCTACCGACGGACAGACCGACAGACCGACCGACAGACAGACAGACAGACCGACATTAGCAAAACAATATACCCCCTCTTCTTCGAAGGGGGGCATAATAAATAAATAATTTCTTTGCTAACCTTCACTTGTTTTTGACCCTACATTTAGGAGACAATTTGGCCTGCAATGACTATTTTATATAGAGTGTTTCTTTAATTTCACTACCTGGTTCAAAACAAATTGCTGCAAGTAAACAAAACAGTGAATATTGTAAAAGAATATCAATGAAATACAGATGGATTAAAAGAAATACAATGGAAGCTTGAAGATATATAACTAAATTATTGATATTAATCATATTTTTGGAACCTCTCTCAAAATGAAACAACACGATCAGTTAATGACAAGCAATCAAAATTTTTTCAAATCTTATATTTAATAATCTTTGACCTTTTAGTAAAGAAATAACATTTAGATACGGTCAAACCTCTGCAGAGCAACGATGACCCTTGGGAGACCTGTTACTGCTATACAGAGGTTGCACTGTAAAGTAAACAAGTCAAGTAAAACAATTATCAAGCCTGATGTCACAGAAGTCAGAAAAATGCTTTCCGGTATTGGTTATTAAAGAAAAAAAAATATTGTAGTTGCTGTCTTAAGTTGTGTAAGCATAGCTAAAAACATTTTCAAATGTTAAATAAAGTAGAATTTTTTATTAATTTTCAGTGACTTTGACAAAGTGTCCTTCAAAGACTGCAGACTGCCAAAGGGTAGATTTCAATGCAAAGTAATTACATACCAAATACCTTAAGAAATGGACATTAAATAAAGGCTCTATGGCAATCCGTATAATTATCTATTTTCCATCCCTATTGACCTTGACCCTATCAACTTCAAACCTATCGAAGATTAGAAATACATGTACATGCATGGAAGGTACCTAATTATCAAAGATAAAGGGTCTCTTCTAAGAAAAAAATCCATTCATAGCCTCATTGACCTTGGACACGACACCATTTACTGCATGACACTGAGAAATTTCCCCATGCCGAGGAATGATACAACGATATCTTGATAACTAATCCAATACTCTCCCAATAAGGTCAGCAACCAGACAATGTGGTTTGAAAGTACCATTTATTACTATTTTTCACCAAAGCAGCTCTGCCAATTGAAAGTAGATCAAGGGCATCTGTAGCCAAGTGGTTAAGAACATTAAATTCAAACCACTTGCCCCTCACTGCTGTGGGTTCAAATCCAGATAAGGGTTTAGATTCTTTCATGTGAGGTCATCCCTAGCTTACAGAAAGAACATCGGTGGTTCTACTCAAGTGCCTGAAATAATGCACGGAAGGGCAACATAGGTCTTGCTTTACCACTAAAGGTCGGAAGTCGCTATACTGTGTTGGTGCAAAGTAAAACCCAACAAAAATATAAAAAAAAGAAAAAAAAGGAAAGAAGATCATCTAAGGATTCTACAGATAAAGTTTTAAAAGGGGTTAACAGTTTTAATATTGGAAAATGCAGTTATAAACACAGTTTAATGCCACACAGCAAAATATGAACACAAGCAGACCAATGTTGATGTTGAGTGTCTTTCCATCTTCATAATACTAACAGCTAACCCCAAACTTTCTGTTTTGGTCAGAAAAAAAAGTTTAAGGAATTAAAACAAACATTTTAACATAAAAACAAGAGCACCGCTAGGCGGAGCATTATATGCCCGAAAGTTTTTTTGTTTTTTTTAGTAAGGATGAAGCATTTGTAAGATATTACATCAATTAAATAAAGTATTACCTCCTTCAAATAGCAATCCTCCTATAAAGTTTAAATATAGTGGGCCAAATGGAACATAAGTTATGCTTTGGAAACTGTTTTCTGTTTTGAGGTAATAGCGACCTTGAACTTTGACCTTGTTACCACAAAATCAATAGGGGTGTTCTACCCAATATGGGCAATCATCCTATGAAGTTTGAATATTGTGGGCCAAATAGACTTTAAGTTATGCTCCGGAAACTATTTTAGTTTTAATGTAATAGTGACCTAGACCTTTGACCTTGTGACCCCAAAATCAATAGGGGTCTTCTACCCAATACGGACAATCATCCTATGAAGTTTGAATATTGTGGGCTACATGGAACATAAGTTATGCTACGGAAACTGTTTTCAGTTTTAAAGTTATAGTGACCTTGACCTTTTGATCCCAAAATATATAGGGGTCTTCTACCCAATATGGACAATCATCACATGAAGTTTGAATATTGTTGGCCAAATAGACCTCACATTATGCTCCGGAAACTGTTTTCTGTTTTAAGGTAATTGCAACCTTGACCTTTGACCTTGTGACCCCAAAATCCATAGGGGTCTTCTACCCAATATGGACAATCATCCTATGAAGTTTGAACAATGTGGGCCAAATGGAACTTAAGTTATATTCCGGAAACTGTTTTCAGTTTTAAGGTAATAGTGACCTTGACCTTGTGACCCCAAAATCAATAGGGGTTTTCTACCCAATATGGACAATCATCCTATGAAGTTTGAATATTGTAGGCCACATGGAACTTAAGTTATGCCCCGGAAACTGTTTTCAGTTTTAAGACAATAGTGACCTTGACCTTTGACCTTGTGACCCCAAAATCGATAGGGGTCTTCTATCCAATATGGATAATCATCCTATGAAGTTTGAATATTGTGTGCCAAATGGAACAACCATAAACATACTGAATTTCCTGAATGTAAAAAAATTAAAATATTTTTTATCCCTAATTTTAGGGAATTCACAATGAATATTTGAAAGTATGATCAGACAGCATAAATACAGGAAAAACACACACACACGCACACGTAAAATACTCAATTTCTAATTAAACTTATTATATTCCATCAATTTTTAGATAAACTTGTATGGTTTTCAAACATTTTCTGGCAAAAGTACACTAATCATGTATAATTTCATGGCAAATCACACATAAAAAAATCACAACAAGCTTCCTTACCCCTTTAAAATTATCAAATCATGTAATGCATCTTCATCTAAATTAAAACACCTCTATTATCAAAGTCAGTATGCAACATACTGAAACATTGGACTTGGAAAAGGTGCAGACCATCTATGTATAGTACTGTTACTAACATAATGCTTTTTCTATCTTTTAAACAATAAAAACTACTTTACAAAAAAAATATTTTGCAAAATTTTAACATGTTAAGAAAATAAATTGGTATTATTACTTCATACATTATTAAGAGCAGCAAAAATATCCACACTTGTAAATGTTAACAAGCATTAAAATTTTAAAGAAAACATAATTCACCTTTTTTATTAGACATAAATTTGTGCTGCAAATAAAAAATGTTCATAAATATTCTCTTTGTTTCGTTTTGAGAAAAATCGGCTCACAGATTTCAAGTCTGGGGTAGCCCATGATGTTTTAAGTAAAACTTTAGTTTAAATATCAAAAATAAACACATAGCTTCACTAAACACTGTTTGATCTCAACCTCAGCAAAAACTGCTACACTTTAAAAAAAGGGGAAATTAAAAAGGGGGAGCCCTTGAATGTTTGGTTATTCTGTAATAAACGGGTATCAAAACACATGCATATTTATAAAAAAATTTTTATAATTTTTTGAAATTTTAAAATTAAAAATTAAAATTTTACCTTCCCCTTTACCAAAATTAAAAGTCCTGTTCCCGGAGCACCCTTTGGGGGGTGCAAATTTTTAAAATTAAAATAACCCAAATCCTCCAATCTGGATGAAAAAACCCCCTTCCCATTTTTGGGAAAAATTTTAAAAAAAACCCGGCTGAACCAAAACAGTCCCAGAAAAATTTTAAAAAACCATAAATTCCGGGTCTGCAACTACTTTAAATTTAAAATAATAAAAATTTTTTAAATAAAAGAAAATTATCTAAATTGGTAAAATTTTACGGGGCACCCAATTGTTATAAAATTAAAAGGTTTTAAAAAAATTTTCCCTTTTTTATTATAAAAATACATATAAACAAAACACTACAAAATAATATCAAAAAATATTTTAAAAATTTGGTATATATTTGAAACCCCTTTTGGGGCCCACCCAAATTTAAAACCCTCTAATTTTTAAAGTCAATATCAAAAAAATAACACCCCAAACCCCTTCCCCCCCATCCCAAAACCCCCAGAAAAAAAAAATTCTTTAAAAGCTATCAATAGTTGAAAATTGTCCCATCTCTATATTATACAATTGGAATAGGAAAGACCAAGGGTACTCAATTATACTTTAACAAAGAAATTTCCTTCTTTTCCGCAACAGAAAAAACAATTCAAGCAACAAAAATATTATTTAAAAACATTAACATTATATGATGTGTATAATCGATAGTCCATTTTCCTAGGCAAGTAAAACACAAAATTAGCAAAAACCCAATAATTACTACTTTAGGTTCTTTTCTGCCTTCTTGTGGTTAATTCCCACAATTTAAATGGCAAGGAACCTAAAGCAACACCTATAACTTGTATTGGGAATATGGAATTGTACACAGGCTAAAAACAATCAAGGTAGAAATATTGATGAGGAAATTTATTGGGGAAATTTAACAAGACAATTTGGAAGGAAGGGAAAAAGACCAACCCCCTTAACCGCTTGGAATTTTCATAATGGAATTGTCCAACTTTGACTTTGGAACAATCCATTCAAAGTTTGAGGGATTTTTTTTATATAAAATACAAAAACTGAACTGTCCACAGTTCAGTCGGACCTGGCTCTATTATAATGATGGTAAGGACTTATTTTTCTTGGTTCCAGCAGGTCAGGGGTATATACATGAAATAAAACCTGAAATCTTCTCACCAAAATAGTTAAAACAATGAAAGTTAATATGATGTACATGTATGTTATACAATACTTCAGATTTTACCTTCATCTGTTTCTTCAATATAATCAGATTCTAAAAATAGTAAAATCAGTAAAGAAATACTCAACAAATTGGCAGAATGCCTACAAATTCGTAAGTGTACTAATTACTTTCTTAATTATTATTTACTGCAGACTTTCACCATATAAACCAACTTCCATCAAATATCACAACATACTGCAATACTTTGTGAAAAAATCACAGCATATTTCAATAAAATGTCAAATATCATAACCTTTGTATGCTACACTACATCCCAAAATCATAAACAATTTTATTGCCAATACTATGTTCAATTATCACAAAATTTTTGGAAAATACTATATGTCAATTTCCCCAAAATATTTGCCAATCTATTTTCAATTATCCCCCAACCCCAATCCCTTTTATAAATAAGAAACAAAAATTGCCTATTTTTCAATTTGATTTTTTGAGTGCCCAACGTAAATTTATTATAAAGTTTGGGGCCCGGGGGGCCCCAGAACTATTTTATAAACCCCCAAAAGAAATGGCACGTCAAAAAACAAAACCAATTTTGACGTCAAAATTTTACGTAAATTTTCAAACATTTTAACTGTAAAAATTTTTGGAAAAAAAAAATTTTTTGCCCAAAAAACGAATCGCTTATTTCTTTTATAAGCTTAAGCGAAATTTTAAATTTTACAAAACAATTTTTTTACTTTTTGAAATTTGAAGAAATAAACGAAAAAATTCCTTCCAAAAAAAAATGACTCCCTTTGAACACAAAACAGTAAACGCCCGTACAGAACAGTAGAAGAGTAGACAAGAATTTCAACGAAAGAACTTCAAAGTATTTGTTGTTGTTTTTTTGTTTTGTTTTTTAAAAATGCTACTATTAGATCTACCAAGTGTATTAAAGACATTAATACACGTCAGAGTAGGGCCGGAAGGTGATAATCGGCCCTGAATGAATAATGGCCCTCGGGTCCATTATTCATTTTGCGGGCCGATTATCACCTTCCGGCCCTCTCCTGTCGTGTATTAACCTCTTAATATTACAATACTATGTCAATTATCACAAAATACTGGAATACAATGTCAAATATCAAAACCTATAGCAATACTATGTCAAAAATCACTACATTTTGCAATTATCACAACATATTGCAATACTATGTCAAAACTTTTAAATACTAGATCATATTTCAATATTTTATCAATATCACTGCATAATGCAATACTGTTCCTTTACTTAACAATATCCAGTAACATAAATAAGGTCTTCTATGGCTATAAAATGATTGAACAATTTAAATTGTCTGGGTTTACAGATTTCTACACTCAAAACATTTTTCAAATTGGACACTAAGTGTCTGCTCTTATGGAAATGATAAACTTATTTAAAAAGTCGTTCATAAATATTGTATCTGCTGACATAAACTAATCATGCAAATGTTTCTGAGCCTCTCTTTATTCATTAATCTTAACATTCTCAACACAGATATTTTAAAACTAGTATTGTAGTAAATATTAAGCATTAACTTCACATTACACATATTCCTTATATGATACACATATAATAGTTGCTGCCATCCATATGGAATATCATTTTCTTTGTAAAAAAGGCAATTCAGTACTATGAATAATTCTGTAGTCTCAAATTTTAAGCAGGTATATATTGAATACTTTTCTGATGAAAGAATATTTAAAAAGTATCCAACTATAAAATTGTTTGAGTGTATCTACCCAGTATAAATTACTATTGTTGGCCGTACTGTTTATTCCATCTTTAATGACCAAGACAATTATTAGAATAATCCTCAGATACATGTACATTTCTATTATATAAGGCCACAAGTTAACTAGACGTAATACAGAAATAAATGTGTGAAAAGATTTACAGTCCAATGTCTACACAAACTGTACTTAAAGAACAAGAAAATGAAATTGAAATTCACAATAAGTCTTGATTCAAACAAAGTGGATTAAACAATAGTGATCAGTGATTTTTCATCTTATATAACACATGCCTACAACAGGCCTGTTCACAATGGAAATTTACTTTAAAATCATGCAGTGTTTCCAATATCTGAAGTTACACAACTTTTTTATTTCCCAAATTAGCAATTTAAGCGATGAATCTTCCTAAAATCAAGAGGCTAAGGCCTCATCCCAATTAAATGTGAAAAACCACTGGTGGTGCAAGTGAGTATACCACAACATCAAGTATAAAAGTAGACCATGAAAATGCCTTACCTGGGATGCTGTTTATGCCACAGTCTATGACTATAGCTCCTGGTTTAACCCAGTCCTTTTTAACCATCTGTGATTTACCAATAGCTACAACTAGTATATCTGCAGTACGAACCTGAAACATTAAATCACCAGATACATATAGTTTTATGATATATACCACTAAAATCATGTTAATGAACATTCATAAATTTTTGAAAAGAAATATACAGAACAAACTGAAACTAGAACTGCCACTATCATGGCGTGAATACCCCCGCATACCACTTTGTCAGAATCAACAGTGGCCATTTAGAGCTCAAGGACAACCTCCCTGCCAAATCTGAGGTTACTAAGCCAGTGCATTGCTAAGTTATGTATTCTACATGCTTCAAATGTGAAAATGTCAAAATCAATACACTGCGGACAGGCATTCTTTAGCAATTGAGAAGAAAAGCTTTTTTTTGTCAAGGTCCCTGTGACCTTGACCTTTGACCCAGTGACCTCAAAATCAATAGGGGTCACCTTATGGTCATGATCAACATCCATGCCAAATATGAAGACTGTGGGTCAAAGGAATCTTAAGTTAATGGGTGGACAAACTTTTTGAAGTCAAAGTCCCTGTGACCTTGACCTTTAATCCAGTGACCTCAAAATCAAAAGGGGTCATCTACTAATCATGACTAGACTAACCTCCATTCAAAATATGAAGACTGTGGGTCAAAGGAATCTAAAGTTATTGGACAGACAAGCTTTTTATGGTCAAGGCCCCTGTGACCTTGACCTTTGACCTGATGACCTCAAAGTCAATAGGGGTCATCTACTAATCATGACTAACCTCCATGCCAAATATGAAGACTGTGGGTCAAAGCAATCTTAAGTTATTGGGCGGACAAGCTTTTTTTAGTCAAAGCCCCTGTGACCTTGACCTTTGACCAGGTGACCTCAAAATCAATAGGGGTAATCTACTAATCATGACTAACCTCCATGCCAAATATGAAGACTGTGGGTCAAAGGAATCTTAAGTTATTGAGCGGACAAGCTTTTTGAAGTCACGGCCCCTGTGACCTTGACCTTTGACCTGGTGACCTCAAAGTCAATAGGGGTCATCTTCTAATCATGACTAACCTCCATGCCAAATATGAAGACTGTGGGTCAAAGGAATCTTAAGTTATTGAGCGGACAAGGTTATTGAAGTCACGGCCTCTGTGACCTTGACCTTTGACCTGGTGACCTAAAAATCAATAGGGGTCATCTACTAATCATGACTAACCTCCATGCCAAATATGAAGACTGTAGGTCAAAGGAATCTTAAGTTATTGGGCGGACAAGCTTTTTGAAGTCAAGGCCCCTGTGACCTTGACCTTTGACCTGGTGACCTCAAAATCAAAAGGGGTCATCTACTAATCATGACTAACCTCCATGCCAAATATGAAGACTAAGGGTCAAAGGAATCTTAAGTTATTGGGCGGACAAGAAAAAACCGACGGACGGACGGCCGGACGGACGGACGAACGACCTGATTCCAGTATACACCCCTTACAACTTTGTTGTGCGGGGGTATAAAAAGAATAACAACAAAATAAAATACACAATCAAACTAAATTAAATTCTGTATAACAAAAAAATATATTAACCCTTTCCTTCATTAGCATATTGTGAAAAATGGCCGTTTTCATTGAAAAGCCTCCAGTTACAAGTTCAAACTGCTATGAAACTATGAAAAATGCTTCAATACTGATGAATCTTGGCACAAATGTGGACTGGACCATAGCCTCTGTAACAGCATGCTCAAAGTAAAATACTACAGGTATTACAACTTGACCCCTAAAAGCTCTTAAACACCGTATTAACATACTGCAAGGGTATACAGCTAAATTTGGCTATCTGTTATTGGTAGAAAATTACCTTGGTTTAATGTTAGCAATTCAAAAGTGCTATAAAATGATACTTTATGATGCAAGTACTTACAACATCAGGTAGATTGACTGTCTTGGAGTGACACACAGTGACTGTAGCATGGTTCCAGGTCAGTAGGTTTGACATCGGGGCTCCAACTATCTTACTTCTACCCAGAACCACGGCTGTTTTACCGGCTATATCCACTCCTGTAAATTAACAAATAATTCTTATATTACCAAACAAATCTATATACCCATGCTTGATATTAACTCTACCCCTGAACATTAGAAAATGATTGGCATATCACTAAAAAAATCTATATGTCTGATATAAATTGTTTAAAACAACACTGAAGTTTTCATCATATACACATCCTACTTTTGGGACTCCATAAAAATGGTATTGCATGGTGGTGCATATATTTTGACGTAAAGCCATTTGTATTATAAAAACACATACTAAAGACGGTCTTAATGTTAGCATTATTTTAAAGTGAGTTAATAAAAGTTTACAATAAATGGGATAAACAGTAAGGGAAGCGGATGAGGTAAAAGAACCATGTGAAGAATTACAGAAAAAAACATCAACAATGACATCAACACACCTGATCTTCTGATGAGTTCCAGACATCCTCGAGGGGTACATGGTATAATACAATCAGCAAGGTCACCTCGTGCCAACTTTCCAGCATTCTCCTGGTGCAACCTTGAGAAAAATCACAAAAATGCATCATAAGACTTATAAGGATATGTACTATTATTTTCATGCAGATATACCTGTAAAGTTTTTTTCTTTGCCTTAATTTTTTTGTCAATAAATGTTCAATTATGTTTTTTTAAATTGTTTAAGGTTTGCATACACTACACTTCCAATCTAGTCAAGTCCAATGGCAAGAAGATCACATCAAGGTTAGGTGCGTCCTAATATTAAGTTTGAATGTTATAACATTGTTAGTATTGAAATTAATGGCCATAAAGTAAAAATTTATCAAAACGTTGGCCAATTACATAGCTGCCTAATGGGTAAATTACAATAGTGCCACTTTTTTCAAAAAGATGAGCTAAAACTGATGAAAAACATTAAATAAGCATGACTTTAAGTCACACAGTCACTGTTAAAGTCTTACTGTAAGATTTCAGCTTACAATTCCTGAGAAAGAAAAAAAGTTTTTATTATTTTTAATAATTTACATTGTATTCCATTTTCTGTTATTTCTCTCTTTTTATGTTGGTTGGGTTTAAAGTGACACCAACAAAGTGAAATGTCACAGGCTTACAGGTGGATCAGGTGCCACTCCATTTACACATTTGGGGCACATGCAGGCCCCTGAGTAAAAACATGAACCTAGCTGAAAAGCTAAGCTGCAAGAGGCAAGTGATTTGAAGACATGGATAAAACCTCCCAACCATGAAGACCCTCATTTGTGAGTTATTAAGGTAGTGAAGAAGAAAAGTAACGATCTTTATTTACCCATCTACGTCTTTTTCTGGTCTGATGGCATTTGTGACTAAATGTGTGTCAACTTCGCTTGTGGTATCCAATGGCAACTGAAATATTGTTCATTTCATCTAAATAAAAGTTGATTGATGAATAATAGAAATGGTGATATACATATAAAAATCTGCAAAAATATACCAAATCAGGTATACAAAATGAAACAAGAGCCATGTCAACATGGCCATCCCCCGCCGAATGTGTTTGCTCATTGGAAGAATGTATATGTAGTAGAGCATAACTCCATTTTAAGAGGTCTTTTGATAATGAAAACTGATGGCTATAGTGATTACAGATTTGAAACCTATGTGAATACTGATGGCTGAAAATAACAAAGGGCAATAACTGAAAAATAATGCAGGGTAGGTTATCATTCTTGTGTGCTGCATCCCTCCTCAGTAAAATCTATCCACCTATGAAGTTTCAAGTTGATACCTCAAATACTTTTAAGAAAAAAATTGAATTGAAAAATTAAGTATGAAAAATAACAAAGGGCAATAACTCAAAAATTATAAAAGGTAGAGTTATCATTCTTGTGCACTGCACACCTCCTGAGTTAGATCTATGCACCTATGAAGTTTCATGTCGATATCTCAAAGGCCTTTTGAGTTATGCTCTGGACAAAAATTAATTTTGAAAAATAACAAAGGGCAATAACTAAACAATTATGCAGGGTAGAGTTATCGTTCTTGTGCACTGCACTCCTCCTCAATGAGATCCATCCAGCTATGAAGTTTCAAGTTGATACCTCAAATACTTTTTGAGATAAGCTCCGGACAAAATATTATGAAAAAGAACAAAGAGGAATAACTCAAAAATTGTATAGGGAAGAGTTATCATTCTTGTGCACAGCATTCCTCCTCAATAATATCTATCCACCTATGACATTTCATGTTGACATCTCAAACACTTTTGAGTTATGCTCCACTCGGGTGAAAAATTAGGTATGAAAAATAACAAAGGGCAATAACTCAAAAATTTTGAAAGGTAGAGTTATCATTCTTGTACACTGCACACCTCCTGAGTGAGATATATGCACCTATGAAGTTTCATGTTGATATCTCAAAGGCTTTTTGAGTTATGCTCTGGACAAAAATTAATTTTGAAAAATAACAAAGGGCAATAACTAAAAAATTATGCAGGGTAGAGTTATCATTCTTGTGCACTGCACTCCTCCTCAATGAGATCCATCCAGCTATGAAGTTTCAAGTTGATACCTCAAATACTTTTTGAGATAAGCTCAGGAAAAAATAGCATGAAAAAGAACAAAGGGCAATAACTAAAAAATTGTATAGGGAAGAGTTATCATTCTTGCGCACAGCATTCCTCCTCAATAAGATCTATCCACCTATGACATTTCATCTGATATCTCAAACACTTTTGAGTTATGCTCCACTCAGGTGAAAAATTAAGTATGAAAAATAACAAAGGACAATAACTCAAAAATTATGAAAGGTAGAGTTATCATTCTTGTGCACTGCACACCTCCTGAGTGAGATCTATACACCTATGAAGTTTCATGTTGATATCTCATAGGCTTTTTGAGTTATGCTATGGTCAAAAATCAATTTTGAAAAATAACAAAGGGCAATAACTCAAAAATTATGCAGGGTAGAGTTATCATTCTTGTGCACTGCACTCCTCCTCAATGAGGTCTATCCACCTATGAAGTTTCAAGTTGATAACTCAAATACATTTAGAGAAATGCTCCGGACAAAAATGTCGGACGGAAGGACGGCCGGACGGAATGTCGGACGGATGGACGGAGACTATTACTATATCCCCAGCCGCCTTTTCGGCAGGGGGATAATTACAAAGCCATTGTTATAACTAAATTTAAAGATTTTTACATGCTAAGCAAGAAAGCATTTAATTAATTAACAAGATATGTTTGTAAAACATGTATGCCCCCTATCAGCAGCCAATTAGTCATGTGATAAGGTTATTATGCATGACTTCTGACCCAGTGATCAAACAATTAATAAGGGTTATCAAGTATCTACTGGTCATGACCTTGACCTTTGACCCAAAACTCAATAGGGGTCATCTGCTGGTCACGACCAATCATCATACAAAGTTTGAAGTTCCTAGGCCTAAGCGTTTTAGTTAATTGATCAGAAACTGTTTTTACCTACAAGGTCAATGTGACCTTGACCTTTGACCCCTTGACCCCAAAATCAATAGGGGTCATCTGCTGGTCATGACCAATCACCATGCCAAGTTTGAAGTTCCTAGGCCTAAGGTTTCTTTTATTATTGATCGGAAACCGTTTTAACATACAAGGTCAATGTGACCTTGACCTTTGACCCCAAAATCAATAGGGGTCATCTGCTGGTCATGACCAATCACCATGCCAAGTTTGAAGTTCCTAGGCCTAAGCGTTCTTTAGTTATTGATCAGAAACCGTTTTTACTTACAAGGTCAATGTGACCTTGACCTTTGACCCCTTGACCCAAAACTCAATAGGGGTCATCTGCTGGTCACGACCAATCATCATACAAAGTTTGAAGTTCCTAGGCCTAAGCGTTTTTAGTAAATTGATCGGAAACCGTTTTTACCTACAAGGTCAATGTGACCTTGACCTTTGACCCCTTGACCCCAAAATCAATAGGTCATCTGCTGGTCATGACCAATCACCATACCAAGTTTGAAGTTCCTAGGCCTAAGGGTTCTTAAGTTATTGATCGGAAAGCATTTTTACCTACAAGGTCAATGTGACCTTGCCATTTGACCCCTTAACCCCAAAATCAATAGGGGTCATCTGCTGGTCATGATCAATCACCATACCAAGTTTGAAGTTCCTAGGCCTAAGGGTTCTTTAGTTATTGATCGGAAACCGTTTTTACCTACGAGGTCAATGTGACCTTGACCTTTGACCCCTTGACCCCAAAATCAATAGGGGTCATCTACTGATCATGGCCAATCACCATATCAAGTTTGAAGTTCCTAGGCCTAAGGGTTCTTTAGTTATTGATCCGAAACTGTTTTTACCCAAGAGTTCGATGTGACCTTGACCTTTGACCCCTTGACCCCAAAATAAATACAGTCATCTACTGATCATTTCCAATCACCATACCAAGTTTGAAGTTCCTAGGCCTAAAGGTTCTTTAGTTATTGATCGGAAACCGTTTTTGCTTACAAGGTCAATGTGACCTTGACCTTTGACTGACCCTAAAATCAATAGGGGTCATCTACTGGTCATGACCTATCACCATACCAAGTTTGAAGTTCCTAGGCCTAAGGGTTCTTTAGTTATCACTCGGAAACCATTTGGTCTATGGACCGACGGACCGACAGACCGACAAGTGCAAAGCAATATACCCCCTTTTCTTCGAAATGGGGGCATAATTAATTACACCATACTCACTTTTAAACAAGTAAAACCTAATTTAGTATGGAAATTTATTCATTTAACATTATTATACACGCAACACTTGTGATAATGGAAGAATAAAAATAAATATTTCAAAATTGTCCAGTCCAAATATGTTATTGAAGGAGCTCCACTGAGGTCAAAAAGCCTAAAATAATAAAACTTGAAGTTCTTACATAGTTGATATGAAGAACTTTAAATAGAAAAACTGCAATGTATAGTATGGAAAAACATAAATACACAAAATTAATTAGAAAATCTACAGTAAAATTCTTAACCCGAGTTGAGTGAAAAGTGTTGCAACACTTTGATTTTCCTGGTAATTTTTCACAAAAATAATTATTATTCTGGACAAATGGAGTGAGAAATAATCTGAAAAACTGCACACAAGTTATTGGTTTAGCCTTATATCAAATGGTACACAAATATCAAAAAAAATATTTCCAGTCCTGTCATGTCAGTAAAACCTCAGTGGAGTCCCTTCAATTAATTAATTAATTAAACAATTATTTATACAGCAATTGTGTGTTTGTACATTAGTTGTTTGATTAACTACATGTGAAAATATTTACCTGGACGATAATTCCATGTACAGTAGGGTCATCGTTCAACTTCTGTACAGCATGTAATATCTAAAACAATAATACATAGAATATATAAATCAAACAACCATAAAAAGTTATAAAGAAACACTGTCAAAAGTCAATAAAGTTAGTCATATTTGTGGCAAGCCGATAGCTCAATAGGTAGAGCGTTGGACTGTGAATCAGGCGACCCAGGTTTGATCCTGAACCGTGCAGGTCACTTTTGTTGCGACTGATCATGAAATCTTTTCTATGGTCATTCGCACTGTACCTCTGCTCTAGTATGTACAGAAGTATCAGTTCCTTTCAAAAGTGAAGGCAACTAGTACTGGTAAACTGCTTGACAGTCTGCCCAGGAACATTTGCGGTGGCTGGACTGTGCTCTGGTGAATTCAATGTGGCTTACTGCCGTGATGGGGAGTGAAAACTACCAACACCAACACCATATTTGTGGCATGGCTAAGTGGTTATTAGTCTAAGAATCTCTAGCTGTGTGGGTGCAAAGCTTGTTAGTGGCAAGCTGTTGTTTCCATGAGCAAGAAACTTTACATTCAATGCTCAGTACTGGTTGGTTCCAGAAACAATTTTGGGAGTGGTTCTGTTAGCTTATAGCTTCCTCAAAATCGAACTTGGAAGTCTGGAACTTAACCTATAAAAGTAATGTTTAATACAAACATATATATAAATTTTAAAGAAAACGAATACAAAATCATGGAATATGAAACAACCTCCTGCTGAGTAGAGGTGTTAGGTAACTTGACATGTCTGGCATCTACACCAACCAAAGCTGCATTCTTCACCTTCTGACCTATATATACATTGGAGTCCTCTCTTCCGCCAACCTGACAACAAAATATATATTCATATACATGTATGTATGTAGTGTAATAAAAAAAGATTTTAGGTCAACGGTAAAAAAAGGTCATGATTAATTCATCCTGACTAAAAATCTTTATATAACCTATTAAAGTTGGTTTATTTCTGAATGTTTTAACTTCAATTAAGTAAGTGGTTATACCTGAGGACTTAATGTAAGACTAAAAGTTACAATACATGTGTTACAGATTGGTGCACACCAACCTCAATTAATAACAAGAGCTGTTAGCAGAACAGCAGGCCTTACAGTCACGCTGTTGAAAGTACAAACCCTCAATTATTTGGCTTAGTTGTCAATGAGGTTGTGCTCTTTAACCTAAGAGTTTGTATAGCCAAGGACCAAAGGGTGCAAGTCTGACACCCAAGTGGGTGGTTGGGGGTGTGATACCAAATTTAATATGCTTCAAAGCTAAATAAATATGTAAATAATAAAATAAACATCAGGACTATGATAACTATCATTGTTCACCTGAGATCTATTGCTAGAGAAGGTCGAAATTCTTCAGAGCAGAAGTACATATGTCCATGTGTCAAATTTGGGCAGAGCTTTGGCCACAAATCACATAATTTTTACAGTTTCGTTGAACAATGCTTCATGCTCTATTTAACAAGAAGAAAATTTAAAAATGTTTTTTTTTTTTTTTTTTTTTTTTTTCATAAGTCAACGTAAACTGAATCGCTTTAATCATCAAAAGTGACCAAAAACTTAAAAGCATATGTTAGAACTATACCTTGTTTTTCTAATTTCTATTTTATGTCTATTTTTAGTTATGGAAGCTTAATACTTATGCATCAGATTGGAACTTTTAATACTTGCAAAAGATCACCTTAAGATCATTTGTGTGAAGTTTATGTGATGAAGGAGAGAAGGAGATGATGTTTGAGGAAATTTTAGATTAAGATGAACTAATTTAAGTGCTCAGGTGAGCTAAAAACAATGAAGCAATAGTCAATCTAAGTAATGATGTTTTAACAAAACCTATGATACAACATCATAATGGTGATATATCAAAATAAGATTGAGACAGGTTAGTGGTTCACAAATGTGATTGATTTGTAAAGAACCATTACCCTCATTATTTTGCATAATTTTTTTACTGTAGAACAGAAGTTGTAAAAAATTTGTAATCTCATTATTTAAATTTTTAAAGCTTTTCATAAATAAATAAAGCCTTTTTTAAAGCATCACACAAATTTGTATTTCTTTTATACCTGTATATAAATCTTATAAAAATTTCATAAAAAACCAAACAACTGTAGATTGAAATGTGATAAAATAATGTAGTTGTGTAAAAGGTATAAAGATATTTGTTAATGTGTCAAGGTGATATTATCTTTCACAAACCAACATGTTAGGTCATTTACAACCTCTGACAGGCAAGACAAGAAAAACATTTTAAAGTAAAACATTATTTACAGGATAATTATCATGAGTCTAGGTTATCTACATTTAGATTATACAGTATAATAAGTGCTGTTTGTATCCTTGAGTTGAAACAGGAATAAACTGGTATTTTTAGTAAATATTAAAGGCCCATTATGCACCAGAAAAATTTTCATTTTTATGTTTCAAAAGCATTTCATATCTGGTGTACTTTCTAAAAAGCTATTCACTAGCCAATAACCTGAACCAACTTTTTCTTCTGTTGTTTTTAGGAAATTAGTACAGACATAGAGATTTAGTACTTTATATTGAAGTCAAAGTACTTTTTTGTTTACATTTTGCTACTTCTACAACGCAAAACTTGTACTCCTACTTCTACTTCACAGTGCTACTTTTGCCAGGTAGCAAGCATCTAACTGAACATGCCCTGAAACCATTAGTTAAATGTTATAAAATTCATGTTTGCCCTTTCTATAGAAGTAAAAATTTATGTGTTTCCATAATGTGCCTTTAACATAAAGTTTTATCTATAAAAATATTCTTAGACAGGTGATAACCCTAAAACTGTCAAGGCTGAAACCTTGAACTAAGAAATTAATTCATCAACTACAGTAAACAAAATTACAAAGAAAGGCAACGGGATTTTACATGTACACGCACACATCATGGAAGAAAAACAGACAGATTCTGTTCTGAAAGCTTGATACAATAGCTTTATTTGAGTAATGAAGATTAACTTCATAAAAAAATCAGTCGAATTACTTTCTATAACAAGAAAATGTTTGACCTTGTGTGTGTGTGTGTGTGTTTATTACCTGAACAATGGCTAATCCAGGTTTAAATGCTGGGTATCTCTTTTGTAGATGTTCAACTTCATTCTTTATTTTCTGTCTTATATCTCTGCAGAAAACAACAACAACAACAAAATATTACCAATGTAAGTTTGTAAAAACCTGTATGCAAATATCAGTCATCTTCGTCTCTTTAGTATAGGGGTAGGCTTTATATACATTAAACTCAGACTTATATATACAGACCAGTCATGAGTAACTAGCCAATGGTCTAAATAAAGAGGTGGCTTTTCATCACAGGAATTTTAAAACTATATTTGTTAATAATTAGGAAAATAAATCTTAACCTTTACCAAATGACTATTTAGAAAACACTGGTGTACTCAGCACTGTCTTAAACCAAAATTTTTATTTAAACTTGGAATTTGGAACAGTCCATTTACAGTTGAGAGGGATTTCATTAAAATACTAATAGAAATGCTAAAACTGTGAGTAGTCAACCTTTTTACATCAATGATACAGACTGACCTTGCTATATACAGATGGCAAAACTTCATGATTATTATTATCATCACTTATAAAAAATAGTTAAAAAGACAAAAAATTGTCATTTGGATAATTTTTTTGTAAATAAACCATAAACCATATAACTGACTGTTATTATCAGGATAATCCTGATAATAACAGTCAGTTATATGGTTTATGCTGAGTTATCTTTGCCTCTCTCTCTCTCTGTAGTTGTCAATAATCTAACCTTATCTAAAAGTTCAATGTCCCATGGTACCTTAAACCTTGACCTATATACTGACCTTATACTGCACTATAACAGTACAATATTTTTTTACAATCTTGGTGTTTATTGTGTTACAAGTACATAAAATATGGTGTATCTTTCTAGTTTAAGATTCATTTATCTCCATTTCTTTATACTTTTACTAAAATTTATCAGACCTGGTGGATATCTTGTATATATATATATATTTACATGTATATTATGTTCACAAGTTCATAAAATAGGATACATGTATATATCTTGTAGTGTTACAGCAAGAATAGACATACCATAGGGCCAAGATAACAAATTCGAAATAATCTTGTAAACATTAACTCCATCAAAATTACTGTAACAGAATAAATTCACTGTGTAAAATCATGAATAGATTTTGTTAAATATAATAATGATGAAATAATAAATAACGCGAATAATCATTCTTTAATTATTGGCAGCAATAATCATGTGTTTATGTCACCTGTATATTATATAGAGTCACAGGGTGAGAAAAATGTGCAGCCTGACCGGGACTCGAACCCGGGACCTTCGGAATACCGTACCGCGGCTCTACCGACTGAGCTATCCGGCCGCTTACACATCTTCTCCCCTAAATAGTGAACAGTTCTGAACCGTGACATATCTCCCTGCTATATTGAAATTCGTCCTCGAATTTCACAGAGTTACAGAGCAATGTAAATTAAACTCTGAGCTTTACAGTCACGATGCCCGTTGGGCGCCAAATGTCACAGGGTGAGAAAAATTTTCAACCTGACCGGGACTCGAATCCGGGACTTTCGGAATACCGTACCGCGGCTCTACCGACTGAGCTATCCGGCCACTTACACATCTTCTCCCCTAAATAGTGAACAGTTCTGAACCGTGACATAGTATATCATATAGTCAGGCCAGGTTGTATATCCATGACTTCCAACTAGACCCTAAAACTATGCTTTTAATATCTTGATATTCATCATGAACAGTTAACTGCTTGCTTAATTTCCTAAATATCCAGTTTTCATTTTTGGACTTGTTCATTATTGATTATTGGAGTTATGAAGTTTACAGTCAGCTAACAGTAAGGATTCTGTTAAGACTGTATGGATACGTTGGTGGCTCTATACTGGTGGCAAAGGCTTATCACTCTTGGTTTCAGAAAATCAAGGGTTAAAAGGTCAAATAGACTGGTATTTACCCTATTCCCATAATTGAACCTTGACAAATCTTAGGAAATTAAAAATCTGATTGCTCTTTTATATATAAAGCTTATTTTACAATTTAAACAGTCAAAATAGTTTTTTAAATGTTTTCTGAAGTTCATACTGACATATTTTGTTCAGTTTGCTTATTGTCTTTAGTTTACAATTGCAAATACCAATAGTTTACAGAAGTTTATACAAAAACACCATTGAAACATCGCTAGCCTGTCAGTGTTCTATATATCTTGACTAACTGCCAGTAGTGTAGATAAACAAGTATAGCAAAATTAAATACTCCCTATAGTGATGCCTCTAAAAAAATACAATAACATATTTCATCTACAGTATGTGAGAAAGAAGGTCTATCAATGTGGGAAGGTCATTCAATAATATCAAATTAATTCACTAACTTTTAGTCCTCTGCCACTTGCCATTAACTTCATTTTTTAAGTTATATCCAACATGTTAAGTACAATCATTATTTCTAAAACATTGGTACATTCAAATTAAATACTGTTTACTTAGTGTTAACATTTACTGGAAACTCATGGATAGTTCATTTCTAGGAATGCATATGATATGCTTCACTCTCATTGATGAAAGTCTATTATTTTTTTTCTCAAATCTTGCTTTTAGAAAACTGATGGAAATGTACTTAATTAAGCATAATCTTTCAGACTTATTCCATCTGTCCATTATATTAAGTGGAATAAGTATTATGTATGGTTCTAACAGCTATTTATATCATGGAAGGTGCCATAAATGTTCTTACTGGCTGTTGGCATTATGTATTAAATAATTTTGATTAAATAAGGTCATACACAGTGACCTATTATATAAAACTTAATTCTGTCTGCTGTAAATGATACACTTACACCCTGTGTGACAAATGAGGCCCTGTGTGACAATTGAGTGATAGATATATTGTATATATGTGCTATTATTAACTGTAATTTAATAAATTTATTAAGACTAAGAGACCGAAAAACAAAACAAAAAAAATAACATTTACAACAAAAACAACAAAATCACCAGCTAACAGATATATAGTTTCATGTTTTTTTTTATTCTGAAAGCTTACTTTTTACCTTAAAGAGTGTGATTTTCCAACTATTATGTACACTATACAATATTGCTTTTGCTATCTATCATAAGTGACAGTGCAGTGGTGCAAGGATGCACATGTGTGCTGTAACTTTTACAGACAAAATTACAGGTAGAAATTGTCATGGAAATCTAGAGAAGTAAATCAATCAATAAAAGACTTATAAACATAATATAATTACTCTGATACGTCTTTTCCGCTAAGAAGCTGTGCCATTTCTGAATTTACACAAAATTTTTGCCAAGTCCAAAAAGACCTTTTAACTAAGGGCGACAACTCTGAGAGTAGGATCATTTATCAAGGATATAATTTATGTAGACACCAAATATGGCAGCCCCCATGAACAAGAAAATGTTTTTCAAATGTCATTCGATTTTTAGAAGAAATTTACCTTTATTACAGCAATGGCATGCCATAAACAGATTAGATGAAGGAAGCAGTATTAATTTATACTCTACAAAATCAAGCCCTACTCAATACTGTTTGGATTTAGTGAAGTAAATTTTAGAATGATAGTGAAACCCCATTGTATCGTGCTATTCATTGTATCGATCTAATTACAAATCTTTTGATTTCTTGCAAAATCCGCCACCTACTGATTGTTTACATTTCCAACAGTGTCACGAAAATCTTTTGCATTTGTTTGTGTGCCGTAACAATGATCAAAACATGTTTCCAGTACCGTAAGACATTGTATCTTATTATAATATGAAATTAGGCAAAGCCTATGCACGGGGAAGTCGTTAAACAATTATTTTTATTCTTTCCGTTTTAAAGGTGTCATTCGGTATTTAATGCATCGCTTCCGTTTTCACCTGGAACACTCGGCGATTATTATTAATCCGAAAAGTTGAGATTTGTTCCGTTATCGGAATACCCCACCTATTATCATTGAGTTACATTGTAAATGGCGGCGCCCGATTAGAACTGACACTGAAAATTTCATTGTTAGTAGGGGTGTGGATCGTCGGATAAGTGACGATCCGATCCGAACCGCGATTCAGCACTTATGATTCACAAATCGAACCACAAATCTTGTGTTATCAAGACACCCATAAAAACATGTACATTAGTTTTAAAACATGTTTAATAAAAAAAAACTAAACATTAAACATATATGCAAATATAAACTAGGTTTATGTTTTTATTCTTTGGGTGAGTATTTTTGTTTTCTTTTTTTGAAAACAATTACTTCCTAGCTCAGCATCATGGTACATGGTCTTTAACCGGCAAATTGTATTTAGGTAAACTTGTCATAATTTATACTCAAATCGTATTTTTCTCGACTTTTAGGGTGTGGGAAACAGTGAATGTATATAAACAAATAAGATCGCGATCCACGATCTCTGGGCTTACGGATATTCAAACCTGATTTTTCACTTTGATTCGTGATTATCCGAGTACTCAGATACTCGCCCCAGCCCTAATTGTTAGGTATATTCTGGTTCCCGGCATCTAACAAGTAATATGAAATTAGGCAAAGCCTATGAACGGGGAAGTCGTTAAAAAAATCCTTTCATTCTTTCCGTTTTAAAGGTGTCATTCGATATTACATCCCCGCTTCCGTTTTCACTCGGAACACTCGACAATTATTACTAATCCGAAAAGTTGAGATTTGTTCCGTAATCAGAATACCCCGCCTATTATCATTGACATACATTGTAAATGGCGGCGCCCGACTAGAACTGACACTGAAAATTTCATTGATAGGTATAGAATTCTATATTTTTTTAATTGTTTTTTTATTTAATTTTCTTATAAAATATTCACGTGTAGGCTATAGCCGGGCAAGCCAAAGCCCGGACCCGCTTCGCGGGCCCGGTCTTTAACTTCACCGTATTATATGAAAAAGGCAAAGCCTCAAAGCGAGCTCGATGTACTTTTAACGTGAAATAGTATGAAATAATCGCTCAGTTTTATTTCAAATGCAGTGACGAGTGCGTGTGACGTTTCACATACTGCGTTAAATATGGCTCCGACCCTGTCGTTAAATGAATAACGAGTTTTGTAAACGTTGATAAAACTTTGTTTATTTTATTTCACTCTATAATTTTTCAAGCGAAATAAAGATTATTAAAAGTGAAATAAATGTAAAACTTAAAACGTTTGCGAAATTAAAATAGCGTACTTGATTTGTTTGTTTTGCACGTGCGGTTTGGCGCTACATTGTGACGTCACGTAAACAATACTTTAAACGTCTGTACAGCGTTAACGACTGAATAAAAGATATTGGTGTTTTGGATTCATTTTCTTAGTTAGATCATTTTCTTTCATTCTAGATAGTTTTCACAACAAAATTCGACAAAAAATTGTTTTTATTTATCAGATTTTTCAAACAAAATGGCGCCTTCAATTTTCATTTTACATTTTCCGTTTTAAAACTGTCATTCGATATTTTATACCAAGCTTCCGTTATTCTGGTTCCCTGTCCAATTATGGTTCCCATAGACGTGCGCGGGTGACCAGTCTACACATCCGTTTTCAGTCAGAATTCCTCAGTTTTTATCGTTATCTTTAAATTCGAAAGGTTGCAATGTGTCCAATTCAGTACTTCGGACGAAGGTTTCTTAAACCATCACTTAGCAGGTACTCGCGTTACCGTAAAGCTCGCTTTGCGAGCAGGCCCTTCGGGCCAGCTTGTCAAGCTCGCTAATAAATAGACTTATAAATAGTGTGTTCTTATTAAAAGTACATTTACTGTCTGTTAAAAGTTCCTAAATTTATGCTGACATTTTAAAACAGACATCTTTGTTTCTAATTGACTAAAAAATCTAACATAAAGATTGTTCAGACTTCCAAAACTTTGACTAACTGAACGATTCTCACAATGCATCGATATAATGGCGTGACCTAATTCTTCAACCTGTTTGACATGTCTGTAAATATCTGTATATTGCAAAGCTAAAAACTATATATCAGTGATGTTTGCCATGAAAATATTATGACAAAAGGATCAAAATAAGTTATACAAAATAAAGATTCAAGGAGATTTAATTTTTTCTAACTGCAGTTTTAATTTATGGATAAATAGATCGATACAACAGGGTTCCAGGCTAATATGTATTCTGCTTACTGTATGCATGTTATGTAAAATATTCAAAATTTAATCAATTAACATAGGCACTTGTTTTCGGGACTAAGACACTTTAAACTTATCAGTAGCTGTTAAATTTATCTGAATGTAAAAAAAAATTATCTTTTAGTTAGTTTTCATATAATACCAGCGGTTTAATATGACAGTAGGCAAAGCCTATCTATGAATGGGGAAGTTAGAGAAAAAACGTTTGCTAATTTTTATTTGACATTTTTTTTTGTTTTCAGGATGTCAATCGGTATTTCATGCACGGTTTCTGTTTTCAATCGGATCACCTTGATGTTTATTCTTATGCAAAATACTTTATAGTTGCAATTATTCTGTTATCGGAATACCCCGCCCAACTAGAAATGACACAGAATATTTCACTGATAGATATCGAAATTATACGTTTTTAATTGTTTTTTATTTGATTTCCTTTTAAATATACACATGTAGTCTATAGCTGGTCATAACTTATTGCTCTGTTACCTTGTATAGTATTTAAACTTCCATTTTCTTGGTCTCATTAATAATTATTTTCTTGCAGGAAAAGTGATTATGAAAATTATGTTTGTACATTGTTGTACCACAAAGATTACAGAACATCAGCTATGGCACTCAGAGCACTTTATATTGAACTTGCTCAGGTACTTGTATAATAGTTCTATTTTCAGTCATCAGTTATATATTTTTTATATTACTTTTATTTAGAGTTCTTTACCATGCTTTTATATGTGAAGTTATCTTCTAACATTTTGATTTTATATAATAATTTAAATTATCATAATAAATCTATAGATTTCCAAATATGAAGGTTTGATAGAACCGATACCGATAGAAAATAATAGAAAATAAATAACCTAAACCAGCTCTGGTCTTGATGTGTTGTACTTTTCTTTATTTTAATTTGATTATTTATATATATTAATGCAATTATGATAAAAGCTAAAATGTTATAGAATAATGACACAGTACCTTTAATTTAATTTAATTATAATTTCATTATTGCCACCATACATGCTGTACTTGAATTAATAAGCAAACATTTTATTTTTCAGGGAAATTGGTTTAGAAATGTAATAAGAAATAATTTTAAAGATATGTTTGTACATTTGTTTAGGTTCAAGATGTTACAAGTGATAAAATGAGAGCCATTATGAGATTACAGTTCTGGAAAGATACCATTGATAATATGTTCAAAGTATGTAAAACTTATGTTATAATATTTCTATATGTGACATACATGTACATGTATATTCTCAAGTAAATGTCACAATAATTTGACACTTTTACAGCTTTTTGGCTGGAGGAGAACATGTAGTTAGTATGTTGGATAGAACTGGAATCAAGTTAGTTAATTTCCTCACATGGAATTATTTGTTGTCATAGGACAAGGGATTCCATTTCAAGAAATTTAACCATTCTGCTACAGAGGCATGTTATTTATGTAAAAAAATTATTTTTTGAAAAATTGTTAATTCAAGTTATTGGAAAATTGAAAATGAAATAGAAGTTTTTTTATTCATTATGGTCATTTTTTTTTATTTGAAGAAGTTCACTACCCCAATTGTTTATTTATTACTTTATAAGTACCATTTGTCTTTTTTGTTGCATCCATTATCTAGTTACCTGTATTTAGTATAACCAAATATTTTCAGAAATTTCTGCATTGACCTGTACTTAGTATTAATCTAGTAATTTATTCTAAATTATATATTTTCAATATTGATACAGTACATTGTATTAACATACTTGGGCAAAGTTGGCAAGCAAAGATATCAGTAATTAACATAGTTTATGATAAACTGTTTTTCAGGGTACACCACCAGAGACACCTGTAGCAATAGCAGCTTCAAGAGTAAGATATACTTTCACATTGTTGTATGAAAATAGTGGTGACTTTAATTATATAAGGTTTATAAAAGTTAAAATGTTGAAACATGTTAAATGAATTTTTAGATATATACTTTTAGTATGAGCATACTATGATTGGGATAGTCCATCCATCTATCAGGTCAAAGTTCAAGGTTACAGTGATGCTGTGTAAAATCCTTGGCCATCTGATCATGGTCTGCACTGTTGGCTATTTACTATTCAGTTAGTATATATTATGAAAATTTCACGAAAAATGATGAATTGTTTTGTGGGGATTAACAGATAAACAAGTCCATTTAAGATATTTAGCATGATAAGGGTTGAAAATTAATAACACTTACTTTTTATGAAATATGCATAAGAATATTAGTACATACATGTATATGCCACTGTGACAGAAAATCTAGTCGGGGCATAAGTGTCCATGTATTAGAATATACTTTTTAACTTCATTAGTAATAGAAAGAGCATTGAAACAAAAGATAATCTGATTTGTATATGGGGGCATGGCCTTTGAGTAGTAATCATATAGCCAAGTGTTTTTTAATTTTTTTTTCTCCATTTGTGTCATAGCCCTGTGAGCATGACTGAAAAAATTATTGAAATACTTTGCTGTCTTTATTTCTTCATTGTTTATATATCAAATCTTATAGTTACAACAGTATTCTAATATCCACACTCTTCAGTTAACACACAGTTCTGCATTGTTTGAACAATAAGTCCAAACACATTTTTAATGAAAATTTCTCTCAGCTATGATTCATTTTATTCATAATTTTACATATTTTTTGTTGCTAATTTCAGGCAATAGCAAAACATAAACTTTCAAAGATCTGGTTCACAAGAATCTTAGAAGAGAGGGTAAGTTGTGAATTCGAGTCCCGGTCAGGCTGCACATTTTTCTCACCCTGTGACATTTGGAGCCCAACGTGGGACTGTGACTGCATAATGCTCAAAGTTTAATTTACATTGCTCTGTAATTCTGTGAAATTCGAGAATGAATTTAAATATAGCAGGGGAGTATGTCACGGTTAAGAACTGATCACTAATTAGGGGAGAAGATGTGTATGCAGCTGGATAGCTCAGGCGGTAGAGCGGCGGTACAGTATTCCAAGGGTCCCGAGTTGAGTCCAGATCAGGCTGCACATTTTTCTCACCCTTTGACATTTAGTGTTTCACAAACATCTCTTGTTTCATTTTCAAACAATTATTAGGGCCTCTTTGACAGAATGCTGATAACTTACTTATCAATCAATTCTTTTGAGTATGATTAATTCTTTCACTCAAAAATATTTTGTTGAGATTCAATGTGGAAGTTTGATATCTCTAATACCAAGAAGAACATCTAAAATACCAAGAAGAACATCTAAAATACGAAGAATTATATCTAATAACAAGAACATTGTAATTTAAGTACATTTATCAGAAATAAGTTCAGAGTGTTTCATTACCTAAGTGGTGTGGTTTTTGTGATGAAGATCATGTCTACTTTCAGGCTAAACAAGTTGATCAAGATATGAATAGAACAGTGAAGAATGTCGAGGATTCTGCAGAAAATACAGTTTCAGCTCTAACTTACCTGTTATTGGAGTGTGCAGGTGTCTGATAAAGCTCTTTTTATCATATTTGTGTTCAAAAATGTCATTGCCAATCTGGTTAGCTCATCAAAGAGAGTATTTTGTCAATGAATCTCTGATATTTGCATTTCAGTTATGGACACAGCTCCTGCTCTTTGTTTTAATTTGCTTGATACCGATACCCACAAGTATCTCAATTTAAAAAAATTAATTTGATTTATTAGATTAAATCAATAGGTTGAAAGTTTCTGACAGAAAATAGTCTTTATGTTTCTAAATTCAACAAAATAAAAAAACAAACATAACTAGAATTATCAAATATGTAATGATTTCTTTGATCTTTTCAAGGATTTATAGAGAAGTGTTCGCCTGCTTAAATAAAAGGGGAAAGCATCGAATTTGTAACCAATGGGTAGCTGGTTCAATACTTGTATGAGTCAAATTTTTCCATGACAAATGATCCTAAAACATTTGTAGCCATCTGTCTCTCACCCCTGATTCAGAAATCACTTGGAATAAGTAGTGAGTCACTTGTTGGGAAATTGGCAATGACTGGTTAGTATCCAGGAAAGCCAGTTCAATGAAAATGACAGTCCAGATATTACCAAAACGGTTTCAAATCTGTGTAATAAACATAAAAAAAAAAACAGAGAAAAGAATCCACTGTAACACAAGTATCTGTATTTTATTTTCAGGAATAAAAGATGTAAATGCTGATCACGCAGCTAGTCATATAGGTAGATGTCAGGGTTTAGTTACATTACTTAGAGCTACAGCTTACCATGCCAGTAAAAACAAAGTTTATATACCTATAGAACTTTTAATCAAGGTATTGTTTTTCATTTTCATTTACCTGTCTATGTGTTGAGTTATATAAATAATTGTTGACAGAGGTTTATTTTATTTCATGTACTTTAAGAGTTGGGTTAATTATTATCACAGAGGCATTAGTTTCCACGGTAAAATGGTTTAGGTCACTGACTAAAATCTCTTTTTTCCTTAATTCTGTAGTTTGAAATAGCACTTAGTCTAGTGACTATGAATTATGTAATGAAGAAGTTGTCAAGGTAGCTTACAGTGTCTGTGGTTCTACTCAGTGCTTGTGTGTTCCTGAAATAATATACAAAGATTACTTTGAGGCCAACAGTGCAACTAGAAAAGTCACCAAGTGTCTTTACCAGTGTTGACATGACTTAAAACCTAACCGACGGCAATATGACCACATATTACTCCATCCAATAATTTCGAAACCTTTCTCAGAATATTAAATGATATTAATCCTGACATTTAGCTCAAATCCTTTTGTCAATAATATATAATACTGGTATTGCTGATAATTTAGCTTGTGAGACTTACCATGTTAGTACTTAATTCCAGCACAATGTATCACAGGAGCAGATATTGCGTTGTAAAGAAGATCAGAATGTTAAAGATGTCATGTATGATATTGCTTGTGTAGCTCATTCTCATCTAGAAACTGTGAGTAACAGTGTTATATATAGTTTATAATTTCACTAGCACTCTTATGCTCATATTGCATCTGATCAGGTTTACTTGGGATTAAGACACCTGGCGAGCGTTTTACTAATATTCAGTAAGTTAAGCGTATCTTTTTACATAAATTTGGACTTATGCAAAACATAAAATTATGTTAGTTGTGTTTCACTAAACAGAACATACAATTTACGCCAGCAATAAAAAAGCGTAACTTTATGTTTAAAACCTACGCAAATGCAAAGCTAAGAAAGATTCGTGAAACGCAAATAAATACCCAAGTTCTGCTTACACAAAAGTCATGTTCAAACTCTAGTTACGCTAACGTAAGTACGTTAGTAAAAGGCTGCCCAGGCCCTAAGGTTATAAAACAATTTTCAGAGGCCTGTCTCATATCTCAAGATTTTCACTGGTCACTTTAAATCCTTCGCTGGTTTCTGGCCAATCGAAAACATGAGATCTGAGTTAAAGATCAACAATTTTCTTTATAACCTGGGGCCCAGATGCCCCCTGCTGGCAATTGATTGAGAAATGAATATCAGCCTATTAGCTTGTGTAAAGCAACCAACCATCAGTGTTTAAGGATACTGACTTGGAATTTCTTTTATATATGCAGTTATACAACTAATTGGTTCATTTCAAGTGTCCATTAGACTTGATGTTTCCTCCACCAGTAAAACCGGAAAATAAGCATATGACTTTTGCAGTGTTGGCATGACCGCATAATGTTGGAAGCAGTAGTAAAAATGTTATCACCAACTTCAAAGATCTTAATTATGAAACAAATCTTTTACATTACATGTATATTTAAATTCACTATACAGTCATTTGTCAAATACCAATATTTATATCTTTTAACTCCAAGTGTCTAAATTTGCCTGTTTGAAGAAATACTTATAATGACAGTCCAAAAAAGGTGTACCTCAAAACAAACTTTTGCCTTTTATCTTATTTATTTTTTTGCATCATTTATTTATTGCATCATTTGTATATAAAATTTTTGTAGTCAACACTGAACCATTATAGATACAGAAAAATCTTTCTTTATCATATTTAGGCTCGAGCTCTAAAAGATGTGCCAAAAGGAGCGTACCCTATATTACTCAACACAGTAAGTTAACGTTAGAAAAATTACTTTCTTTATTTCTTTAACCCCTTTGTAAGTATGGCGTATATTATCTTGCCGATTTTGGTTTGACTTACTTTTGAAAATATGAGTAACAATAAGCAAATTTCAGAAGATTTTATTTATTTCAAAAGCAATGAAAATGGATATTTTTAAGAATCAAATATGTCATTTTTAGCTCGACTTTTCTATGAAAAGGGGAGCTATCCTACTCGCCCCGGCGTCGGCGTCGGCGTTAGCGTTGGCGTCACACCTTGGTTAAGTTTTTCGTACCACCCCACTTTATTTCAGAAGTATTACAAGTATGGCTTTGAAACTTACCATACTTGTTCACCATCATAACCTCCATCTACAGACAAGAGTACATAACTCTGTCAAGGTTTTTGACAGAATTATGGCCCTTTTTTGACTTAGAAAGTGTATTGAGCTTGGTTAAGTTTTTTGTACCACCTCACTTTATTTCAAAACCATTGGAGGTATTGCTTTGAAACTGACCATACTTGTTTACCATCACGACCTTCATCAACAGACAAGAGGACATAACTCTGTCAAGGTTTTTGACAGAATTATGCCCCTTTTTGACTTAGAAAATACATTGAATATGGGTAAAATCCACTTATTGCCTTAACCCTTTGAGATATTGCTTTGAAACTTTTAATGCTATTTCACATCATTACCCCCATCTGTACGCAAGAGAAGGTAACTCTGTCAAGGATTTGTTTTAAAAATTAAGGCCTTTTATCGTCTTAGAATCTTGGTTAAGTTTTTAGTACCAGTCCACTTTTTGACTGAACTGTTTGAGATATTAATTTGAAAGTTGGAATACTTGTTTACAATCATGATTCCCAAACATGTCCAGGAGAAGGTAATTCTGTCAAAGATTTTATTTGAATTATGGCCCTTAACTGTCAATGTTTTGTATTATAGGCAAGCACTAAAAAACTTAAAAAATCTAAAAAAATTCATTCCTATCCACTTGTTCACTTTACCATAAATTATGTCATATAAACATTGCTGTAATATTCAAGGGTATCAAACAACTAGTTCACTTTAAAAATACAGAGATTCTTGTATTGCCTTTTACTGCAAAAACTTTTTTTATTGGCAAGCAATAAAAAAGTCGAGCGCGCTGTCTTACGGACAGCTCTTGTTAGCTCACCTGTCACAAAGTGACAGGGTGAGCTTTTGTGATCGCTTTTCGTCCGGCGTCCGTCCGTCCGTCGTCCGTCCGTAAACTTTTGCTTTAAATGACATCTTCTCATAAACCACTGAGCCAATTTCATCCAAACTTCACAGGAATGTTCCTTTGGTGGTCACCTTTAAAAATTGTTCAAAGAATTTAATTCCATGCAGAACTCTGGTTGCCATGGCAACCGAAAGAAAAATCTTTAAATATCTTCTTTTAAACAACCCTAAGAGCTAGCGCTTAGATATTTGGCATGAAACATCTTCTAGTGAGTGTCTACCAAGTTTGTTCAAATAAAAGCCCTGTGGTCAAAATTGGCCCCGCCCCAGGGGGTCATTGATTTTCCCTATATGCATATAGTAAAAACTAAAAAAACTTCTTCTAAAGAACCCAAAGAGCTAGAGCTAAGATATTTGGCATGAAACATCTTCTAGTGAGTGTCTACCAAGTTTGTTCAAATAAAAGCCCTGGGGTCAAAATTGGCCCCGCCCCAGGGGGTCATAGATTTTCCCTATATGCATATAGTAAAAACTTAAAAAATCTTCTTTTAAAGAACCTAAAGAGCTAGAGCTAAGATATTTGGCATTAAAACATCTTCTAGTGAGTGTCTACCGAGTTTGTTCAAATAAAAGCCCTGGGGGTCAAAATTGGCCCCGCCCCAGGGGGTCATTTGATTTTCCCTATATGCATATAGAAAAACTTAAAAAAATCTTCTCTTAAAGAACCCAAAGAGCTAGAGCTAAGATATTTGGCATTAAACATCTTCTAGTGAGTGTCTACCAAGTTTGTTCAAATAAAAGCCCTTGGGTCAAAATTGGCCCCGCCCCAGGGGGTCATTGATTTTCCCTATATGCATATAGTAAAAACTTTAAAAAAACTTCTTTTAAAGAACCAAAGAGCTAGAGCTAAGATATTTAGCATGAAGCATGTTCTAATGGGTGTCTACCAAATTTGTTCAAATAAAAGCCCTGGGGTCAAAATTGGCCCCGCCCCGGGGGTCATTGATTTTCCTCATATGTGTATGGCAAAAAACTTAAAAATCTTTTTTGAAAAAACCCATATAGCTAGAGTTTAGATATTAAGCATGAAACATCTTCTAATCAGTGTCTACAAAGTTTGTTCAAATGAAAGCCCGGGGGTCAAATTGGCCCTGCCCCGGGGTCATTGATTTTCCTTTTTTGTGTATAGCAAAAACTTAAAAATCTTCTTTGAAAAAACCCATATAGCTAGAGTTTAGATATTAAGCATGAAACATCTTTTAGTAAATTTCTACAAAGTTTGTTCAAATAAAAGCCCGGGGGTCATTGTTTTTAACTATATGTGTATAGTAAAAACTTAAAAAATCTTCTTTTAAAAAACCCAATGAGCTAGAACTTAGATGTTTAGCATGAAACATCTTCTTATGGGTGTCTACCAAGTCTGTTCAAATAAACAAATAAAAGCCCTTGGGTTAAAATTGGCCCGGGGGGGGGGGGCTATATACAGGTGAGCGACCTCAGGGCCATCATGGCCCTCTTGTATAAAAATAGTGAATGCTATTCATTGATTGTCATTCATCTTCCACTTGTTTCATTGTGTGATATGAAATAAAGTACTTTATTTATTGTGCACACAATATTTTATGGTACAGCATTTGAACTGTGAAAATTTTGTAATGTAGCAATTTTGTCAGAAACCGATTGGCCAAATTCAATGCTTTCAGACTACAAGCAAGTTTGTACCATTGTTATGTGATATCTTCAAAATTTTCTTATATCATTTAGATATTTTCAGCATGTATTTTAGGACTACCCTCTACCCCAGCATCTTCATAAAATCATGACAAAATCTTTAAAAATGACATTAAACATTAGAGATAATTTGTTTGTGTTTTTTTTCATTTCAGTATATCTGTGATAAATATTTGAAGGATCTACAGTTGGCAGATTTTAATGTGTTTGATACAAGACTACACATTAGAAACCAAAAACTGGCTTGGCATTTATGGAAACAGAAAAATATATACAGAACATTTTAGTTAACAAGTTTTCTAGAATATATTTATTTTTACGTCTTCAGTGAAGATTGTACAGTGTGATTTTTGGTTTGAAAAAGTTGGTCTGGTTTGTAAGAGGTACCAGTATAAATCTTATCCGACTGAGTGATAGAATGGAAGATTCACCCCGAGTGTTGTAACTAGTAACTGATAGGTTAGCTGAGGTTGGCTTCTTGTCAAAGGTGGACATTCCGTTCTATCCCCTCTCTGGCATGTGATATTTATTTTGTAATGCTGAACAAATAGTTTTAGATAAAAGTGCTGAAAAGTCTGAGCAGGTGGGGTAGCTGGTAAAGAACAAAATGGTTTACGTGTTAGGCACATTTGGTAATGTCAGCCGGCCAAAAAAGTGATGTTACCATGTGATATAATAGTTTGTTACCCTTTGATGTGACATAAGGCTATATAGTAATTGTAGCACATCAAATATAATAAAGGACAACACCAGCCAGTCCTCATCATCGAAATGAGATGAAATAAGACTTAAACTTTCTAAATTGTTTTTTTGAAAAAAAAATGACAATTTAATTTCATAAGCTAATCATTCAAATGTAAAAAATATTTTATATTACATGTAGTTCACTCTCATACTACTTTGCCCTTGTACTGCCACTTCGCTGTCACACTGTCTGTCCATAGACTGAAAAAATGGAATATGGGGACATTCTGTGGAATGTGGCAACATTCATTATCTATAGACATGTTTCTTATTTAGTCTTTTGAAACAATGACTGAAATTGCTATAACTTAAGCACTTGTCCCTACATAATTGTTGAGAGGAATGTTCACTTCTGATATTGGCTATCCAGATAACTTGTTGAAGGTCTGTGATTCTACCAAGGTACCTGTCTGTGTTTTAAATAATATATAGGGAACCATCTTGATGCCTCTACCAGTAAATGCTTGAAGATTACTATTATTTATTACCAATGTGCTGGTATCACTTAAAACTTATGATACATAAAACACAACCTTATTGAATATGTATTTTGTACTGATGATCTGATTTGACAGTAAAAGAGCTTTAAATAATTTTGTGTATGTTTTATGTTATATATTATAAACTAAAGAATGTATTATGTAGTGCTTATTTCTCTTTGACCTATGAACTAGAGGTTTACACTGATCATAATGCCCATCTTGATAGTTCAACTTCATTAAAATATCGACTATTTAATACTGACCTTTATATGGCCTATTACACAGATGCTTGGGGGTCAGATCCTGCCCCCCAATGTGATACGCTCCTGTAAACACTCTATCAAAACTATTTTAAAATTTAAACACGAATGGGACATCTATTACAACGATAAAAATGGTTTTCAAACAATTTTAACATATATGAAAAAAATACCGTATACCATCAAGTCTCATTAAAGTTCCATTCGTGTTAAAATATTAAAATAGTTTTGATAGAGTGTTTACAGGGGCGTATCATTAGGGGGCAGGATCTGACCCCCAAGCGTCTGTGGGCCCATTATGGAGTTAACCCAACTTTCATTTACAAGGTCAGTGCTCTATCACAATAATCCAATACTGCAGTATAATGCTGGGAAGGGAAGCAGCTTTCATTAGTAAGTTAAAATACAAGCTTGTCATTTATTATGACGGCTGAATCTGTAAATTCAACATCATTTAGCAAAAAATATGAAGAGCCGAATATGATAGTTATTTATGCATATCTCTTTCTGTATCACAATAAGAGGACAAAAAGTAAAAACTAATATAATAGGATATTTATTGTTTTTGTCAAGTTTGATTTCCAGTTAGTGTTTATTTGTGTTTGAAGCATATTCAAGCAGACGGCTTCAGTTTTTGTGCGTCGGGGCCATGTTGACCAAGTGTTCATGTCAGTGAGCAATACACTGAATTTTATCTCATAAAAAGGTTTTTTATCACCACTGTGGGTTGGAATCCGGACAGAGACTTTGGATCCTTTTATGTGAGGAACTATCCAATTAGCAGACAATGTCAGTGGTTCTACTCTGGTGCCCATTCATGGCTGAAATAATGCATAGAAGGGCAGGCAAGGTCTTCCTCCACCAAGTAAGCTAGAAAGTTGCCATTTGACCTATAGTGTGATTATGTGAACATAAAATCCAACACACACACAGAAATCTCGTAAAACTGGGCCATAAGGCCTTATGTGTTCCTTACCTTGCTAGTCTTACAGGCATACTAAAGATTATATTCCTAAAGGAAAAGAATACACACTGCAAGTATAGGTGATTTTTTTTATTTCAGGCTATCATATAACATTTTAACAAAAAAAATTGTAATAGCACATTTGTACCAACAAAAAATAATTGACAATAAATTATCTTCTGTAAAATATTTTCTTTAGATATGAATATTTAATCATGTACAAAGAGAAAAAGAAAAATTAAATATTCAAATTAAAGTTGCATTTTTATGAAAAGATAAATGCAAAAAATTTACAGAAAAAGTATTTTTCTGCATTTTTTGGTAAAAAAAGTCCTCATTAAAATGCATTGATTCAATATATGCATTGTCAAGAAATCTGTAACTTATCAAAATAAACAAACAAAATAATAAACAAATGAATAGCAACTTTTCTTCGACAAAATTAGGAGAAACATTAAAATGGACAGAGAATTTATATTAATTGATAAACAGTTGCTATGTAACCACTCTCTTAAAAAGGCAAAAGGTGATTTACCAGAATCAAAACTGGGTAAATTGGTTTAAACAGAATGATTTAAGCTCTAATGCAAAACAATTTCTTGCAACTTATATTAATCACATTCGAGTCTGCTTCCTGGAACCAACCAGTACAGGTGTCATATGAAGAAACATGGTCGTGACCCGAGTAGGACTCGAACCCATGATCTCTGGGTTGAGAGGCAGACACCTTAACCACTAGGCCACCGCTCCTCTTAAATCTACTGGGTAGATTGTAATGTTATTGATCAAAAGGTACAATTAATTGCTGACTTTCTAAATCTAGGTCTTTTTTGAAAAGGGTGACTTTACCAAAGATTTCATTTTTCTTTAAATTAACTCAATTAATTCATTAATAATAGTCACTATCAGACAGATTTCTTTATTTGTGACAAGATAACAGGCTGAAAAATTAGATAAACGTGAAAATAATTAACCTGGAAAGAAAATAGCCCAAAGTGAAAAATCAACTATGTGCAGAAACAGGAAAACCTCCCAAAAAAACACACACACACATGTAACTTTCCATTCTAAACAGATTAACATTCCTATCTGAGGTGTATAATATGAAACCAAACCACTAAATCTATAGGTAGATACATGTAATTGACATGGCAAATATTCACATCTGTATAGATCAGCTCATGTTATTTACATAAATTATGCAATACCAATACAGGATCAATACAAGCTGACTGATCTATTTTGTAAATAATTCAACAAAAAAGGAACTCTTTAATTCTGTAGACCAAAAAATATATTGTTATTTCACCAAAGATAAATGAAATATAAATTCTTCAAATGCTGGAACCAAGTCTTGGTGATTTCAAAACTTGTGAAATTCAGAGGATTGTTAATCTTTACTTAAATTACAGAATCATTCAAGATTTGTCAGGTTCAAAATCATTAAGCATTTTTTTATCAACATTTTATTAACTTGAAAGCAAAAATTTAATGAACTTCAAGAAATTTTTATCAAAGATTCAAATAAAAACAAAAATACAAAATTTAAAAAAATCCTATTTTTGAACAATAAATGAAATATTATCTATTGAACTCCTGACATGTTTAACATGCATGCATAAAACCTTTTACCCTAGCCCTCTTGTCTAGCATTTAAAAACCCAGGAAAAAATTTTCACCCGAAAGTCTGACTGGTACAAAAAAATTAAAACCAATTCTCAATGGAACCAGACAAGGAGAATTCTTGTATCTAGTTTCCTTAAGCCTTGCCAGTGCAAGAATTTAAAGATTTATCCAGTAAACATGAAAAATTGGTTTCCAACTCTTGGCCAGTACAAGCAAAGATCCACCCAAGCAAGGTGAAAAGTTGTTGTTTCAACTCTTGGCCAGCACAAGCATCAAAAGATACATCCAAGCTAGGTGAAAAATTGGTTCCAGAATGCTTGGCCAGTACAAGCATACAAAGACTAATCCAAACTAGGAAAAATCTTTTTTCCCATACAAAACTATTGAATATTCAAATTAGATACTGAAAGTTCAATTATGTATAGGGTGCCGATATTCAACTTGATATCATCTGGAGTGTCACTACATTGCACATGATTTTATTTGGTTATTTGTGGAGAAAAACATTAAACCATGTTGTTAAGGGAATTCTGCAAAAATGAAATATTAATAAGTCTTTGAGAAAGAATTCACATCTAAATTCATATAAAAGATACTTTTCCTTTCATATAAATAATTGTGTGCCACAATTCTTACTCTTGTTTTAATAATTTTGCATTATTTTTCAACTTTTTATCAAAGATATTATTTTCCTTTAAATATGATTTTGTCACAAAGTTACTATGAATACAACAGGTTGATAAGAATGCTTTTCCCCGTTTTTAAACCAAATGAAAAAACAATGTACAAAACGCCGTCAAATGGTTAGCTTTTCCTAACTATCAGTCCCTACATGTTCCTCAAAACCCTCACTTTCAGTGACCAAGGCACGTTCTAGAATGACACGCCCCTCTTTATAACGCTGGTTCTCCTCATTGGCAAATTCGTAAATCCAGCCGAGTTTCTGATCACAGTTTTTGCACATTACATCGCGGACCATATGCCGTCCTGTGAGCATAACTCTGTCTTGGACTTCACTGTAGGTCAGGTTAACAACTTTGTTAAATAGGAATGCTCTTCCTGTAGCACCTGAAAAAGTTACAAAATAAAATGTTTTACTGAAAGATATAGGTTTGAAATGGTTTGGATGTTTATTTATTCCAGTCACCATAGTTCATCTCAATTTCATTTATTGATTTCTGTCACTTGTGAACAATTTTCATTCATGGAAAATACAAAGTTGTAGAAAAGAAGCAAAATTGAATTAGTCAAGTCAAGGTGAATTCTTTACCCATTTACCTGCTAAATACCATTAAACTGACTTCCACCTTTCAATATGGATAAACCAATTAGCAGAATGATATATGGGTAGGAAAAATACATATACTGTCTGAAAAGCAAACAGTGCAGACCATGATAGGAAGGTACAGATGTGTCAGCTGATCTTGGTCTGCACTCGTCCTTTTGGTTGAATCAGTTGCTGACAGAAAGAATACGAGTTATTAATAGAAATGTGAGCCAAGATAATAAAAAAAAATCTAATAATTTTTGTATGGTATTTTAAGTAAATTCGGAAACTTTTAAATGTGGCTTAACTTCCTGGATTTCTGAAGTTTGTATTCTCATTTTGCATGGTGATACATTACTTTTACTTCCCTGAGAGCTTAAGACATGAAGACTTATATGAACACATGACTCAATGCATAATAAATTTGATATATTTCCCTAAAAACAGCATTTGTTAAAACAGAACAATGTGTGTGACATTGAACTATGATCTGAGCATGACATACATGTACATTATGTTTTTTTACCACTTGACATTCATTTTATATACAATAAATTCCTTACAATGAGACATAAAAAGTAATGCAAATGCTTCATGTACATTGCATTAAAATCTTAAATAGCATTAATACCATGAAAACAGGTGTCCAAATTAAGTTATTGTTATAGTATTAAATATAGCCCAATGACCCATATTTTACAGTTTAGATACTTGGGTGTGTATGTGATGGTAACACATATGTAATACAATGTAGACCCTAAGAATGTGAAACAATGTGAAGACCTCTTAATAATGTATTAACAGACCTTTACTATGAATACATTTTGTAAATAACCTTGTTCTTTTTTTAAATTAAATTAACCATTTAATCTTGTGAATAACCTACTAATATGTTAACTTTGAAACTAACCTGTTAACCTTGGGACTGATTTGTTAACTGAAAACTTTTAAACCTAGCTTGTTAACTTTGTGAATTACCAGTAAACCTTTTAATTAAGCTTGTTATTTATGTGAATTACCAGTTAACCTTAAAATCTAGCTTAACTTTGTGAATTACCAATACTCATTTTACTATAGCTTGTTAACTTTGTGAACTACCAGAAAACCTTTTAATCTAGCTTGCTATTTATGTGAATTACCAGAAAACCTTTTAATCTAGCTTGCTAACTTTGTGAATTACCAGTTAACCTTTTAATCTAGCTTGTTTACTTTATGAATAACTTGTTAACTTTTTAATCCAGCTTGTTAACTCTTTGAATAGCTAGTTAACCTTTCAATTCAGCTTGTTAACTTTGTGAATTACCAGTTAACCTTTTAATCTAGCTTGTTAACTATGTTAATAACCAGTTTAAATTTAGCTTTTCATTTATGTGAATTAACAGAAATGTTTTAATCTAGCTTGTTAACTTTGTGAATTACCAGTAAGCCTTTTTAACCTGGCTTGTTAACTATGTTAATTACCAGTTAACCTTTAATTTTAGCTTTTTATTTATGTGAGTTAACAGAAAATGTTTTAATCTTGTTTGTTAACTTTGTGAAATACAAGAAAACCTTTTAATATACTTTGTTATTTATGTAAATTAACATTTAGCTTTTAACCTTTGTGCATTACCAGAAAATGCTTTAATCTAGATTGTTATTTTTGTAAATTACCAGTTAACTTATGTTTTAATCTAGCTTGTTAACTTTATTAATAACCAGTAATTCTTGTTACTAACCTGTAAATCTTGTAGATATAAGTTCAGCCCTGTTTGTAAGAGGTGTGTCACAGTTGGAACATGAAAACAGTCTTGTTCCACCAATATGTGCCAAGAATATTCGACCCATCCTGTAAATAAAAGGATCATAATCATATAACATGTACATTTAACAAGTCATAAGGTAGTAACCATGTAAAACTACCAAAACAAAATTCCAATTTATATTATCAGTATTTGTGACATATTTCCCCCTACTTCACATTGGTTGGAGGAAGTCTTAAATTATTATGATGAATAATAAGACTAAGAATATACAAGAGTGTTAAATCTAAATATATAGCAAGTGTTTATTTCAGTTATATAGCGAGTGAGTGTTTGTTTCAGTTATATAGGAACTGCAAGTGAGTTTTTGTTACAGTTATATAACAAGTGAGTGTTTGTTGCAGTTATATAGCCTGTGAGTGTCTGTTTCAGTTATATAGCCCGTGGGTGTTTAATTCAGTTATATAGCCCGTGGGTGTTTGTTTCAGTTATAAAGTGAGTGGGTAATTGATTCAGTTATAGAGCGAGTGAGTGTTTGTTTCAGTTTCATACAAGTAAGTGTTTGTTTCAATTATATAGTGAGTGAGTGTTTGTTTCAGTTATATACCAAGTAAGTGTTTGTTTGTGAGTGTTTGCTTCAGTTAAATAGCGAGTGGGTGATTGAATAGTGGGTGGTTAATTCAGTTATATAGTGAGAGAGTGATCGATTCAGTTATATAGTGATTGAGTGTTTGTTTCAATTATAAAGTGAGTGGGTAATTGATTCAGTTATAGAGCGAGTGAGTGTTTGTTTCAGTTTCATACAAGTGTTTGTTTCAATTATATAGTGAGTGAGTGTTTGTTTCAGTTATATACCAAGTAAGTGTTTGTTTGTGAGTGTTTGCTTCAGTTAAATAGCGAGTGGGTGATTGAATAGTGGGTGGTTAATTCAGTTATATAGTGAGTGAGTGATCGATTCAGTTATATAGTGATTGAGTGTTTGTTTCAATTATTAAGCGAGTGTTTAATTAAATTCAGCTATATTGTGAGTGAGTGTTTAATTGATTCTAGTGAGTGAATGTTTGATGCAGTTATATAGTAAGTGAGTGTTTGATGCAGTTATATAGTGAGTGAGTATTTGATTCAGTCTAACTGTGTTTGATGCAGTTATATAGTGAGTGAGTGTTTGATGCAGATATATAGTGAATGAGTGCTTTGTGCAGTTATAAAGTGAGTGAGTGTTTGATGCAGTTATATAGTGAGTAACGCTTGATGCAGTTATATAGTGAGTGTTTGATGCAGATATATAGTGAGTGAGTGTTTGATGCAGTTATATAGTGAGTGAGTGTTTGATGCAGTTATATAGTGAGTGAGTGTTTGATGCAATTATATAGTGTGTGAGTGTTTGATGCAGTTATATAGTGTGTGAGTGTTTGATGCAGTTATATAGTGAGTGAGTGTTTGATGCAGTTATATAGTGAGTGAGTGTTTGATGCAGTTATATAGTGAGTGAGTGTTTGATGCAGCTATATATTCAGTGAGTGTTTGATGCATTTATATAGTGAGTGAGTGTTTGATGCAGTTATATTGTGAATAACTGTTTGATGCAGTTATATAGTGAGTGAGTGTTTGATGCAGTTATATATACAGTGAGTGTTTGATGCATTTATATCGTGAGTGAGTGTTTGATGCAGTTATATTGTGAATAAGTGTTTGATGCAGTTATATAGTGAGTGTTTGATGCAGTTATATTGTAAATAAGTGTTTGATGCAGTTATATAGTGAGTGTTTGATGCAGTTATATTGTAAATAAGTGTTTGATGCAGTTATATAATGAGTGAGTGTTTGATGCAGTTATATAGTGTGTGAGTGTTGGATGCAATTATATAGTGAGTGAGTGTTTGATTAAATTCAGCTATATTGTGAGTGAGTGTTTAATTGATTCTAGTGAGTGAATGTTTGATGCAGTTATATAGTAAGTGAGTGTTTGATGCAGTTATATAGTGAGTGAGTATTTGATTCAGTCTAACTGTGTTTGATGCAGTTATATAGTGAGTGAGTGTTTGATGCAGATATATAGTGAATGAGTGCTTTGTGCAGTTATAAAGTGAGTGAGTGTTTGATGCAGTTATATAGTGAGTAACGCTTGATGCAGTTATATAGTGAGTGTTTGATGCAGATATATAGTGAGTGAGTGTTTGATGCAGTTATATAGTGAGTGAGTGTTTGGTGCAGTTATATAGTGATTGAGTTTTTGATTAAGTATTATTGTAAGTGTTTGATGCAGTTATATAGTTGGTGAGTGTTTGATGCAGTTATATAGTGAGTGAGTGTTTGATGCAGTTATAAAGTGAGTGAGTGTTTGATGCAATTATATAGTGTGTGAGTGTTTGGTGCAATTATATAGTGAGTGAGTGTTTGATGCAGTTATATAGTGAGTGAGTGTTTGATGCAGTTATATAATGAGTGAGTGTTTGATGCAGTTATATAATGAGTGAGTGTTTGATGCAGTTATATAGTGTGTGAGTGTTGGATGCAATTATATAGTGAGTGAGTGTTTGATGCAGTTATATAACGAGTGAGTGTTTGATGCAGTTATATAGAGAGTGAGTGTTTGATGCAGTTATATAGTGAGTGAGTGTTTGATGCAGTTATATAGTGTGTGAGTGTTTGATGCAATTATATAGTGAGCGAGTGTTTGATGCAGTTATATAGTGTGTGAGTGTTTGATGCAATTATATAGTGAGTGAGTGTTTGATGCAGTTATATAGTGTGTGAGTGTTTGATGCAATTATATAGTGAGTGAGTGTTTGATGCAGTTATATAATGAGTGAGTGCTTGATGCAGTTATATAGTGAGTGAGTGTTTGGTGCATTTATAAAGTGAGTGAGTGTTTGATGCAGTTATATATTGAGTGAGTGTTTGATGCAGTTATATAGTGTGTGAGTGTTTGATGCAGTTATATTGTGAATATTAAAGTGTTTGATGCATTATATAGTGAGTGGGTACTTGATGCAGTTATATAGTTAGTGAGTGTTTGATGCAATTATATAGTGAGCGAGTGTTTGATGCAGTTATATAGTGAGTGAGTGTTTGGTGCAGTTATATAGTGAGTTAGTGAGTGTTTGATTCAGTATTATTGTAAGTGCTTGATGCAGTTATATAGTTGGTGAGTGTTTGATGCAGTTATATAGTGAGTGATCCCAGATTTGTTGTACATATTAAGTGAGTGAGGGTTTTATTTAGTTTTGTAGTGAGTGAGTGTTTGATGCATTTATTTATTGAATAAAGCATTTTTTTCCATAGCATCCCTGGGAAGTGGAAAGCATACAAGTTACAAGAGGCTTTGGAGCTCAAAAAGAACAATGTAAAAATAATTGCCCCCCAATAGGCGATGTGAAGAATAAGTGAATTGAGCCAATTTTTTTCATTCCATCTATGATCAATATGCAGGCTTTCATTTAGCGCCAAAATAGCCAGAGATATTTCTAACTAGCAGTGTAAGGACATTTTGTGGGAACTTTTACTACCTCTCTCCACAGGACTAGGTATCTAACTGTCCTCACAGTAGAGTTCTTATAAACGGTTTGATAATTCTTAATCAAAGTCTCCACTTATCCACAGCTGTAAGGTGGCTAGGTTGAAACTGATTGGCCAGTGCATAACTTCAGAATTGAAATAATTTAATTATTCAGGTTGCACAGTAGAATATCGATCTGGCTAACTTACCGCTAAGGGGTACCCATCTCAGTCAATGAATTTTGATTTTACTAGCCCGAATTCCAGTTTTGAATTTATTCTACTACATATTTAACTAAATTTTCTCTAAATTTTCACTGGCCCGAAATAATTCTCACTGGCCACATGCTAAATTCGATGACTGCCATCTGCATATATATGTGTAGGCATATCATACTGGCATCTGACAGGCTAGACAATAAGAATTGAAACTATTTCTTTACTGTTGAGTGCTATTGGACATGCACTGAGGTGTAAGAATTTATACTTTAATTAAATTAATTATGCTAACACAAACGCTAGTATAGGCTATAGCGAACAGCCTAATTATACAGTACATGTACAATGTATGACCTGAGGATGCATTATTTGAAGTCAAACAATGAAATAACATTCAAAAATATCATTCTGTGATTAAGGCTTGACTTAAGCACATAGTATCTTCAGCTGCTTATAATTAATTCATGTACATGTTCATGTACTATTTACAAACACCAGATTTGACCTTTACCTTGAAGTTGAATTAGTTTTTTATTGTCATTTCACTTATCCAGTTTCAACAAGATTAATAATGATTTGAATTGATAAAGTAGATGTTCTGAACATGACTCACACAATAAAGGTGTGAATACAATCAAAAACAACACATGTGACACCATACAAAGAAAGTAGGTTATGATGTCATTTCACCAACAGGCAACAACACTTTCCAACCACGGAAAACACGAAGAAATCCGCCCAACATTTCAATACGTGTTAAATAGAAATTCGCATTTACGTAAAACAAACCTTTATACTGCTGTCTGTCAATCTGATTTCCAGCAAAAACCCGAAGAAAACGATTTATTTTAGTAAATTTAAAGATATTTCTGGTTGCTCAGCTGTGCAGATCTGCAATCAAAACATTACTTTACGTCAGTGACACGTTTCTATATTTAGAAAAGGTCAAATAAAAGGTTACTGCATCTGCGCATTTAATGTCGAATGATTTCCGGTTGTGAGTGAGTCGTGTACACTCCCAACTACACAAAACTGTCAAATACTATTTTTTTTTATCAAAGTTGGAATTAATTTGAGACAAGATGTTGCGGTGGTTATCTGGGGACGACAAGCGTCGTAAGGAGCCGGAGGTTTTTGACACTGTGGCTGAAGGTTTGAAGAAAATTTATAGACAAAAGTTGCTTCCACTAGAAGAAACTTACAGATTTCATGATTTCCATTCACCAAAGCTTGATGATCCCGATTTTGATGCTAAACCAATGATTTTACTTATTGGTCAGTATTCCACTGGTAAAACAACTTTTATTAGGTATCTTTTGGAGCAAGACTTTCCAGGTATACGTATAGGTCCAGAACCAACAACTGACCGGTTCATTGCTGTAATGGGAGGAGATCAGGACGGTGTTATTCCAGGTAACGCCGCAGTTGTAGATCCATCTAAACAATTCCGACCATTAACTAAATTTGGGAATGCGTTTCTTAACCGGTTCCAGTGTTCTACAGTGCATAACCAAGTATTGGACAGTATCACTATTGTAGACACTCCAGGCATTTTGTCCGGTGAAAAACAAAGGGTCGATCGTGGATATGACTTTCCTGGTGTCTTGGAATGGTTTGCGGAAAGAGTTGATAGAATTATTCTCTTGTTTGATGCACACAAGTTAGATATATCTGATGAATTCCATCGTGCTATTGATGCTATTAAAGGATATGATGATAAGATAAGGATAGTCTTAAATAAAGCTGATGGTGTTGACCATCAACAGTTGATGAGAGTTTATGGTGCCTTAATGTGGTCACTAGGCAAAGTTTTAAATACTCCAGAGGTTGCACGGGTCTACATAGGCTCATTCTGGGACCATCCCTTACAGCATGATATGAATAGAAAACTCTTTGAGCTGGAAGAAAAAGATTTGTTCAGTGATCTTCAAAGTCTTCCAAGAAATGCGGCATTGCGGAAACTGAATGACTTGATTAAGAGGGCAAGACTTGCAAAGGTATAAATAGTAGATGTAACCAGGCTAGAATTACTTTCTAATTTCTATTTCTAATTCTTTATATTCACAGTTAATGTAGTAGAACTAGTAGTAGTACATTGTATTCGAATATATATTAATATAAACTTGGTCTGTTTAATTAGATGCATGTATATAATTATGACATGCAAACTGAAATTCAATAAATTTTTATTTTATTTTAGTTGTAAAGCATTCACTGTTAATTCTTGGTGGCCTGTTACCCTCAAGATAACTTCCTTCAGTTTAAATATATATGATGAATTACATTGCAAATTACTTCAAAACAGTAACTTGAATAAGGCAGACCATAAGGGGACCTTCCCTTAAATTTTGGGGAAAATGGCTTGGAAGTAATGCAAAAGGGGAAAAAAACTTGAATTAACTGAGTTTAAGGGGAAAACTGTGTGATTTTAAAGAAGTTTCCAGAGGGAAACAGGCCTACATTTACATACATGTATAATTACTTTAAACAGCCTGGGCTAGAGAAGGAAAAAAGCCCTGTAAGATTTTGAATAGGGTGATCTAAATCAGCCTAAAAGAATGTTCAAACTTTAGTATTTATACTTCTTATTTAAAAAGAATTTTTCATTTTTTTAGTAAGATTATTGTTGGAATAGATAGGATATGGCTGTAAATCATGACAAAAATATACAGACATAAATCATGATAAATGTCACAAACGATAGGTTAATAAATTCTCAGGGCATGTTAAATCAATGTCATATATCATATTATTCTTCCTTGTTGGCAAAATATTATTAACAATGTGATATTTTAAAATAACAAGCACTTTAAGGATGTGACAAAAAACTAAAATATTTATTGAAATAAAGACCAATTTTTACATACATTCAATATTTCTTCAGCAAAAAGTTTTTTCAAGAACATGAAGAACCTTTAAACCTTGAAGGTGTGTGCATCTTAAGATCATTTTACCACTTAAAATAAGACCTATAGATGTTATAATAATGGATAATTGTTTTGACCTCCATCAAGCGATTGTTAAGAAGAAATCTTGACATTTTGTACTTCCTGATTACACAGTTTTTGCAACATAAGAAGATTCATGTGATTTTGTAATTGATTATCAGAATTGATCTTGTCGCATTATATCAAAACCTGCTGAATTTTTATGCAATGGATTTACCCAGTTTTTGGTTTGGAACAGTCCATTCAACGTTTCTGGAATTTCAATATCAAAAATATAAAAATTAAGCTACCAACTGTAAATAACTAGATTATGCTGCACTGCTGCACTTGTGTCCAGGTTGGCCTTGCCTTGTATGGGTGGCAATGGCTAATCAATTTTGGTTCCAGCTGATGAAAGGTTTAAAGAATGTTGTCGTAAAAATAAAATTCACAGTTATATTATTTCTTTTAGTTTTATCCAATTTTTTTTATTTATCTGGAAAGCTGATTGTAATATGAAGATAATTATGAAATTTTTATGAAACCTCTAGGCCATTTTTTTAATTGAAAAAAGGAGATGACTAAAAGTTTACTTAAATTAAGTTAACTTCTAATGAAGCTCCATCTTTGGACTAAAAAAATTATATATGTTAAACTGTTTTCCTGACCTATTAAAAACTGTTTTGTCACTATAATGTGTATTATGGTAATTTGACTCCTGAATTTTAATATAGTTTGTCCACATAGTATAACAATATTATCTAAAGACATAATTCATAATATAGTTATTTGAGCCGCGTCATGACAAAACCAACACTATGGTTTGCGACCAGCATGGATCCAGACGAGCCTGCGCATTCGCGCAGTCTTATCAGGATCCATGCTGTTCGCTATCAGTTTCTCTACGTGTTATAGGGTTTGTAAGCCAACAGCATGGATCCTGATCAGACTGCATGCTGGTCTGGATCCATGCTGGTCGCAAACCCATTATGTTGGTTTTGTCGTGACGCGGCTTATTTGTTAGTCACCATGTCCTCATGGTTCTTACATGTATTTATCTTAATTTGTCATCAAAAGTATTTCATAAGTTCTTACATACGCTTACCACACCTTAAAGATACCAGCTTTATTTATAGTTTAGTAAGTAAAGTAAGTAAACAGCAAATATCTTGTCATTGCCAAAAACAGCTATAAATATTTTGAATTCCTGTATCAAATTCTGTACTTTGTAAACAAATATCTATATAGTATTATATGATATTCATACAGTAATGTAGTACAAGTGACTTTTCCATTTAAAGTTTAATATACATATCTATTTTCCCTAGCATTGGGGGGTCTGCCATATAACTGACTTTCCACTGTGGCTTCAAATATGTATATTGTATATAAACCAACTTTGAACCTGTTGGGTGTAATAACAAAAACACTGGGAAATATAATATGATTTATCATTTAAAATATATTGTAGTACAGTACTATTGATCAGATTTGAAATAAGCCCAGGCATGCTTGTGTGTGCCAATCAATCTAATGTTATAGTTGAGGATCCTGACCTCTTGGGTGCAAGCCTGTAGTTACTACCTATATTTTGATAAAATGATTGTACAAATTATATGTAGGTTTCATTTTCATAGACATTCAATTTCTGTACTTTGAAAGTAAGTGAAACGAAAATAGTTTTCTGTACCGGTAAAATGATGTTAATATGCATTTCAACATTTAAAATAACATAAAATAGATATTAAACATATTTTGTTTTGGTATCCTTTAACTTAAGTAACACAAGCAGTGAAGCATCCCATGTTTGTCAACCTCAACATTCCAGTTGTAACTATTTGTAAAACAAGTTGGGTTTTTTTTTCATTATAATAACTGAATTAGATATTTGCGGAGTAAATTTATTATACCTCTTACAGTCAAGCTTCTACATGTAAACTTTAAGTCAATACATGGGAATATTGGTCTTATGGTCAAGATGACTGTCTCTCAGAGTTTGACTTTGAGTGTAACTGAGACCATATTAGTTCATCATGAAAGTGGACTCACAAGCTAAAAGCTTTCTTCATTTTCAACTTTATGTAAAAAAAAAACACTTTAAAAACCAATGCAGGCATGATTTGCAATAATTATTTTTTCTAAAACCATTACCCATTAGGTTATTTGACCATATAGGAGTTTAACTTTTTAATTTGATTTCAAACTTGATATTAGGACAGATAGTGTTTTCCTGTTTAAGCATTATGCATTATGGTACTGTAAGTGTTTAGGTGCTTCATTTGTGTCTGAGATAATATAATTCAATTAAATTATTTTGTAATCTATTGTATTGCCTTATCAAAGTGATATATATACATGTACATAGTCATGGCACTAAGAGTTATGGTAGGTGTGTAATTGCTGGACAGCCTGCAACAGGTGTAATATCATAAATAATAGAAGGTTTAATACAGTATGGTACAAGGAACACTTGCCTACATGACAGAAATAATCCATCAGAAATAGCAGAGTTGTATCTTTAGGATATTTTGCAGCATCCTCAAAAGCTTATGAATATAAACCATTTAGTCCAATGGAATATTGAAATAAGCTTATAAAAGTTTTAGACAATTTATACAAAGACTTGATTTTGTTTGGCCAAGATAATGCAATGATAGGCTTTATGTAGGCACCAATATAGTCAGTCGAACCTGTATAAGTCTGAAGGTTCTTTATTTTGTTGGCCACTTAATTTTATTATTTTCATTTAAGAAGCGCTTACAATAACTCTGGACAATACATTATTCAAATAACTGGTGAGCAAGTACAAAACACAAGGTATTAAAATGTAAATAAAATCTAAATCAAGTTAATATATTAAGGTAATATACCCTTATCATCAGGACTGCCAAGTTTAAAATGAACCCTAGTTGCATATTATACATACAAACATTAATAATTAAATCATACATGTAAAACTGTCCTTGAAGGAGAATATGCAGAGAAAAAAGTGTTGGTTTTTTTTGTTACCCTGTTCAGATTTGAAAAAGCCAATAAATTATGGTCCTTACTGAAATTTACATGGAATAAATCAAATTCTAGATTAATTTTTTAGGACAACTACAACTACTGCTACATATACTAGTATAAAGCACTTTATAACTATATTGATTGGGTGTAAAAGCTATGTATATATATTTATATACCCTACATGAATACAGGAAAGATGTTTTCAGAACAATATTATTGATCAGGTCATACGATTCTAAATGTGATTCATTATCATGCAGTAAATTGTAATGTTGTTTTTCGTTGTGTGTCGTGGCAACAATCTTATCTGATAACAACGCCCTATTATCACTAATTACAAGTTTGACATTGTAGGACACAAGTAATCTTACCTCTCCCTATTATTAACTGCCAGTCTGTTTACAATAGGTGGATGTTTAATGACATTTGATTTTAAACGATTAATTGTTGAATAAATTGATCAGTTTTCCTAATTTGATTAAAGTACTGATCAGTGTAGTTTTCAGGATTTGCATCAAGCTTTATAATTTGGAAAAGATGAAAGATAATAATTAAAAGTACAAATATATCAATAATTGTTAGCAAAGGGGTTTGTGGGATGACATAGGTCAAGGTCATTTATTCCATTGTATTATACTCAATGTTCATCAAATAAATACTCCTGATTTTCTAGAATTTACCCATCCTAAATATCAAATATTTAAGTTTGATATTTTAATAGCTTGAAATGCAACAACTGTTCTGATACAAAGGTTACAAAATGTAGTTACTTTTCATGTATTTGAGTTTTATTGGCAAAAAAGTTGTAACAAGAAGAAGATTGTGGTTTTGTTGCTATAAAAGTTCACTTATTTGATTACAAAATTGTCTATCTTTCAAAGTACAAAGGGTCAACTCACCTTGAAGTATGCCAGCATGCAATATTATGATTACATAATGAGCTGAACTGTTACCATATGAACTTTGTGTAATTGACTTTTGCCCTGTTTTGGTTTTGGTTGATTTAAGGAAATTAAACTTAAGCCTGGTGGCGGCAGCTGATTCTAACCAAGTGTCAGACCAGTAGCAGTGCAGACCAAGATCAGCTGTTGTGTCCATACCCTCTGATTATTGAGAGTCAATAGTGTTCACTATACATGTAGTCAGTACATATTTTGAAAGATTTCACTGAAAATTATTATGGTTTTGTCTAGATTTTATGATGGATAAGTCAATTTATAAAGATATTTTGTGTGGTAAGGGTTTTAATCAATGTACACTGCTACTAAGTCACTCCACTTATCAGAATTGGTGGTAAAATTACCAGAATCAGCCTGTAATTTTGTTATTTATGAACTTTTAAAGAATTTTCTTGCATTTTTCTCAGAGTAACCCAATTGTACTGGTCAGATGTAAGGTTTGGTCATACAGTCTTTGTATACATTAATTTTACACATGTATGTACAAGCTGGCCTGGCTTTGTTCATTTTTATTAAGAGGATTCTTAATTTCCCATGAGTATTTTATTATAATCAAGTGAATAAAGATATCTACATGTACCTATATATATTTAGTTATGTACATGTAAATTATTATCGATTATATTTGGAGCCTGACATTACTTAAAATCGTGCATAATGGCTCTGAATAAAATTAAAACTAATTATGATGCAAAATGTTGCCCTTCAATCTTTAAGTAGAAAATAAACATTTTCAGAACATATGTAAAATAGAAATGAGAGAGAAATAATATATAATAATAAATAACTTGTATTATAATAAATTACTGTATATAATTTGTATATCAAATGCTAAGATACAACAATGCTTTGTGACAGTATAATTGCACTTGTGTTGCTTAAAATACAACAGGTAAGATGTTTATAACGACGATTTAACTGTGGTAAAATTCATACATATGTTATATTTACTTTCAGGTTCATGCCTATATCATCAGTGCTCTGAAGAAAGACATGCCTTCCATGTTTGGAAAAGATTCAAAGAAGAAAGAATTGATCAAGCAACTGGGCGAAACATACACTATGCTTGAAAAAGAGCACGGAATCTCGAGAGGAGATTTCCCAAATCTGAAGCGTATGCAAGAGCAACTGCAGTCCGAAGATTTCACCAAATTTCATCAACTACGGCCGAAATTGATTGAAACTGTTGATAAAATGTTGGCAACAGATATTGCAAGGTTGATGGAAATGATTCCACTAGAAGACCAAAACATGCAGAATGAGAGACCAAATGTAGAAGGAGGTGCTTTTGAGGCTTACAATGAGAGTCCATTTGGGTTTGGACGAGGGGAAGGGACAGACGCTGGAAAGGGCGAACATGAATGGATCGTTGGACAGGATAAGTACAAATATGATGACGTGTTTACTAAACTAAACCCAATAAATGGCAAAATAACAGGCGCTGCAGCAAAAGCTGAAATGGTAAAATCCAAACTGCCAAATTCTGTTCTTGGTAAGATTTGGAAGTTAGCTGACGTGGATAGAGATGGACAGTTAGACACTGATGAATGGGCGTTAGCCAATCATCTGATTCAAATAAAATTAGAAGGACATGATTTACCAAATGAACTTCCAGAACACCTGGTACCGCCATCAAAGAAAAATGGCTTCGCCGATTGATAGATTGTTTTTATATTAGAAATAACAAATTAAAAGTGATGTCTACAAACCATGGTTTCTGTGATGACACACTAAATGCTTTCAAAACAGGGAGTTACAAGTTGTTTTCATTAAATCAATACAATTAGTGATATACAGTAAAGTGTAGATATGTGTATGGACTTCATTTTTGTATGTACATGTATTGTGTAGTTTGTTGGTGCAGATGACTGTGCAATCTCAGTATGCTAAATGGCTTAAATATCTGACACTTAGTATCTTATTTATCTAGCAAAGGTTGTTTTTGTTTTTGGTTTGTTTTTTTTTAGGTTGGGGGTGTTTGAAAGGCGTTGGGGGGACAACATCCTGTTTGAAATAATAAGATAGCTAGTCTATGTCAGATAGAGGTATAGTTGTATTAAGTTTGAAATGGAGAAACAAAAAGTGTTGGTTTTTTATTTTTATATATATATATATACATCTTTATGTCCAAAGATAATGATTTAATGCTTTTTTGTGGCTTAAAGAGGTGCTTTTGTTAATTTGAGTTGGTTAGCTAAGGCTGTGTATGTTAAAAATAAATTGTTTACATGGATTTCTACTTCAAAATTTGATATAAAGTTGGCTTTTGTAATGTAACTTCATCAGCAGAATTTTTCTGTGAGTTTTCTCAACACTGTTGGAATTATGTATTTTTTCAAAAGTGTATAATTATGAAATATTCACACTAAAGCTGTAACCAAGAATATGCTGTTTGAAGTATGTACTTCCTCTGCTAAATGGCCTATCATTAATATTGATATACATGAATATATGTATATTCACAAAGCTATGATAATTATCGTTTATGGAGCAAATTTTTTCTTCTTTTTTTTTTCTGCAATTTGCAGAACTTTTTTCTGGATTATTCAAAGCACTTGTATTAAGTATATTTTTTTCTCATCCAAAAGTTTGACGCTTATTCTTAATTGGAACTTAATTGGCGACATCAACAAAAAAATAGAAAATTGTATTGTGCAGTACTTTATATGAGATAATTTATATATGTATATATGTGAACTATTGTAAATATAATGTAGCTTACATACATTTAGTTTAAATAAAATGAGTGCAATGTAGTCCTACTTTTAATGTATACATAGACATAGAAATTAGATTGTAAATTTACAAATGTATAGATTTGTACATGTAAAGGTTATTTCAAGGTCGTGTAGATGGTCATTAGAAGTCATTTATCTAAGAGCATGTCCCTGCATATCCCATGTATGTGTAACTTGATATGATCGCTCGCTTATTTGTGAAGGGCACATTTAAATATCCTGTGTGCTATAAATACTCATGTTCGGCATAATTCATAGAAAGTTACTTCAAAACAGAATGTATATAAATATCTTTATGATTTTTAGCTCACCTGTCACAAAGTGACAGGGTGAGCTTTTGTGATCGCTTTTCGTGCGGCGTCCGTCTGGCGTCCGTCCGTCTGTAAACTTTTACTTTAAATGACATCTCCTCATAAACCGCTAAGCCAATTTCATCCAAACTTCGCAGGAATGTTCCTTTGGTGGTCACCTTTAAAAATTGTTCGAAGAATTTAATTCCATGCAGAACTCTGGTTGCCATGGCAACCGAAAGAAAAAACTTTAAATATCTGCTTTTAAAAAAACCAAAGAGGTAGAGCTTAGATATTTGGCATGAAACATCTTCTTATTAGTGTCTACCAAGTTTGTTCAAATAAAAGCCCTGGGGTCAAAATTGGCCCCGCCCCAGGGGGTCTTTGATTTTCCCTATATGCATATAGTAAAAACTTAAAATATCTTCTTTTAAAGAACCCAAAGAGCTAGAGCTAAGATATTTGGCATGAAACATCTTCTAATGAGTGTCTACCAAGTTTGTTCAAATAAAAGCCCTGGGGTCAAAATTGGCCCCGCCCCAGGGTGTCATTGATTTCCCTATATGCATATAGTAAAAACTTAAAAAATCTTCTTTTAAAGAACTCAAAGAGCTTGAGCTAAGATCTTTAGCATGAAACATGTTCTAATGGGTGTCTACCAAGTTTGTTCAAATTAAAGCCCTGGGGTCAAAATTGGCCCCGCCCAGGGGGGCATTGATTTTCCTTCTATGTGTATAGCAAAAACTTAAAAAACTTCTTTGAAAAAACCCAAAAAGCTAGAGTTTAGATATTAAGCATGAAACATCTTCTAGTGAGTGTCTACCAAGTTTGTTCAAATAAAAGCCCTTGGGTCAAAATTGGCCCCCCCAGGGGGTCTTTGATTTTCCCTATATGCATATAGTAAAAACTTAAAAAATCTTCTTTTAAAGAACCCAAAGAGCTAGAGCTAAGATATTTAGCATGAAACATATTCTAATAAGTGTCTACCAAGTTTGTTCAAATAAAAGCCCTGGGGTCAAAATTGGCCCCGCCCCAGGGGGTCATTGATTTTCCCTATATGCATATAGTAAAAACTTAAAAAATCTTCTTTTAAAGAACTCAAAGAGCTAGAGCTAAGATATTTAGCATGAAACATGTTCTAATTGGTGTCTACCAAGTTTGTTCAAATAAAAGCCCTGGGGTCAAAATTGGCCCCGCCCCGGGGGTCATTGATTTTCCTTATATGTATATAGCAAAAACTTAAAAAATCTTCTTTGAAAAAACCCAAATAGCTGGAGTTTAGATATTAAGCATGAAACATCTTCTAGTGAGTGTCTACAAAGTTTGTTCAAATAAAAGCCCTGGAGTTAAAATTGGCCCCGCCCCGGGTGTTATTGATTTTCCTTATATTTGTATAGCAAAAACTTAAAAATCTTCTTTGAAAAAACCCAAATAGCTAGAGTTTAGATATTAAGCATGAAACATCTTCTAGTAATTGTCTACAAAGTTTGTTCAAATAAAAGCCCTGGGGTCAAAATTGGCCCCGCCCCAGGGGTGTCATTGGTTTTAACTACAAGTGTCTAGTGAAAAATTAAAAAAATCTTCTTTAAAAAAACCCAATGAGCTAGAGCTTAGATGTTTAGCATGAAACATCTTCTTATGGGTGTCTACCAAGTTTGTTCAAATGAAAGCCCTTGGGTTAAAATTGGCCGGGGGGGGGGGTGGGGGAGGGGTAGATCTTTTTTTTATTATATGTGTGTAGTAAAAACTTAACATTGTGAAACATCTTCTAATGGGTGTCTTCCAAGTTTGTTCAAATAAAAGCCCTTGGGTTTAAACTGGCCCCGCTCCGGGTGCCTTTATACAGGTGAGCAACCTCAGGGCCATCATGGCCCTCTTGTTTCTCTCAATGTTTCAAGCAAACTAGAAAAATCCTTGGGATATGCATGCTCATAATTATGATAGTCATTATTGATATTTTTTTTGTTAAAATTATTTGTTTGAGTTGTAAGAAACTTTTTCTAGTAAGAGAAATATAATTTGGACGCCAATATCATATAAAAATGAATTTGTATTATTAATTTGTTCTGATTAATTTTTGTTTCTATTACTATCTATTTCCAGAGTGTTTCTATTACGAATGTTTTATTTTATAACTTGAATATTATATAGCCAGCCTTCCTGAAAACCAAAAGTGATCAGCCTTTGCCACCAGTATAGAGCCACGCCAACCTTTACATCAATACAGTCAAACTATAGGCTCTATACTGTTGGCTGGATTACTTTAAAAAAAATTCTTGATACTCGTATATCCAAAGTTGATTATAAAATTTAAAAAAAAATGGAAGCTGATCATGTCCATATGAAAAATTCAGCAAGGATGGGATTGATTATATTTGAGCCGCGTCACGACAAAACCAACGTAATGTGTTTGCGACCAGCATGGATCCAGACCAGTCTGCGCATCCGCGCAGTCTGATCAAGATCCATGCTGTTCGCTTTCAAACTCCATTACATGTAGCGAAACTGATAGCGAACAGCATGGATCCTGATCAGACTGCAGGGATGTGCAGGCTTGTCTGGGTCCATGCTGGTCGCAAACCCTTACGTTAGTTTTGTCATGACAAGGCTCATATTATATGGCAAGGTCGTAATTTTTCACAGAGTCAACAGTTTTATGCTTTGATACACCAAATAATAAACACCAAATATGTAAATATATGTACTGACTATTTTATAGTGGCTATGTGCTAATTATAATTATATGTGAGATACTTGGCATAATAAAAGTAATGTTGACGTACATATATACCATAATAATATATAAAATGATTACTACTTTCTTACAATACTGTACTGTTATTTCTGAATTATCATAAAATTATGATATCAAGGGGAGTCCCTGCAATGATAGAGAATTTAGCATGATATCATCTTAGTGCAGTAACAGGTTAACTCCTATTAAATCGGATAAGAGTTAACCTGTTACTGCACTAAGGTGATAATAATATGTTACAAAGTTCAAGGTCAATTAATTGTTATCAATTTTCTGGATATATTTTTATAAAATGTTGACCCAAATCTTTATAATGATAGCAGTCATATATATAAATATCATACTAAGTAAGCTGAAGTTATGAATTTATAATGTGTGTTTAGAAACTGAAATAAAATGAATTTTTTTCCAAACAGAAATTAATTAATGATATTAAATGAGTGTACATGTATTAATTAACTAATTGACAAAATTATACTTGTAAACTCTTGCCATAATGTATCATTGATGCAGTGTCTATTATTGCAATATTTATTTATTGAGTTGTATTATGCAAAAATTCTGTACATGTATATAACCATATACACTGCTGCTACATGTATGTTTTTAGTCTCGCTATTTACTTTATAAAGTATCCTGTTTTTGTATTTTGCTCTTTTTTTTTTTTCTTTTTTTTTTGTGATATGAAATTATGTTCATTCGCGATATTATCTTTAGTGTTAATGAAAATTGAACGGTCAACTTGTCTTTACTTCTAGTATAGAGGAAGACCATCAAGCACATTCGTGTTCTGTTCTGTTCTTTTCTTATACTCTTGACCATTGGCTACCTAGTTTTGACATCCAAATCATGAAATCCCTTATATTAGCAATGGATTTGACAGCAACCAGATGAAGCCTTGAGTTTATAAAACTTGTTTCTGAATTCTCTTTCAAATCTCAGGATTTTCATTGGTCAATGTACATTTTGTCACAGTTTCTGACCAATCAGTGATTTGTGTTCTGAGTTTTAGCTTATAGTATTTTTTGTAACGTCAGACCCAAGTCCATTCTAACTAATATAGTAGGGTAAATGTTAAAAGAAAAATAGTTTGCTCATTTCATTGTGTTCAATGTGAGAAATTAATGATAGTGAATAAAGTGTCTGCAGGGTTATTCTGCTATCTATTTATGATACATTAATGTTACAGCTTTAATGTATGTTATATGAGGTACATACATTATTAAATTCAAGGTAGCTCTAGTGAGGCAAAGTAAAGAATATAACAGTGTTATAGGTATTCAAAGTATGTTACACAGGGTAGTATCCAAAATTGTAATCTACAGTTAATATATGAAATGAACAGTAACAGTGAGAAGGTGGGGGTAGTTTTAAGAATTAAGTTTTTTTTTTTTCCTTTTTCTATTTATACCCCCAAAAACAAAGTTTGGGGGGGGGGGGGTATATAGGAGTCACCCAGTGGTCGGTCGGTTGGTTGGTCAGTCGGTCGGTCCAGACGTCCTTGCATTTTCTTTGTCCGGAGCATAACTTGAAAACTAATGGTTGGAATTCAAAATAACTACATACAATGGTCAAGCACATTGAGAGGAAGTGCAGTGCATAAGAACCATAATTCTATCTAAAGTAATTACAGAGTTATTGCCCTTTGTTACTTTTACTTGTCCGGGGCATAACTTGAAAACTACTGGTTGGAATTCAAAACAACTTCATACAATTGTCAAACACAATAAGGGGAAGTGCAGTGCACAAGAACCATAACTCTATCTAAAGTAATTACAGAGTTATTGCCCTTTGTTGCTTTTCCATTGCTTTTTTTTTGTCCGTTGCATTTTCCTTGTCCGGAGCATAACTTGAAGACTAATGGTTGGAATTCAATATAACTACATACAATGGTCAAGCACATTGAGAGGAAGTGCAGTGCGTAAGAAACACAACTCTATCTTGACTAATTACAGAGTTATTGCCCTTTGTTA